TTTATTTAACAAGGAAAAATAGATGTTTCATTTTTTTTTTATTAGAACACAAAAGTGTCAATAGAAAGTGTCAATAGAAAAAAAAAGTGTCAATAGAAAAAAAAAAACCATTACTTTAAAGTTATTGAATTTTTATGCCGAAATTTTTAAAAAACTTTTTACGCGGAAATTGTTTTTGCTAAACTCGTGGCGTAATGCCCCATATTACATTGCGTGAAACAGCCGTGACACACACACGCATATATATATATATATATATATATATATATATATATATATATATATATATATATATATATATATATATATATATATATATATATACACACACACACACATATATATACACACACACACATATATATATATTATACATAAATATATATATATATATTATATATATATATATATATATATATACACACACACACATATATATATATACACACACATATATATATTATACATAAATATATATATATATATATATATATATATATATATATATATATATATATATATATATATATACATATATATATATATATATATATATATATATATATATATATATATATATATATATATATATATATATGTGTATATATGCTTGTTTTGACTAACAATAGTCAAATAAAGTCACTTGTTTTAAATATGAAACTATTGAGTTGACAAAAAAGCTATATAAATTTCGTTACCTATGAACACCCTATTAAAACATTATTTTTTGGATGAAATTTAAATTTATCTTTAGTTGCAACTTGAATATTTATGATTTATGATTTATAGATTCTTACAACAATGCGAGATTAAACTTAGTTTGAGCAGAGGGTGAAACTTCTGCTCTGGAGTCTGAAAAAGAAAACAGTGAAATTGACCATCCTAAAAAAAGATTAAAAAAAGACGAAAAAAAAGTATGCACCTTAATGAAGATTATTCTTCAGACGATTTTAGTATTAATTTGCCTACAATAACTACTAATAATAACAAAATTCATAATAAATCTTGGGATTTACCTCCAAACTCACTGCAGAAGTTTAATACTCCGAGTCAACATTTTTTAAATAGTAAGTTTAAATTAACTTTTTCTTTTTATTTGAATTTGTAAGCAAACTTATTTTGGTTTCAAAAAATTTATGTATTTTCAAAACTTTTGCAACTGTTCAAAATTGTAATTGTTGAAAATCCCTAATAGTTCATTACTAAAGTTCAGTATTATTTATTAAATATGTTTTTATTTAAATTGATATAATAAAGTATTTTTATAGATGCTACTTTTATCTATTTTATTAACTATTAAATTACCATTGTTAAAATAAAAATTAATTACAAACATTGGCGAAAGGTTACATAGTGACATTATTTTACTACGTCATTTTTGTTTAGTAGTCTGTACCTTGTTTGCAGTGTATCAGCAAATGAGAATTGTTTTCCATCAGCAGAAATTGAATGCACACCATCAAATTCAATAATTGATAATAAAATTATGAATCCATCAGCAAGTATATATATATATAAATTTGTTTATTTAAATGTTGCCCTCCAGTCATGAATTTTTTGCCTTACTAGCGAAAGGTTATAATGAAGACCTCTGTGGATAAAATAGGGATGTCACATTTTTTTAACTTTTGAGTTGATACCATTTTTCAAACTAGTATGTTTTAATTCATAAATTTGTAATTTATCAAGTGATAATAAAAACAAGAAGAAAAAAATTTCAATCCTTTTAAAAGTGGCTTTTCAACACTAATTTAATAAGGCTCTAAGGAGCATTTAGAACTTCAAAAATAGATTTTCTCAAAATAAGAAAAACCTGACATTGCCCAGTTTTTCCTTTGATGCTATCTATAGTCTTTTGTATAGTTTTTTAAGAATATTTAATAAATTTATTATTTCCAGATGTCATTGCATCACGTAAAGATATGCAGGCATTATTTGCTCGATTGGCAAGTATTTAAGTACATCTTGGTGAGTTGCAAAAATTTGATTTTAAGTATGATTCAGAAGGGCAACATAGATATGCCAATCAGTGATTTGCCTGATGGAGTGTCTTTGCCAAGAAAATATTTAAACATATAGTAAGTATATTACCTTGATGCATTTCGTATAATTTCTTTTATTCATTTTTATACAAAAATGAGTTTGTAAAAATAAGGGCTATACTTTTACACATAAATGTATAAAATTTATAGATTATTTAAGGATTATAATATTTATACATATATGTACTTTAAACATAACGTTTTAAAAGTGTATTAAATTTTTAATGATTTTTAGTTAGCGGATTATTATTGAATACATCCAACCAAAAGTAGCCATATCTATAGCTAGCTTATACTTTATTACTTTTTGCAGGTTGATTATTTGGGACGAATTGGTGGAAAAGGTGAATGAGATTCAATAAACCGCATATTGAGAACAGTTTTTACTAATAGTCTAGCTTCGAAACTAAACTATGCCGGAAGAGGAAAAAAGTCGGAATCGGTAAAATGATGATTAGGCTTGTTATTGGTAAGTGGTTTAGAAAAATTATTTACATAAATTTGTGCACTATATAGTTACTTTCAATTTATTATTATTTTTTTTGTGCATAATTAAACAAAATTATAATTCTTTTGCAGAAGCTGTGAAGACAAATAAATGTTTTACAACTAAAGATTCTAAATTAGAAGATCTAATTAAGTATGGCTCAGGCAGGCATGTGATAGGGATGGAGGAAGAAAAGCGGATAGTCGTAGGCATCTCAGATCAATAGCTAAAAACGATTAGATAAAAAGTAGCTCTGTACTCATAAAATTTTTTAGAAAATTGTTCTATTAAAATTTTTATGTTATGCTTTGCTTTATGTTTGGACTGAGTTTAACGGAGTAGTTATGTAATAAAATCTTCCAGTTATATCATACAGTTTCGTTTTTATTTGTCTATAAGTTTCATAGTGATGATAAAAATCATCTATTTCGATCAATAACTCAATGGTGAGTAAAACATTGTGGTGATACAACATCCGTTGTTGTATATTTAGTGACGAGCTAGTCTGATAGCACACAACGTTGACCCGACGCATCCGCCGTTGGTTTTATATTATAATTGTATAATAACATTGGCTCAACGCTGTGTACAACATTGGCGTAATGTTTTATACAGTATTGGGCCAATGCTGCAAAATTCATAGGCCCAACTTTTTATACATGGGCCTAAAGTCCTATTCAACATTGGCTCAATGTCGTATACAACATTGGCCAAATGTCGTATACAACATTGGCCCAATGTCGTATACAACATTGGCCCAATGTTGTACATAACGTTGGGCCAATGCCTAACCAATGATCAAACCTGCATTTGGCCAACATCGAATTTTAACGTTTGGCCAATGCATCACCATGCATTGGCCCAACGTCTGTCAATGTATGTCAATGTATGCTTGCTGTCTGGGTAGGCTGATGTCTTTCGTTACCGTCTTAAGGCTGATGTCTCTCGTCTCTGCTGAAATTTGTTTTTAGATAATTAAATATAGAAAAAAAAATTAAATAAATTTAAATTTTTTTGTGATATTATTATAATATTTTCAAAAATATTTTTGCGAATAAACAATTTTTAGGTACCACTACACATGATCCACAAGATATTTAGGGACTCAAACTTTTTTTCTTAAAAACACAGAGGTTTTAAAAAAGTAGCTAAAGTGCTCATATTTCCCAGACCACTTGGTAATATGAGCACTTTAAATTAGCTCAAAAAAACAACAACATATAATCAGTAAAAAAATACCAACCTGACAATTAGAACTATAATGTGGAATAAAATGATCAAAAATTTTCATTAAAAGATCAAACTTTTTATTGAAACATTACTACTTTGTTTTACGCAACAACAACAAAAAAATTAGTTCGTTATTTTTTCAATTTTATTAATTCAAACTTTTAAACGATAAAATTACAAATTTTTTGAATTTAAAATGCAGAAATTTAGTATTGCTAAAATATCAAAAGTATTTACTATGTTTTTTTTTTTTAATTCAAAAAGCAAATAACTGCAGTTTTAGGACTTTTAACTTGTTAATGTCAATGAAAAACACTGGGTAATTTGAGCATGCTAATGTTACTCAAAATGGTATTTTTAAATAAAGTAAAAGCTAAATGTTTCTAGGCATTGTTTTTCAAACAAAAATAAAACGGATTTTTAGCAAACATATTTTTCTTTATAAAAAATTAAATTTCATTCTTTTAGCATAAAAATTTCGCACCACAGATTTATTCATGCGTAATGATAATATCTTAACAACGAAAAAGTTTAATAGCGTTTTAATAAAATGAGTGCCGCTAACTACTGCATATAAATTTACGGTATTTATACTGATTTCTATTATCACCACATAAAGTCGATTAAAAAAATGCGAGGCAACTTTAACTTCACTGTTTACATCTTAGAATTCTTTTAGTATGTATTTAGTACTTTTAGTATATTACCAAGACGCTCGTATTGCCCTAATGTACTCTAAGTGTTAATGGCATTTATGTGAAGGGTTCACGAGCGTTTATGTGAATAGTTCATAAGCGTTTATAAATGCTACTCATATTTTGTTAATTAGCACAGTTGCAAATTTATTTGTTTGATTTTTTTATTTTTTTTTTAATTTATTTTTTAAATAAGAACTTTTAGAATGAGGATCAAAATAATTTTCTTTAAATAATTAAATTTTCTTTGAATAATCAAATTGAAAAAATGTTATTCGAAGAATTAAGTGTCGCTGGAGCGTTATTAGAAGGATCAAGTGTCGTAGGAGCGTTATTAGAGGGATTAAGTGTCGTAGGAGCGTTATTAGAAGGATCAAGTGTCGTAGGAGCGTTAAAAAAATAAAATGTATACAAATTTTTACAAGTTTATATCAGTAAATATAAGATTTAATTGATAACCTAGTTTACAAAAATAAAGCCTATGAAATATACAAAACTAAAAAATCAAAAAATATACACAATAGCAAATAAAAAATAAAAAAAAAGTTTAAATATATAAAAACCTTCTAAATACAATATCTTATATTTAATATTTTACAACTTTTTATATAATGCGAAATTAAGTTTGACCATCTGAGTCACTCTCTTCCTCTGAACTTGTCTCTGGGGAGTCGTAAGGCGATTGTAAAAAAGTCCTTAAAACCAATGAAGCATGTACGTTTTCTAGAAAATCTTGTTCATTTAACATATCAGAAAGATCAATCAAACGTTCAATAGGAACTAAGGATTTTAACCTGGCATTTTCTAAATTTTTACTGAACCAAGGATCTTGTAGACATTGTTGGGCCGACGGACGCTTTTCAGGAGCTCTTATTAAAATTCGCTTTATAAATGTTTTAGCTTCTTCAGTGACCGTAGAAAACTCCCTGGGTTCGAACCTGAAATCAAGCGCAGTAATTGCGTCTTTAGTTTCATCTTCGTCATCAGTAGCAAACGGAGACACGCCACTCAGCCTAAAATAAGAGGTATGTAACAATTATAATATGTGAAAGTTTTCCCATGTGTGTAAATATCCCAATTGTATCATTTACCTTATGTATGAAAGGTACCCTTCAGGCAACTTTTAACAAACACCACATTAAATCTTGAAGTAAAATTTACTTATTAATAATTAAATATAACAGAGTACTTACAGAGCATATGTAACCACACCAACACTCCATATATCAGTGCGATTGTTTACCGGTTCAAAGTTAATAGTCTCAGGAGCTTAAAATAATAGAGAAATAAAAATAAAAATAAAAAAACAAACAAACATCAAAGAAATATAACAAAAAATTATAACTAAAAAAGAAATTTAAATAACAAAGAAATATAAATAACGAAGAAATATAAATAAAAAAGAAATGTAAATAACTAAGTGTTAAATCTTATAACTCATTAAACTTAAAAAATGATTTGATTAGAAGGAAAAAAAATTATACAAAGTTTCGTCAGAAGAGTTAAAAATTTCAAAAAATTTATTTCAACAAAATTTACGAAAACTTTCTTTCTGCAAAATTTACCCATAACATAACGAAAAACCATTTTACCCATAAACTCTGCAGTTCCAACCATTTCCCCAACCTCTCCTTCTTTAGATACAATTTTACGCGAGACACCGTAGTCAATAAGCTTTAATTTAGAACCAACCATCATCATGTTTCCAGGCTAAACATAAAGTAAGTTTAATACTAAATATGAAAGCAATACAGAAAAATATTAGAACCAACCATTATCATGTTTCCAGGCTAAACATAAAGTAATTTAAATCTTTGAAAACATTAAACAAACCAGATATTAAATACACATGAAAAGCTGTATAAAAAATTACCTTTATATCCAAATGACACACATCTTGACTATGTAGATATTGTAAAGCCTCTAACAGTTCATTAATACAGTTTGCGATAATATTTTCATTAACTGCTTTAAGATCGATTAAGTAATTCAAAACATGTTTCCCATTCACTAAGTCACATATCAAGATTAGGTACTTTCTCACAATATAAGCATCACGTAAAAGAACTAATTTAGGATGATTTAGAGACCGCCATATTTCATATTCCTTTTTGGTAACCTCCATGGTATCTTCATCATACTTCACAAGTTTTGCAGCATAGGTGTCACCTGTTGCTTTACTTGCACAAACCTTTACAACAGCAAATTTTCCTCTAAATATTTTAAATCACATTAAAAGTAATCGTTACAAACAACAACAAAAACAACAACAAAAACAATAACAAAAACAATAACAAAAACAATAACAAAAAAACAAAAACTGAAATCCAAGAAACATACCTTCCTATTTCATCTTTGAAATTATAATACTGCTCTGGATTTTCTTCTTTTAAAGCCACTTCGGATTTGCTTAACAACCGTTTAAATTCTGGTGCAACTTTGATAGAGGATGATCTTGACATTCTTCGTGCACCTGGTGCATTAATACTAGTACGCTCGTGACTGGTTTCTAATAAATTATCAAACACAAGAATAAGTTATCAAACACAAGAGTTAACTAATGAATTTATAATATAACTGCAATTAGCTTAGTTATATTGAAATTAGCTTAGTTATATTCTTCGTGCACCTGGTGCATTAATACTAGTACGCTCGTGACTGGTTTCTAATAAATTATCAAACACAAGAATAAGTTATCAAACACAAGAGTTAACTAATGAATTTATAATATAACTGCAATTAGCTTAGTTATATTGAAAATCATAAAACTTATTTTTTTAAACTTTTAATTTTATATTTATTTTGAAAAATTTCGAAGAAATAAAATATAAAATTTAATAAACAAAGTTGTAAAATGTTACAAATGATGCATCTGTTAAATTATAAAAGAATCCAAACGATTATAAAAGAAAACAAAATCTTTAAAATTATAAAACAAAAATTATCACAGAATCTATAAAAAAATCTGCAAAACTAATTCAAGAAAAGTTTAAAAAATATTAAAACAAAAAAAAAAAAAAAAACATTAAAAAAAACTCTTCAAAATATGCTTACTCTCTAAAGGAGTTTGAATTAAGTCTGTTGATTCACTCATTTCACTTCTTCCAATTTCATTGGCCGCACCCACTCTAAATTTGTACAAACTATTTGGCTCTAAATCTTCAATAACTGCAACAACTTCTTTAATTTCATCTGCAAATGTAGACCATTCCTTATCACCAAGTTTACGATATTGTAAATTGTAACTTAATATGGGAGAGTTGCCATCAAAAGGAGGTTGCCATTGAACAAGAGCTGATGTAGGCAAAGTTTGAGGTACTATAGGAACATCAGGTGGCGAAGGTTTGTCTGAAAATAAATTTAATATTGTAGTATTTTTGATAAAACTAAATACAGAACTATACTGATAAAGTTAAAAATAAATTTTCAGTTCTAATATGGAGTGCAATAAGAAGCCATAAAAGAAGTTAATAACAATGTATGAACCTATACAAACTGTAAACTGTTTTTGATTCTGAGTTCATGTCATATTTGAACATTAGAATATTCACTTGCAACCAATAAAAAGAATTTAAACAAAAACAAAACAAAAACAAAAAAAAATCAAAATTATTATCTTGAAAAATAACAAAAACAACTCTTTAGCTCAGTGAACAAAAAACTCTAAATGACCCACAACCAAATAATAATTTTTGCAAATAACAATCCTAAATATTGTTCTCACAAAACTTTTTTGCTACCTTTGTTTCTTCTATCTTTTTAGTAAATTCCTAAAATAACTCTATTATCTAAATTAAACAAATCAATTAGAAAGATGGAGTTTATACTTGCGTACTTAAAGAGTGTGCTATAGCCTAGCCTACATACCAATTAAACATACAATCTACACTCTTTTAACTGTCTTTTGATTCTGGCACTAAAAGAAGTCTTCTGTCAACTTTACACCAAATAAGGAACTGATCCAGAAGCAAATCTCTCTAACATCAGTAACTTGCAAGTGGGATGTGGAGTCATAAAAAAAAACAACCGACTCCGACCCCAATCATTGAAATTTTCAGAGTACAACTCTGACAAGCAAAATTAAAAAAATATATATTATGCAATAATTAAAAAAATTTTTTGTGCCAAATTTATGAAAATTATTATGCCGCTAAAAATGTCACATCTCCACAACTCCACAGCCCTGCTTGCAAGATAACAAATTGCATCATAAACATCATCTAACCTCAAAAAATTAATAAAACTAAATCAACATTATTTTTATAAAAAAAAAAAAAAGCTTTGAAAATTTCAAAACCAAATCAAACCCAAACAAAAATTTACAAAAGTTGTTAACTTATACACTAAAACGTGAAACACAACAATTATATTTAAAAATAAAAGTTAAACAGTTTACCTCTTACAATTAACTGAGCTGAGCATTCAGTAGCACCATTTTGATTTTCCAGTCGCAGAGTATACCTTCCGGTATCATTCATTTGACAATTAATAATTTTAAACATAATAGTATTGTCTGAAACTGAGCTGTGTATACGTTTACTATCTAAAATAACTCTTCCCTCTTTTTTCCAGCAGACAGTTGGAGTTGTACTACCATTCATAAATGAAGCCTGAAGGATTCCAATATCTCCACGCTTAACTTTAAGGTCAGATAACTTTTCAGTAAATATAGGAGCTAAATATTATATATAAATATTTAAATTACATATATGATTAATAATCAAATTATATATATATATATATATATATACATATATATATATATATATATATATATATATATATATATATATATATATATATATATATATATATATATATATATATATATATATATATATATATATATATATGTATATATATATGTATATACACACACACACACACATATATAAACAATAATCTGACTACAGATAACTTAAAGATAAAGGTAACTAAAGTTGTTAGTTATAAAAGATCTAACCACCATCATTAGCCCTGGCCATCACTTAATTAAGTTTTTCCTTGAAACATTTACCTATAATGCTGTCATCTTCTAAATTTTCAGCTTTAGTCCATGCAGGTCCAGTGTTTGTGGTTGCCTTTTTATCATCTGTCTTGATTCCAGTTAGTAATCGTGTTAAAAAATTTGAACTTCGAACAGCAGTGATAGTTTTCTTAAAATAAACCTCAAAGCTTAAATTTTATAAAATAAAAAATTGCGCTATTGTATATAAAAAGGTGTAAAAAAATGCATTATGGTGTATAAAAGTTAAATTTAAAAACTGAATAAAATCAAATAAAAGATCATAAAAGTGCAAACTTTAAAAACTTTAAATAGTGCACCAAACTCAAATATAATCAAATATATATTTGTTAGACTAATAAAAATATTACAAAAATAATTTTTTGATACCTTCCATTTGCGTCTTGCTGTAAATGCTTTTAAGCGATCAGTTCGAATCTTTTTCTTAAATTTTTTAAACTATTAATAAAAAAATAAAATAAAAAAAGTTTGATTATCCTTTTGATTATTATATAGATAAAACCTTATTTATTATCAAAAAGTTATAAAAAACATGATAATTAAAGAAGCAATAAATTCATTTTATGAACAACGTAAGTCTTATTTTCTTGTTAGGAGCGAAATGAGCTCAATTACTAAGAAAACAAACTTTGTGTGCTAACAAACAACTTGTTTATTTGCACAGCAGCTTTGTTTGTCAAGGCAAAAAAAAGGCAAGCATAAAAAAAGATGAGTCTTGTGTTTTAGAGTTAAAAGGTTGAGAGAGTGCTGTAACAATAAATCAAAAAAAAAAAAGTTCTTTCTCAACTTAAGTGGCCCCATTATCAAAGCTCCACTGTTTCCACATCAAAAACCTTTGATTAAACTATAGAGACTTACCATAAACCATGGGTGATCAAGGCAGTCTTTAACAGTAGCTCGCTTTCTAAAAATAAAATGTATTACATATTTGTATATATTTATTATATACAGAGATGTAAACAATATAACTTAAATAAATATTCATAAATGTAAACAGGAGATAAATATATATAAAATACTTAATTTTTATAAATATTTGTACAATTTATTTAAAAACACCTTTTATTCTTACATAACTTATTCTTGTTAATTTATTATTATTTATTAGTTAATATTTTAATTATGATATTTTATTATTTTATATATATATATGAATATATATATACATATATACATACATATATATATATATATATATATATATATATATATATATATATATATATATATATATATATATATATATATATATATATATATATATATATATATATATATATATATATCAAAACTTCTTTTCAACACAAAATGTGATATTACTTTTAAAAATAAGACAAATTTTTTAATTTTATTTAAAATCATTTTATTTATCAAGACATGTTTCAACTATATATAGTCATCATCAGTTAAAATATATGTGTTAAAAACGGTATAAAATACAGTATATAATTGTAAAAATAAACATAATAAAAGCCATAAACTTCCTATATATACAAAAAGATTTATTAAAAATTATTTTAACAAATGTCAAATATAACAAAAGAAACCGGTAAATCATATTAAATTATAAGAGTCATAAGAGTCATATATATATATATAAGAGTCATAAGAGTCATATAAATTATAAGAGTCATATATATATATATATATATATATATATATATATATATATATATATATATATATATATATATATATATATATATATATATATATATATGTATGTATGTATGTATATATATATATATATATATATATATATATATATATATATGTATATATATATATGTGTATATATATATATATATATGTATATATATATATATATATATATATATATATATATATATATATATATATATATATATATATATATATATATATATATATATATATATATATATATATATATATATATATATATATATAGCAAACTTGTTCTTGAACTTTTACAAAAGTTAAGTTTTTATTAAAACCCAAGTTAAAAATATTTCAAAAAAGAATTTTAACCTCTAAAACTTACTTGGGATCTTTTACTAAAAGGTCTGAAATAAAATCTTTTGCTTCGTCACTGATGTCCTCAAAAACAGGATCATCAAAATCCCAATCACCATTTGTAACATTAGTTAATGTTTCTGAATCATCATCTCCAGCAAATGGTGATAAACCACTTAATAAAACATAAGTAATAACACCAATAGACCATGTATCTGTGACTTTAGTAACTTCATCATAGCTAATAACCTCAGGAGCCATAAACTCAGGAGTACCAAACAACACCCTTAAAGTTCCTCCTTTTTCATAACGCCTTGCCAAACCAAAATCAATAAGTTTTATTTGCGTGCTTCTTGGATTCACAAGCATTATGTTTTCAGGCTTTAAAATATATATAAGTTGATTATAACAACAATTAATAAAAAAAATTAAACTAAAAAAGAAATGAAATTAACAACATTAATTAAAAAAAAAATTGAAAAAGGAAAAAAAAAAAAAAAGAATAAACAACTTTAAATTAAAAAAAAAAAAATTAGAAATACTAAAAACCTTTAGATCCAAATGAAGAATATTATTTTCATGCATGTGTTGAACGCCTTGCAGAACTTGCTTCATATAAAAAGTAACATCTTTTTCTGATATATACTCCTCTTCAGTCAATTTTTCAAACAACTCTCCACCTGCATACAAAAATAAATTAAAAACTTTTTTTTTTAGAAAAACTGTTTTTATTTTCATAAACATATGTGTATTAAACACATTATAAACATATGTGTATTAAAACACTCAAACTAAAACATTCACCTGTAACTAATTCCAAAACTAAAACAATTTGTTTGGGTTGTTCAAATGCAGCTACAAGGTTAATCAAACGCTTGTGGTTAAGAGAATTCATTATGTCAATCTCATTTAGTATATTGCTTCGTTCACTTGGACGATACTTTAAAAATTTTGCAGCATATTCAATTTTAGAAAATTTATCAACACATTTGTTTACTACACCAAACTTTCCTCTAAAATAAAAAATTATCTGATTTATATTGCACAGCCTGTAAACTTCAGGATTAAGACCTGCAATCTTTGAAGGTATGAATATATACGTATGGTAGGGTAACTGCACAAAATATTAAAGTCATTTTAATTTTGTCTGTTAGAAATTTTCAATTCTAAAAATTTTTCATTTAGAATTTATATAAAGGTTACAAAAAGAAGAGTACTAAAATTAATATGATTTCACAACATCAACATTAGATATAACTTTATATTTTACTTTATATTAAGATCCTGGTTGTTTAAAAAAAACATATAGCCTAAAATGCACATGAAAAAATCGCTGTAAATCAGGGTTTGCTAATTAAAATACCTGCATCTAAAAGTTAAGATAAGATAAAAGTGTAAAAAATGATTTGAAACATTTTAGTTAATGCAGCATTGCCTTAGTATTTTTTTATGTCATCTTGTGTCACATTTTCAAGCAAGTTTTGGTAGTAACTTTTTGGCAGAGTTCCCTAACTACTCCAGAAATCTTTCCTTTATTAAAATTCAATACATTTTTTCTTACTTTATTTTCATTTTTTTCTTCTTTTTCTGAAAAAGCTGTATGGATTAAGATAAGCAAAAAAAGTGAGCAAATGCTTATATAAATACGCTATAGTAGATATATATATATATATATAATATATATATATATATATATATATATATATATATATATATATATATATATATATATATATATACAGCAGAGAATAATTATACTTTTTAACGTAAATGGTTTGGCAACTTTATTAATTGATATAGCACAATGTGTAACGTACCATTTATTAGTCTATGCCCTAACGTTATTTATCAGTCTATGCACTAATATTTGGTTGGAAAACCACAGTTTTTCAACACTGCATCAATACGTGCAGGAATGCTACGAACCAGAGTTTTACAATAATCCGGCGTAATTTCTTTCACCCAAACATCCTTCACAATACGTTTCAGGTCCTCTACTGACTTGGGTTGGTGTGCCGCAACTTTCTTTTTCATTAAAGTATTTCATTATAGTATTCTGTGTTGTCTTGGCAACATGGCATGGTGCCGAATCTTGTTGGAATATTGTAGTATTTGAAATATTCATGTGTACCTTTAACTTTCTATTCAAAATATCAATATACGACTGAGTATTCAATCTGGTTGTGCCATCCATAAGCTCAAGGAGCCCACGTCCTTGACTGGAAATACACCCCTAAACCATAACACTTGGGGGGTGCTTAATTGTTTTCAGCATATACTTTGGATTCATGTGCTGTCCAGCTGGACGTTTTACATAACTGTAACCTGATCCCCTGACCTGCTGGAATGTGCTGGAATGTGTTACCTTTAAAGGCCTTACAGAACTTGATCCTTTTTGTCAATTGTACCTTTGTCAATAACGGTTTTTTTGCTGGTCGTCTTCCAAATAGTTTGAAATCTGTAGTTAGGCGTTGTCTGACTGTGCAAGAATTAATAAGTGTCCCTTTCTCACGAAGTGCTTGAGCTATGCGAGCAGAGGATGCAGTCGGACTAGGTACTGCTACAGCTTTTATAAATTGATCCTCACAACTGGTTGTTTTGCGGGGACGACCGCAATTTAAACGCCTACCTGTCTCCTCCTTTAATGCAATTTGAACAGCACATCTTGAAATCTTTAACTGTTTTGCTATAGCACGCTGACTTTGTCCTACTACATGAAATATGATGACATGAAATGTCATGACATATACATGACATGAAATGTCATGACATATACATGACATGAAATATGCTTTGAAAATGAAACATGACATAAAACATGACATACATGACATATACATGACATGAAATATGCAGTGCATTAATTTGCCCTTTGATAAAACTTGAAATTTTCTTCCCATTTTAAAAATGCATCAAGTTATACTTCAAATACCTAAAAAAATGAAACAATATTGTTATGAAATGGAAAACGTTAATGTGCTTTGTGTTGATAACAAAATTTGACCACGCAATACAACATATTTTGATGACATCATCCAAAGACAATAAAAAAGTGATAATTTGTTGTTTTTTAATGGTGGCCTTAATTTTTTGCACTACTGTATGTATATATATATACATATATATATATATATATATATATATAATATATATATATATATATATATATATATATATATATATACATATATATATATATATATATATATATATATATATATATATATATATATATATATATATATATATATATATATATATATATATATATATATGTATATATATATATATATATATATATATATATATATATATATATATATATATATATATATATATATATATATATATATACATATATATATTTTCAACAACTTTGCTTCCAACAAGGCTGCAAGCGAACACTATTAGAGTTGGAAGTTACAGGAAGAGAAAAGATGAAGTTTATAGAGCAAGATAATGATTGACAGACAACTTAAAATATTGCAAATTATATGAATCAAGAAAGCAAGATGAAGGAACGAATTCCAAAGAAATGATGTTCGAGAAAGAAAACTATATGAATAAGAGTTTTTAAAGCACTTATCAACAGTCACAGTAAATGGATAAGACTTGAATGACAAGTACAGCAAGAATGAATTTTTGTAGATGGCACAAGAGACATTAACTCTTTAGAGCAGTCCCCATTATATTATTTGTAAAAAAGAGAAAGAGAAGGAACATTATGACGATGTGATAATGGTTGGAGGTAAGCTGCAAAACCAGGTCCAAATATGTTTACAATGCATTTTTGCGTCTTGTCTAAAAGAAAAGGGGCATAAGTGGAAGATCCACCCCAGATATGGCAACAGTATTCCATACAAGGACAGATCTAAGATTTATAGAGATAAAGAATTGAATCCAGAGTAAGAAAGTGTCAAGCACAATTAAGAGATCCTTGCCTTAGCAGATAAACTTTGCAATAGATTTGATGCATGGCCTCCAATAAAGATCGGAAGTAAGAGTTAATCAAAGGAAATGAAGGGTAGATGACTCATTAAGTACATTACTGTTCATAAATATAGGAAGATCTAAATTATAGCAGAAACAATTGGCTAAAAAAATTGAATTTTATCTAAATAAAAGTTCACCAGCCACTGTGAGCCCCATTTGGGGCAATTGAGGAGAAAAAAAATAAAATAAACAACTTGAATTAAAAATTTTTTTTTTTAAATAAAGTTGATTATTTTATTTTTTCCTCCAAGCAATCAGAGAGTGTTGACTTCTTATCAAGACAAGAACAAATGGTAGTATCATCAGCAGACAATGCCACCTTAGATGTGAGAATATCCGGAAGATTGTTAATGTAAATTAAAAAGAGTATAGAGCCAAGGATAGAACCTTAAGGAACCCTTGAAGTAAGGATATGAACAAGGGTGCTGTCTATCAAAGACTTTTATACTATGATTGGTAAGAAAGGATTCAATAATATGTTAACTGATACACTTTAAGAAGAAAGCTTATGGAGAAGACCAGATCCTTTCTTACCAATCATAGTATAAAAGTTGTCCTCGATAGACAGTACCCTTGTTCATATCCTAACTTTAAGGGTTCCTTAAGGTTCTATCCTTATGTGTATATATATATATATATATATATATATATATATATATATATATATATATATATATATATATATATATATATATATATATATATATATATATATATATATATATATATATATATTCTGTATATATATATGTATATATACATAATAATAATAATAATAGAGTTTGATTATTTGAAAAAATACAACTTTGTGATAAGACTTGAAGTTTCATGCCCTTCGGCAATCATCAGCCATATTTTATTCTTTTAAATCAAGAAAAAACCGTTAAAAAATACAAAATACAAAAATTAACAGAAAAAACAATAACAAAGTAATAGAATGAGTTCTGACGTCAAAACAAATTTTTAATTAAAAAATTGTTTAATCAGTCGTGTTGAAATGGGTTAGAAGAAACTTGTTTCCATGCCTGCACTTGGATATTATTTCACTTTTTTTGTTAAGTAGATTTTTATTTTTGGAAAACAGAATTTGATATTTTTCATTTATACACAGTTTGCAAGACTTCGTGGTTGGGTTGTAAGCATTGCACTGCTTAATTATTTTCCATTTAATAACTGGATTTAAATTTGCATCTTTCAGTTTCCAAAATTCTTTTGATAGTTCAGTGTCATTTTTGTATTTTAGAATGTTAAATGATTTTATATGGTTGGCATATCTAATTTTGAATGGTGTTTTGCTTATACCGATGTATAGTTTGTGACAGGAGTGGTAGTAGGATTAGTTGAACTTATTTTAGCTTGGTATACAATGTTTTTTGTTAAGCATTGGTTTGATAGAGGGCAGGTGCTTTTATTAAGGCAGTTGCAATTGGTTTTAGGTGGATCTTTTTTGTTGTTCATAATTTGTCGATTGTGTGCATTTAGAATAGATTTCATGTTCGGCATACAGCTATAGCTTACTTTTATGGTGTTTCTGTTGAAGATTTTGTGGAACTTGTGATTTATTGGGAAGTGTTTGTTGACTAAGGTTAAGAAGCTTTTTCCTATGTTAGTGCTTACATTTTTGCTGAAAGGTGGGTAAAACCAAATGATGTTGCGCTTACGGTTTTTTGTATAAGGTGAATTTAAATTAGGGTGGTATGAAAGTTTATGATTAAAACCGGACCTTAACAGTCCGTCATTGTATGTAGGAGTAGATCTTTGAAAAATTTCTTCACTTGAGGAATTTGCAGACAATCTTAACTTAATTGAATGTGGAAGCTGTTTTAAAATATTTGGCGGGTGGTTTGAATCAGTATGAATATGATTTAAGGAATTTCCGGGCTTAGAATATGGTTGGAAAGTATGGTCATTTAGATTTAATGTGACGTCGAGGTAATTTACAACTTTCATGTTGCATTGTATTGATATATTGAGTTCGTTTTTTTAAAATATTTCAACAAAATGTTTTATAATTTTTTCCATTTGGGGGCCACTCATATTTTTAAAAACTGCTAAGCCGTCATTGCGGTATAGTCTGAAATCATTTTTATTATAAAACTGTGCAACTTAAGACAATAGATAAATTCCTACGAGTTCACAAACTTCAGCACCGTCAAATGCTCTCATTGAAACATCGAATAAACCGCCGTGTATATATATACATACATATATATATATATATATATATATATATATATATATATATATATTCTGAAAAATAAAACATAAGAGTGTGTTTCTATTTAAATATATACAAATGTTTAAGTTACTATCTTTATCTTTATAAAGTTACTACCTTTATTATATATAGATCTGCAAAGTATGTATTAAACTACTTTTCAAGTGAAAAAAAACAACACAAAAAGTAGATAAAGAAAATAGGAAAATAAAAAACAATAAAAGTCAACATAAAAGATTGTTTATATTAAAAATAAAAACACATTTATGTCATGTGACATTAATAACTTTGTTTAAATTTGTAATTCTAGAACCCCATGCTTATAATAACACTATTAAAGATGGCAGATAAACATGTAATTATTAAAAATAGACCAAAGTAAAATAGTTTGAAGATTAAATGAAAAAATAAAATTTTTTATATGATGAAAGCAGGATCAGAATGTAAACACAATACAAACAGGATCAGAATTAAAACTAAAAAGCACCAGAAAAAGAACAGAATCTAAAGGCTTGGTGATGTTGTGGTAAAAAAATACAAAATCACATTTGACCCTTTAGGAAGGTAATAAAAAATGAATTTAAAACTATCTTGAAATGCCCAAAAATAAACACCTGTTTAAAATATTGACACCTTGACAAAATGTTCTCAAACAAACAAACAAAATATTCTCAAACAAAAAATCTTTTTCATCATAAACATGATTATTTATGATTGTTTAAGTATAGTAAAAACAATGTTTATGAAAAGATTGAAAAAATGATGAATAAAGATAAAGTATTTTTATTATTTTGTAATAAATTATTTAAATATCAAATGTTCGCAATTATTTTGTGACTCATGTGTGGATCAAAAAAAATATGATTTATGTTCTGGATTTAATCAGAGGAAAAGATTTGATCAAAAAATTTGAAGATCTGAATCAAATTTCTCAAAAGAAAGTATTCTCCTGTTGTAAGAATGTTATCTTGTTTATGTGAGTCTTACCAAATATAATCAGCTCTGATGGGTTTCCAATTAGTTGATGTAAAGAAAAAAAGGGTAAGCATTTTTCTGAACCCAAAACCTTATAGTATGCCGGGGGGAGGGGGGCATAAAAATTGATGAACGCTTCTCCACTTATCCTATGATCAATTTGTTCCAATTCAATTCAGTATCTAAAATTAAGAACATAAATAAACAATGGAAAAAAGTTCAAAAAAATGGAAAACAAGACAGTCATATATTTGAAAATTATATATAAGTATATAAAAATAAATATAAATTTATTTTTATATATTTCGGCTTTATGTTTTTTGCTAGTATACCCACGATATATATATATATATATATATATATATATATATATATATATATATATATATATATATATATATATATATATATATATATATATATATATATATATATATACACTCTCATTTGGTTGTTTTTCCAATAAATTTTCACTTTTATGTTTTTTTTTTTAAATACAGGATAAAGTTTAAAAAATTTTAGAAGTTTTTTTAATTAACTGATAGGCTGCCAAAACCAAACCCTCAGTTGATGTAGTGTCATTTTTTTGTATCAACAGACTATAAGATAGTCTATGTAGCAGCACTTTGTTGTAGCAGCAGGCTATAAGATAGTTGATGTAGCATTACTCTGTGCATATTTTACAGTTAGAAAAATTAAATAAAAGCATTCAGAATAATTTTATTTTAAAAATAATCAAATAAAAACATTCAGCATGTTTTTAAAAACATTCTAGCTTTTTAATTTGTGTTTTTTTGATTTTTATATGTATATTTGATACTCTAAGGTATATTTGATACTCTAAAGTATATTTGATACTCTAAAGTATGTTTAAAAAAACCCACCTTCCAAGTTCTTCTTTTAGCACATAGTAATTTTCAACATCATCTTTTTTGAGATCTACTGGTTGCTTTTTAGCTTGAGGCTCAGGATCAGAAATTTCATCTTCAGTTTCTGAGTCATATTCTGTCTGTAATCCTTCCACAAAGAGAATTCCAGTACTTTTTATAGTTCCTATAAATAAGAATATACTTATCAAATATATATTAAATAAACTGTGTGTAACTAATAATTTGATAACATTAATTTAACATTAGTTATACATGATAACTAATGTTAAATTAAGGTTATGATTTAAAAACTGTAAATTAACAACCTGTAATAAGTAGTATGCAATAAACAACTTAATGATCCATAACAAACTAATAATTTTTATAAATAGTTTGAAAATAAATTTAAAAATAAAATAGAACATTAGAAATAATAATAATAAAAAAAAACATAAATAAAACAAATAAAAAAAAAAAGCAATGAATTAATAAATAGTTAAAATAATCAAAACTAATGCTTTGTCAGAATTAATAATGAAATTAAATCTTATTGCATAATTGATTAAATTCAACTGTGAAAAATGGAACAAAAAAAATTAAAAATTTAACTAAGAAATTTCTTTTATATAAATTTTTTAATTTTAGAGATTTGTGTTAAAAATTAACTTTAAAAGCTCAATCAAGTAATTAAATGTAATCAAGAAATTAAATGTAAACAAGAAATTAAATATTATGTCACACATTACATTTCATATATTTTTATATTTTGAAACAGTATATTTTATCTTTTCTCCCAGCCTTTTTCCATCCTCCTTCATCTTTCTTTACCCTTGTTGATCATATTACAAGGCTTAGTAAGAAATTGTTATGTTAGGCTTAGTAAGAAATTGTTTTCTGTAGAACTATTTCTTTTACCTATACATTCTGAATCTCTAATTAAACCCTTGTTTTCCATAATGTTTACCCCCAAATTTAATTTAACCCTAATTTAATATACTCTTTTAAAGACTACATAATCAAGTTATAACATCAAATTGTATAATAAAGGAAAAATGTCTACACTTTTTCTACTCTGTGTGATACCTCTTTTAATATTCATTTAATCTAGGGTGGATTTTTTTTTTCAGTAATTAAAACTAACTATTTTTTTTATATAGTTTTTAGAAATAGTGTATATCAGAATTTGAAAATAGTGTACATCAGTTTCTAGAATATAGTGTTCATCAGTAGAAATAGCTTTAGTAGTAACAGTAGAAACAAATTTTTAGAAATAATATTATCATCATTAAAAATTTTCAGTAAAAATAGTACACAACAGTAAAAATAGTACACAATAGTTTCTAAAAATAATATTAGAAAATTCACTACCACACCATCATACCACATAAACTGCATATAACCGATTAATTGGGGCTGTAATAAAATATAATGTGGCAAATTTTTCTTGGGATTAATTTGAAGGACAAGTCTAATAAAAATTTCAAATGACATAAAACAAAGAATTTGAGAAAAAGAAAATAACTTTATAGAGACAAAGGTTCAAATTAAAAACAGCTCTAAACTAATAATTGACATTTATTTGACATTAACTCACTACAATGCCATCCTTGGCCGTGCCAAGGTAAAATTCACTACCACACCATCATACCACATAAACTGTGTGGAACCAATAAATTGAGGCTGTACAAACTGTATGCAATAAACAACTTGGAATAACCGTGCATACAATAAACCACACCGTTCCAACCCTTGCTAAGCCCACTAATACACACCATTCTTGACCTTGCCGAGATAAACTTACTACTGTGCCATCCCTGACCTCGCCAGCAAACAACAACAACAAAAACAAACAAATACAATGTATAGATAAATTATAGAAATATATTAAGAAAAAGAAAATTAAAAAAAAGAGAGAGTTACCTTCACTGTTAAATGCAACACAAGTATATGAACCTGCTGTATCATGATTTGATTGGTTAATAACAAGTGCATAATTATTTCTATCGACTGATAATGCAAACTGCTTACCCACAACAATCTTTTCATTATCTTTATACCATTGAATTTCAGGAGGTGGATTACCTTTAACTTTGCATTTAAACTGAGCCTTGCCACCTTCAACAACAAAACAGTTTTCTAACTCTTTCTTGAAGTAAGGGGGACCAAATAATATTTCTAAATAAATTTTACAAGCATGTAAATATCAAAATTTAAAGATAATTTTTAGAGTGCCATATAATTTCCTGCTAAACTTAATAAATATAAAATACTATAGTTACCATCAGCATCTGAAGCAGATGTTTCTCTGCCTCGCATTGGACTCCTTGATCTTGAACGACCTTTATTACGAGCAGATAAATTTGAGGGACTTTTTAATACACGAGGAGTTGATTTTCCTTTGCTTCTATCCAACTCTTCATCTGAGCTTTGAGATTTTTTAACAGGGCTTTCGAAAATCTCATCATCGCTTTCATCTCCACTCTTACCAGACTTATCTGGACGTTTAGTATTTTTTAAATTTTTCTTTCGCCTTGGTGCTGAAAGATAAAAAATAAACTAAATCAAGTATATTCAAACTTCTATTAAAAATTTATGCCACAAAAATTTGTTTCAAAAAGCACAAATAAAAAGAAATAATCTAGAAAAATTTTACACTACTGTTTTTATATACCATACATAATTGCATATTGGATATATAATTGCATACTGCACATATAATTGCATAATTGCATATAAGTCAATCACCTTATAACTTAAATTGTCAATCACTTAACTTAAAACTTAAAAAGTCAATCACCTTATAACTTAAATTGAAATTTTAAGATTTGAAATTTGAAATTCATGAGTCAGAGTAAAAAAACTTTGACAACTTTTATTTATTAAAATTGAAATAGTAATATAAAACTAAAATGTTTTGTTTCTGGTCGAATGGTACTCTCGATACTGATAATAATAGTTGATGGTACAATATGTTGATGGGCTAATAACACAATGATTAAAAAAACAAAAAATCAATCTTGTTTTAAAAAAATACAACTCCAATTGAGGGAATGAGAAGCATAAGAGTAGAAGTAATACAATGTTTTTTTTATAAAGCAACAATTATCAAAATTAAATGAAATAAAAAAATTATATCTAACTGTATTCAACAATATCATTTTTTTATTTTTTCATAATAATTATATAAAAAAAAAAATTATATTTATCAAATATAAATAAAAATGATAACCATATTTTTAATCTCATTCTAAGAATCATTTATTTCAATAAATTAACTTTAAAAGTGACAGCTAATCAATTTTTAAAGTTTAAAAACCAGAATTCAAATTTTACCTTCAATCAAAACTTTTTCTGAAACCTGACTTGGATCACTTGTTACTCCATCTTTTTGTGCCAATACTCGAAAAAAATACTCTTCTCCCTGATTAAGATTATTTATAATACAACTAGAATTTATCACTTCATCACAAGCTATTTGCCAGTCTGATTGATCACAGTTGCGCTTTTCTACAATGTAAGAAACATCATTCGAAGTAGACTTCACCCATGATAGTGAAACAGATTTGTCAGTAACTTTATCATACTTAACTGCACCAGGGGGTTTAGGTTTATCTATAAATAAAACATTTAACAACATATAAAATATATAATTAATTAAAAGCATTTGGGTTGCTACTTCTGTTTGGGAAGTTGCTACTTCAGGCTTTTTATTATTTTTGACTTATATTAAAATAAACTTGAATAAAAAATAAAAACAAACTTTATGTAAATAAAAACAAGACATATGTAAACAAAAATAAGTTATATGTGAAAAAAAAAACAAGTTATGTGTAAGTAAAAAAATAAATTTCAATTATAAAACTTTAAAAAGTAAACATTAAACTTTCTAATAAACTTTACAGAATAAAAAAACAACCTAAAAACAAAAAAAACAAAAAAACAACCTTAATCATAATTTAAAAAAGCAAAAAAACAACCTTAATCATAAAAAAAAAAACTTAATCATAATTATTCAAGAAAGTATTACCAGCAGGTTTCAACATTACACTTGCTGTACAGCTATCATGCCCCCATTGATTAGTTACAACACACATGTACTCGCCAAAATCAGTTATTTCCATATCAGCAATATCAAGAATAGAGTTTGTGTCACTTGACTCAATTATATACTTTCCTTCATCAGCGACTTCAAGACCATTTTTATACCATTTTATAAGAGGAGCAGGACAGCCATTAAAGCTTAATGGAAATGATACTGTTTCACCCAAAGATGCAATAACTGATTTGAATGATTCTATTATTTTTGGAGGAGCTGAAATATAAGTACTAGTATATATAAATAAGAGTGTGTGTGTATGTATATATATATATATACATATATATATATATATATATATATATATATATATATATATATATATATATATATATATATATATATATGTATATATATATATATATATATATATATATATATATATATATATATATATATATATATATATATATATATATATATATATATATATATATATATATATATATATATATATATATATATATAAAGAGTCCAGGGAAAACAATAGCATAGTCACATTTAAAAAGGTTTGAGAAAGTATATATTGATCTGTATATATATATTATCTGTATATTTTTATAAATCAATATATATATATATATTGATTTATAAAAGTCTTTGTATAAAGATAGGTAAAAAGAAATTTAATAAAAATTAAAAATGTATATATATATATATATATATATATATATATATATATATATATATATATATATATATATATTATATATATATATATATATATATATATATATATATATATATGTATATACATAAATATATATATGAGTGCTTAATGATTTTAGAGTACAAAGCACATGGCTTAATTCTAAGATTTTAGGTTAATATTTAAAAGATTCATGTCATGGGTTTTTTTAGAATTTGTTAATATATTAGTAAAATACCATCTATATATTAGCTGTAATGTGTTTTCTTCTGTTTTGAAACCTCTACTTTATAAAAGAAACCAAAACAACAACAACAAAAAAACTTTTATAGTATTTTAGCAATAAATAAGTATGAAGTCATTATGGCTGCCACTGTATGACAAATTAACAAAATTTTAAAAATAAAGACAATCGATGGGTATTTTTAACTTATTCTTTTTCATATATGCACATATATAGAAGTTTTATTTGAAGATAATATGATAATTAATATTTAATCGCTTCAAATAATTAGCACTTTACATTAAAAAAAAAAGTGTACCTTCTACAGTCAATATTGTGGAAATTGTTTTTGTTCCAAATTTATTTCCAACAGTAAGGAAGTAATTTCCTTCATCTTCCAAGCACACACTTTTAATGCTTAAAGCTATCATTCCATTTTCACATTTAATTTCAATATTATCTGTGTTTACAATTAAGAGATCTTCATGTTGCCATTGGAAGTTTTCAATTACACCACTAAATTGACATGAAATTGTTGCATTATCACCTAGCATAGCTGAAATAGGCTTTAACTCTGTGATTACTTCGGGTATACCTAAACACATTTAATATTTATAATGTAACAAAAGTTTAAAGCACACAGAATAAATGTTCTAAATATTGTTTAAATATTGTTCTAAATATTGCTATTGAAAACGTTTTTTAAATATTATTATTGATATTAACTTTTTATTTATTTTTTAACATCTTCACTTCCAATAAGACTGCAAGCAACCAGTATTAGAGTTGGAAGTTACTGGAAGAGAAAAGATGAAGTTTATAAAGCAAGATAAGGATTAACAGATGACTTAAAAAATTGAATTTTATGAATCAGGAACACAAGAAAAAGAGAGCGAATTCCAAAGGAACTAATGTTCGAGGAAAAAAACTATACAAATAAGAGTTTTCGAAGCACTTAGGAACAGTCACAGTAAAAGTTTGAGACTTAACTGAACAACAAGTAACACAAGAATGAACTTTAGTTGATGACAAAAGAGATGCTAGCTCTCTAGAGCAGAACCTATTACAGCATTTATAGAAAAGAGAAAAAAGAAGCAACATTACGAAAATGTGACAATGGTTGAAGGTTGGCTTAAAATTATATTTATAGAAAAGACAGAATCCTAAGTAAGAAAACTGCAATCTTTTAAGCTCACATCACCCTCCAAACAATCAGAGAGTGTTGGCTTCTTATCAATACAAGAATAAATGGTAGTGTCATCAGCAAACAATGCCACCTTAGATGTGAGAACTTCAGGGAGATGTTAATGTAAAATAAAAAAGAACAAAAAAGGGACAAGGATAGAATCTTGAGAAGCCCCGAAGTTAATGAGGAAGAATGCTATCCATTGAGGACAACTTTTATACTATGATTGGTAAGAAAGGATTCAAAAATCTTAAAGATGTTACTTGATACACCATAAGAAGAGAATGTTCATGGAAAAGACCAGCATACCAAAATTTATCAAAGGCTTTAGAAATATCTATATGCGATAGCATTAACCTCTCTACATCTATCTAATGCATGATAAAACCTAACAGTAATTACCATTAACAAATCAGCCGTAGAACGAAAAGATCATAATTCATAATGATGATCAGAAAGTTATTAGATTCAAGACTAGTGTTTGTAGTTAGATGCGTCAGATTGCCAGAATTTTTGAAAATATGGATGCCGCTTTTCAGCAGGCTTGAAAACAAGACCCCAATAAACACTTGTTAAATAAATTTGAAAGTATAGACAACAGCTCCAGAGAACACTTCTGCAAGATTGTAACAAGTATGTTGTCCGGACCACAACCTGTAGAAGAGGAAATCACTTTAGATAGAAGCTGGAGTGATACGAATGTCAAGCAATGGATCAACCTGTTGGTTGGCTATATCAGGTAAGATGTGATTAGTGAAGTCAAGAGATAAAATTGATTAAATGTTCTTAGCAAACAATTTAGCACGGTCTTTAGGTGAGGTGACAAAGTTTGAACCATACAAGAGAGGTGGAATAACAGATTTACCCTTATTAATGATACTATTAAAGATTCTCCAGAAGTCATGAGAGCCTTATTTTTGTGATGAAATAAAAGATTTCATCACCTGATAATAGTGGGCTTTGGCGTTAGAAAAAACTTTTTTACAATGGTTCCTAGCAGTAAAAAACAGATATCTATTTTCTGGAGAATTGTTTTGCTGATAGATATGGAAGTAACAGTTTTGATTGGAAATTGCAGTAGCACAATGTGAGGAAAACCATAGAGAAGAGTGAGGCTTAATCTGGAATTGCCAAGAGGTAATAAAAGATTCCATGCCAGCCTGAATCCACGAAGTTAAGTAAGAAGCACATTTGTCAATAGAAAGACGAAAGATTTCAAAGACCATCACAAAGAAAATCACGGAAAGAGTCCCAGTGAGCTTTAAGGTGGTTGTAAGAGGTACAATGATAGGGGGATTCAGACAATGAAGAAGAATGAGATAATTGTTTTAGAGAGATCAAACTGTGATCAGAAGCACCTAAGGGTGAATGTGTAGAAACTGAGCACTAACAATGATCAGTATCAAGACATAAGTCGAGTAGAGAAAGTAAATAATTCCTATTGTCTGGAAAGTGAGTTGGAAAGTTGACTATTTGTGTTAGAGATTGAGAAAGGTAAAAGTTGGCCTTAACGCACGCAGAGTCACTGACATTAAGACCAAACTATTCAGTGTGAATAATATCTATTCAGTGTGAATAATATTCAGTGTGAATAATAATCTATAACTCCGAAACACGAACTTTGACGAGCAAAACTAACTTGGACTAACAGTCCAAGAAATTGCTTGGACTAACAGTCCAAGGAATTTCCTCATTACTATAAAATAAACCCTATGTCGTAACAAAGGGCTCTAAATGTGGCCTTAACAATGCGCAACATGCGCAACATGGTCCATGTTAATACTCTAATATTTTACAACTGTTGATAGTATCAGCCTCTCTGAGAGCTATCACAGAGTTTGGGAAACCTGACTACTAGCCAGCCTCCAAACCATAAAACTAAGTTTTTGAGCTATACCCTCAATAGGAGACAATAGAATAAGTTGCCAAGTCATAAAAACAGAGACATAAGCAAAACCCATGCAATAAGTCAAGAAGATCCAGCATTTGTCATCTTAAACTAGAAACAAGTTATTATAAATACAGATAAAATCTGTTTACCCCTTCTTTAGACAAGTCCGATCGCTATCCAGACGTTTTGAAAATAGGGATAACAGATGTTGCTTTCCAGCAGGCTGGAAGACAAGACTCTCATAAGCACTTGTTAAATAATTTTATGAGTATAGAAAGAATAAAAGATTAAAAGTTCAGAATAAAAGTTTATACAGATTAAAAGTTCTAAATATTGTTTAATGCTATTAGAAAAAATTTTCAAGTATTAGTAATATTGTTTAAATAATAACAACAATAATATTAATAATAATAATATAAATAACAATAATAAAACTATAATATTTTTTTAATTTTATGTTACATATATATGTATGTATATACACATATATGAGTATATATATATATATATATATATATATATATATATATATATATATATATATATATATATATATATATATATATATATATATATATATATATATATATATATATATATATATATATATATATATATATATATATGAGTATATATATATATATATATATATATATATATATATATATATATATATATATATATATATATATATATATATATATATATATATATATATGTATATATATATATATATATATATATATATATATATATATATATATATATATATATATATATATATATCAGCAGTTTGAAATTATAATTTTAAACTATAACTAAAAAATCTAATTAAACTAATAAGTTAATAATAAATTTAATTAAAAATATTAATAAGTTATTTAAACATATGGTGGATTTATACCCATCTTTTTAGCATGAACTGGAAGTAGATACGAAGCTGGTACCCATGTTCTTTTTGATGGATCAGGTGCATCTACCAATTCAACAAGATACAATGACATCCCTTTTTCTAAGAGAACAACAGTATCACCTTGCTGCAAAATTGTTTTACATGACCCTTTTGTCTTTGTGCTTTCTTTCATAACATACTGTTCTCCAACAATTAATACCTAAATAATTTCACATTGCTTAACTTTTCACATTAAGAACTTTTTAGGGTAATATAGTACAATCTAAATACACCAAACATAAAATTGTTGGTACAAAAGATATTTTCTCTATTTGTATACTACTCCATAGACCTACTCAACTAGTTAAGAGTGACAAACCATAATAAGTACTGTAGTTATATTCAGTAAAACAAAGTCTAAATTTTGAGTCAGGAATAATTTTATTGTTTGAAAATATTTATGATAGGGCTTTTTTTAATAACAACCAAATCAATATGTAATTCTTTTTGGAAAGAATATAAATAGTATAATTTAAAAATGAATTATGCAATTAATTATTAATTAAAAAAGTACGTAATTGTAAAACAGTAATAAAAATTCATAAAAGATTCTGAAAAAAAAACAAAATCTTTAATTTCTTAAATCTTATAAAACCAAAAACATAAAAAACAACAATAAACATAACATAAAAACATAACAATCTACATACATTCATTGGGGGAGAAATCTCTATATACTCTGCAGCTAAATATGATTCTTCAAGTTCCATAATGTCTCCTGTTTGCCTCTGACGTGTTTCATAAGATGAGAGTCCCATACTTTCTGTTAGAGCAGCAGTTTCTTGGTCCTCACCCAAACTCCATGGTGTCACAATGTCACTTTCAGTTTTACTTCTCTTTAAGACCTTTGGTGATTTTGGTGGTAAAGGTGAAACAGGTACTAAGGATACATTTAGTCTCAAAGAGTCTAAAATAAAAAAAATTAAATTAAAAAAAAAAGTTTAAAATATGATAATTAATTTTCACATAGTATATATCACATAGTACATCACTATATGTGTATTTTTTAAAAAACTGTTGTTTAATTGGAAACACTTTATACCATCTGTGATTGAAAATACCTCAAGTAATATATTATATTAATAAAATTATATATGAATAGTGTTAATAAATATAAGATCCAATCAAAAAATTAGACATGTGTTTAAATAAAAAATAAAGACATGTGTTTATAGAAAGTACAGGAGCCTACGTCTGATAGAATTGGCATCAATTATAATAAATTTATGGAGATATTACCAGAATACTGCAGTATAGTCACACCATTTTCCTTAAAATTTTAGTTGTCCAAGTTTAAGGTATTTAACTGTCACTTTTTTTAAAAATAACAAGGCAGTTGATGGTACTAGGGTTTACCTACCTTTAGTCTTAAAATAGAATGATAAACAGAATAATTATGTGGTATGTGGTAATGCGGTAGTGGTGTAGTGGTAGAGCGCTCGCTTCATAAACGAGTGGTTCTGAGTTCGACCCCACCACGTCTCTGGTAGTACCGCGCTCAACTGATTTCTCCGCGCAGCGGCCTTGTTCGTCAAGGTTCGTGAATTCCATTTATTCAACCCATTCATTTAATCATTTAAAAAAGAATTTCAAAACTTAATTCAAACTCAACTCAATATTAAAACAATATTCTTTCACCATTTTTTGTTTAATTGTCAAACACAACATTGTATTTTATCAAATTTTTTTTTTGTTTATTGCAAAAAAGTTGCTACAAGAAAAGTCTAAAATAGAGTTAACTTATTTTACTTTTTCAAAAGTTGCTACAAGAAAAGTCAAGAATGGAGTTAACTTATTTAACATAACATTGCTGCCAGTTTACTAGTCCTCTTTTGATAGTATATATTATTACCTCATGGGGCTTTATATCCTCAAACACCTAAGATCTGTAAGCATCTCTAAGGGAGGGAGGCCTCACTGAGGGAGGCCTACAGATCTTAAGGTGATTATTTTAATGATTGAGGGAAAAATTATTCAAATTAACTATCAAATGTTATAAAAGTATTTAATGTCTGAAAAAAATAATGATTTCTTAATAAAAACAAAAATTTTACAAAAGAATAATATAAGACTAAAACCTTTGAGTGCTGTTAATTGATTTGCAAGAAGCTCCCGTAGTTCAGTTACCCAACTAACCTTTTCATGCTCTGACTTCGCCTGTTTAAATAAAAAATATTGCAAAATTATAAAAATAAAAAATTAAAAAAGAAAAAAAAAATTTAAATAAATTTAGTTATAAAGCCAAACTTAAGATCCAAACCTCTAAAGTAAAATGTGAGCTAGCAGTGGATGCAGAATTTCCGCTCCAGATACTCCAGCGAGATGGGAAACCTTCAATGTTTTCAGTTTGACCTACATCTGAAGCCTATCATAAAACTCTTCATATAAAGAAAACTGTTTAGCAACAGAAAATGTAAAAAGATTTAAAAAATAAAAATACCTTCATGCAAAACTTGAACATATAACTAACTTCACCGTGTAATTCTGATTTTTTAGTACCAATTAAAAGTTTTTCACATAAAAATAAATGACGTTCTTTGCCTTTGCCTCGACCTTTGCTACCCTCCCAACATAACACATCATCCTAAATATTCACAAAAACGTTTGTGTCAAAACTTAAACACCTAATTCAAAAAGTACTCAAAATTTAAACCATATAAAATTTACAGAATAAAGTAGAGTATGCAGAATAAAGAAGTACATATAGCAAAACAAACATATGGAATTGAAAAACCAATGTTATTATATGAGTTCTTATTCAAATTTTAAGTAGATTATCGAAATTTTTATTTATTTTACAATTTACAGATTAAGATTTTGAAGAGTTGCAATAAAAGTATAAATTACAAATTTTACATTTAATGTGGTTTAATAAGTCGTGAATATGCATATAATATGGCGTGAATATGGATACATACAATGGTTCATACAATTTAATTTTGGTTGTAGTACAAATATATTGTAATGATACATACAAAGCTGAATTTCAAATATTTTCTTAGTAATTGGATTACTGTAATCAAACTATAACTTTGTGTTTTCCATCTTCTTTCAAGAATGAATTTCTATTTTTGTTAAAATATTAAATTTTCTTTGAAAAAAATAAAAATACCCTTTTTAACACTGAACCACATTCATCTAATGGTATTTCACCCTAAAAAAACATTAATATATTTACTAATCAAAAAAAAACACGATCTTTTTTTATTGGAATTGAATTAAAAATATTTTTACTTCATATCCAATAATCTTCATCACATGCATTGAATCATTCACATTTTGAATTATTCGACTAATTTTTGACAACGCATTCTAAACAACAGAATTTCACTTTCATTTTAAATGATTCAAGTGTTGTCTCCCACAATACATGGTTATTATCTCCTTAATATTTCTCAGCTTAATATTCAATCTTTAAAAAAATTTCAAAGAAAAATATAATCAAGTTATTTTAAAAATCTGTTGCAAAAAATAAAAAAAAAGGTAGAACCTCAACAGCAGTTGTATCTTCATCCAATCGAGTAGTATACTTTAGGATTTCCTGTAAAAGAATTTTTCAAAACTTTTAAATTTTTTAAGAAATTGTATAGCATATCAGATTATTAACAATTAAAAAAAAAAAATTAATTATGGTTATTGAGTGTCAAAAATTAATAAAAACAAACAAATAAAATACATGTTCAAAAAATAAAATATTTTAATAGATCGCACATGTTTGATGTCATCATCAACACTAACATCATCAATATTGAGAAAAAGACATCACTAACATTGAGAACAGGATATCATCAACATTGACATCATCAACATCACCATGTCACATGCTTGATATATTAGAGAAAGCTGGCAAATTTCATGAAATTTGGTAAAATTTTACTGTAAACATTATAAAATCTTTTGGCCAACCAATTGTTTTATCTATTTAATATTATAGAGCCAATTATTTTATCTACAAAATAATAATTATTTGGGGTAGAATTAAATATCAAATTTCCTTAATTTTTTGTTTTGATAAAAACTTTTTTTTTGTGCCAATTTTTAGAATAAAATTTATTCAAGAAATTTGATAATAATAATTATCAATAAATTTAATGTTTTATTTTAATTTAAAACTATTTTATAAAATAATTATACCTTAGCTACCTTTTGACTGGCTTTAAAATTATTTTAATTTAATTTAATTATGGAACAGATTTTCTAAGTTGTTGTTTAAATTTTTTTCTTTGTTTTATCACTTCATTAGTAACTCTGAGTTTTTCAATTTATTTAAAAGCGTAAAGAGCATTCAAAAAAGTAAGTTAAAAATATGAACAAATTTAATACTTTTACTAAATTTTGGGCAGATATAAATACCAGAAACTAAATTAAAAAAGGTTTAACTGAAAGGTTTTAATATTCAATATTGTAAAAAATTACCATCAGTTTGATTTATGTTGCATGAAATTATATGCTGTTAAACATTTGCCACCTTACCTTAATACATATAAAAAAATAAAATATACTTTTAGCAATAGCTGGTAACGAGTAATACGCTGTACAGGGGTAATTAAATATGCACGAAGAGAGTGACCATCTTCAATTTCATGTTGAAATCCCTATCAAAAAATAAAACTAAATATTAATTAAAAATTTATTCATAATAATATTCATTATATACCAAAATTCTTTTTTGAAAAATTTTGTTTTCATTTTAACTTACATCCCAGAATTCAATGCTCTCAGGTTTATTAAGTATTTCGTCTGCAGCAGGTCGACTTATACAAAACTCCAGGTAAAGTTTTTCAATTTGATATGACTAAAAACATGTTTTATTGATTTTTTATAAAATATTATGAATACTTACAATCCTTACTTATTTCCCATAAAAATGATAAAAATATACAAAAATCATAAAAAGAATTCATTAATTGTAAATTCTATATTTTTTAATCCTATTTGTTTTTACAACTTTTTTCAAAAAAGTAAAAACTACTGACAGTAAAAACTTTTAGACATTAAAAAAATTTTAAGCCATTAAATTTTATTTTAAATTTATGTAAAACTATAATAAAATATAATATAAAAATTTTAAGTAAATATTATATTAAAATGTATTTATAAAAACTTTTAAAAAAATGTGTGGACATACATTCTCATAAAAAACAGATGCCATAGATATATAATCTGTGACAGATTCTTCAATTTGTGGCAACAAGATGCTTAATAAAAAAAAAAAAGAATTAATTGAAACATTTAATTTTATTAACAGCAAATTATATATTTTATTTATTTTTGTATATATTGTTAATATTTACATAATAATATATCCTTGTTAGATAAAGAATATTTAAGAACTAATATGTTAAATACTTTATTTTTATTATATGATACTATTATATATAGTACTATATATAAATACAATAAAAACTAAAAAAAATACTTTTTGTACTTCTTTTATACATTGTATAAAAGAACTACAAAAAAATAAACAAACTATTTAAATATTTGATTATTAAATTACTTTTCACTATGGTATTATTTAATAATTCCATAATCATTAAAATATTATTATCATTATGTTTTTATATTATTATAAAAAACTTTTTTCTTACTTAAAATGTAGTTTATGAATATCTGCAATATTAGAAAAAATAATATTTGATTTTCCTTGCAAAATAATTGGAATATCAGTTGTTGGATCCTCTAGTTCCAAAATATGGTTCTAAAAAGTATGCAAAAAACAAATGTTTTAGAGAACATCATAAGTAATTCTCATAAGTAAAAGTATTAATGTTTAGATAATTATAAGATGAACATTAAATTGCAAACCACCATTATGTCCTCCAGACGAATTAAAATAATGTTATATCAAACAGCGTGGAAAATAAGAAATGGAAATAAAGCAAGCAGTCAATTTGACCGGCTAACACATGAAATTTGACGGTCAATTGTTTTTTTAGGATGGTCAAAATTTTTATTTTCATGTTTGTTTAAATTTTCATTTGAGTGATAGGTCTTCATTATTGAAACTAAACTTTTTAATGTTATAAAATTAACGAACTTGCACTCTTTTAAAAATGATAGTTTTATATAAAATTAATGTAATTTTTTAAGTTTTAACTCACAAATATAACCACAATTTTTACAATCACAAATAAAATAACCACATAATGTTCAAATTACCTGCTAATGTTAATTTGTTTAAAATTACGCTCACGAACACAGATTTTCATTCAATTAAAAAAAGAAGTTTGATAATATCCAAATAATCTAACGTTGAATTTTTTTTTTTAATATCAAAACAAAATTTTAAAAAATATTAAAAAAGTTTAGACTAAATACTCAATACTAAACAAAATCATTTTATGAATGCTATTGAAAAATGAAAGCGTTGTTTGTCTTATTTTATTTGCCTTCGTGAAACGAAAAAAATAAATGAAAATATTAAATAAAAAAAAAACAGTTGGTAGAGAAAATGTTCTCTACCAACTGTTTTTTTGTTAAAAAAAAAAGTTAAATACGAAAAAGTTAAATACGAAAAATTTAAATAATAATTTTATCTCTTATTTTAATGAGCAGAGATATAAAATTTTTTTAAATCTCTGCTCAAAACTGTAAAAAATAGCTATTTATAACTTTATAAATACTTGTGCGTAAATTTTTTACTATTTAAACTTGATGATGACTATTTGTAAAACCTTGATTTTTTTTAACCGGTCATAATTGACCAACAAGAATTCATTTTGGGAGATCAAAATAGCATGTTTAGACATTTCAGCAGTCACTGACCAGTTATTTTCCACGCTGAGTCAAATATGCATTTGATATTTAAACCAACAATTCAAAATTTAAAGAGAAACCTTGACAACATTTCCTAACTGATCAACATATGTCTTTTCTGTAAGATATATCTCTTTAAGAACTTTGCTAAAAATGAAATTCGAATAAAAAATATAGTTTATAAAAAAATAAAACATTAATTACAAAAATAAAAGTGAAAATCTAGAGCTTGAAGGTCTGTTGGCACTAAATAAGCTTATAATTTGTTTCTTTAAGCAATCAATAGTAAAAACAGTTAATAAAAGTAAAAGAAGTTGATAAAAACAAAAAAAGTCGATAAAAGTAAAAAAAAGGTTAATAAAAGTAAAAAACTGTTCATAAAATTAAAAAAAAGTTGATAAAATTAGAAAAAAAGTTAACAAAAATAAAAAAAGTAATAATTGTAAATAAATTTATAAGTAAAAAACAGTTTATTAAATAAAAAACAGTTTAATAAACAAAAAACAGTTTATTAAAAGTAAAAATAAGTTAATAAAAGTGAAAATAAAGTTAATAAAAGTAAAAACAGTTGATAAAAGTAAAAAAAATTGTTAAAAGAAAAAAGTTAATAAATTAAAAAAAAAAAAAAATTAAATTAAAAAACAGTTAATTAATAAAATTAATAAAATTAAAAAAATGTTTAATAATAGTATTAAAAAGTTGATAAAAGTAAAAAAAACTGTTAAATATAGAAAAAAAAAATTGATAAAAGTAAAAGTAAAAAAAATAAATAGTACAAGTAAAAAAAAGTTAATATTAAATAGTAATAGTTCTTGAATCTGATCTCACTTCTGTAACAGTTAAGGCTTGCAGTGCAGATTGCAAATTTTAACTTCAACAAAACTTAGTTGTTTACTGCCAACAAGTATCACAATACTGTTGATATTCTTATATTAATTAATGACAACCTTCTGACTAAGCCCTTATATTTATGTCTACTTGGACTATCATTCAATACTGACCTCTCATGGAAAATATATTTACAATCGATTACAAAGTTATCATCTAACTTCATTATCTTAATCTTAATTCCATTCTACTCTACATTCTACTCTATCTCTACAAATCTCTTATTCCTTCCTGTATGGAATACTGATGTCATATTTGGGTTTGTTCTTCCAATGATGCTCTTTCTCTTCTAGACAAGGTCCAAAAATGCATTGTAAATGTAGTTGGGCCTGATTTGTCTACCATCATCATAAGGTTGCACTTCTTTCACTTTTCTACAAATACTATGAGGGTTGTTGCTCAAAGAAGCTATCACCTCTAGTTCCATAAAAGAAAACTCATTCAGCAAAGTAGCTTCTTCAATGTCATTCAGAAAGTAACTTCCTATTACTGTATCTATCCCTGCATGCTCTAAAAAACATTATTTGTTTAGTTTCTTTCCCCTCCCACTTCAATCATTTAGAAGTTTATCCTATCTTTTTTTTTCTTTACTCATACAATCATTCTGTCAACCTTTTTCTTGCTTTTTAACTCTTTGTTTTCTTCCAAATTAATAACTTCCAAATTAATAGCAGTGTTGTTAGGAGTTAATTAGATTTAAAAAAATAAAAGTAAAAAAAGTTAGTTAAAGGTAAAAAAAATATTAATAAAAAATAAAATTGATAAATGTAAAGAAAAGAAAAAAATAAAGTAGAAGGAAAAAAAACATACTCTCGATGACTACGATTTGAGTCTTGTTTATCTTGTGAATCTTTTACAATTGGTGCTCTGTTTTGGACTTTGAGTTCCAAATGAGTGCTTGGTACAAGACCAATTGGGCCACATGTTCCGTCCTCATTGAATACTTGAACAAGCCAATATTCTCGACTTGGAATACCATCTAGCAACATAACAACCATTCCTTCAAATAAACTTAATTCACTTGGTGATCTGGCTTCAAAGTTTGCAATTGCAACATATTTAACCTGTTTTTAAAATTTTTTTGATAAAAAAACCAAAAATTTTTTATTACAATAATAATGTATCATAATTATAATATTATGTTTAAAAAGAAGAAAAAGAAAAAAGAAGAAGGAAGCTTGAAATCAAAAAGAAGAAGGAAGCTTGAAATCAAAAAGAAGAAGGAAGCTTGAAATCAAAAAGAAGAAGGAAGCTTGAAATCAAAAAGAAGAAGGAAGCTTGAAATCAAAAAGAAGAAGGAAGCTTGAAATCAAAAATTTGAGCATATGGAAAGTTTAAAAAAAAGGCAATAAGTGAAAAAAAAAAGTTAAAAAAAAAATGAAATTAATTTAAAAGCAAAAAAGCAAATTTTGATCAAATAAACCTATTCTACTTTTGATTGACTGAATTTTAATATAGGGGAGACCAGGGAGACTTTGAACAGTTTTTTTAATTGAGTTTATTTTATAACTTTTGCATTTTTTCAAAGTAACATATTTTTTTGTCAAGCTACAATGATTAATTATTTTAACATTTTACCTTTCTTTATATTTCTTCATTTCATTGTTTAAAAACTTTTTTAAAAATCTTACTCAAGTGTCTGAAGTCATGCAGACTTGGGATATGTATAGAGGAGTTCATGGACATCAAATAACTAATTGCGCGATTACAACAAAAATAGTTTATTTTTCATTTAGAAATTATTGCAATTAGTATTCATCCAAATTGCACTTAAAATATATCATGTTCTTAAAGCGATATATCATGGCACAAAATTAATATTGCTGTCATTAAATCCATTGTCATCAAAGTACTCAGGTTATATGTGTTATTGTTAAGTAGGTCTATTGATTTGAAGGTTTATTGATCTATCTGAAAATGATTCTTAAAGAATTGCTTATTATGAGGTTTTTCCCTGTAGAATTTTTTTAGATTGTCTCTTTTGCAAGCATCTTCACCATTCTTGCTTTTTTTGAAACTGCAAGTACCTCTTTTTATGAGGTACTTTTGGCTATTATAGACCTACCTTTACGATGTCCTCAAATATTGTTTGATTTCTGTGGAGCAGCTTTAGGATACAAATGAATTTGATGTGGGGTAACATGTTAATTAATTAAGATGCAGCTTTTAATTACATTCACTCAAGAATTACTTGCAGAATTAATTTACAAGGTAAACATGATGTTGCGATTGTTAACAATTGTGCAAATACAAATTTACAAAACTTTAATATTTGCCCATAGAGAATTGTTATTTAGCAATCTTTACAAAGCATAAGAGAATTTGACTTTAGACAATTTCTAAAATGCCCAAAGTCTCCCCATAAGGAGGATATTGAAAAATAAATGGAATTGTTACAAACTCATTTATAGATCACAAATAGTTACATTCTCAAACATCAGTAGGTAACCGTTTGTTCTGAAAAAAAAATGGCATTAACTCTGGCAGAGTTTATAACTTTTAAGTTGATTCACTTGAAATTGAAAATTTTACATCAAAGAACCAAAAAATCGTTTTTCACTTTAAAATCTGTTTTTTAGCAGGAAACTGTCACCTAACTATTTTAAAGTTAAGAGCTAATGTCAACCAACATATCAACCATAGAAATCATTGCACTAATGTTAACAGGGTAGAAGATATCTAAGTGTCTATTCTTTCCCTGTGTTCAAAATCTCCCTGGTCTCCCTTACACATATATAATCACCTCTCACTCTCTCTCTCTCTCTCTCTCTCTCTCTCTATATATATATATATATATATATATATATATATATATATATATATATATATATATATATATATATATATATATATATATATATATATATATTAGGGTGTCCCAAAAAACAACTTTTTTAAAAATAATCTGCTCTCACCCCCTAAATGTGTTCTATCTAATACAAAAACACTAAGTTTAAATTTTTTTTCAATAAAAAATAATTTAAAGGGTCCCTCAAGACCCTCGAATATTTAATTGGTCCTTAATATTTTCAAAAAAAAAGTTTTTAAAAATTATGTCAACCTGGTACTTAAATGAACCGAAATTATATAAAAATTTCAAAAATAATGTTCATTTTGGAAAAAACGATACGTAGTTAAACGATACTTCTTTTTTTTTTAACGAAATCGGCGATTTTTTTACAGAAAATTGTTTTTTGTTTTGGCAAATATTGTATATTTTAAGGGAAATATCGTTATATATAATTGTTTCCGAAATGAACATTATTTTTGAAGTTTTTATATAATTTCGGTTCATTTGAGTACCAGGTTGACATAATTTAAAAAAAATTTTTTTTTGAAAATATTAGGGACCCATTAAATATTCGAGGGTCTTGAGGGACCCTTTAAATTATTTTTTATTGAAAAAAAATTTAAACTTAGTGTTTTTGTATTAGATAGAATACATTTAGGGGGTGAGAGCAGATTATTTTTAAAAAAGTTGTTTTTTGGGACACCCTAATATATACATGCACAATTATAATATAAATCACTATTAATCTAGTGATATTTTTACCAATTCTTTTTGACTTCTTAATATATCTTCTTTATTGTGTTCTTTGGTCTGTATATTTTGAGCATCATCAGATAGATAATCACTATAAATAACAAGTTATTTTCAATCATAAAGTTTAAAAAAGTTAAAAAGTTTGAAAAAAAAAAATCAGGAAAATTAAAATGGAAAAATTAAGAATTGAATTATGGAGAAGTTAATAAAAAAATTTAAATTTTAGAAAAATTAATATAAAAAAAAAATAATTTTTATAATTTTAAGTCTAAAAAATCATAGGTTTCTGAAAAAATATAAAGTAAAAGATAAAATATTCTCATTATTTAAAGTAATTCTAAAAATACTTCTGGAAATGAATTTAATGATTTAAAACATTAATGGTAACCTTTGTTTAAATTTTTTTAAAACATTTGGTGAAACAAAGCCAACATCAACAAGAGTCGCTGTGTTTCTAACCAACCAAGCATCATCTCGACTGGAATCAAGCACTTCAACAAGATCGCCTTTCTTTAAAAATAGGAAATCATCTTTTAATGGACTGTAATCATCTACTACAGTAAACATTAAGTAATCCTAAAACAGAAATTAAAAATAAAAAAAATAATATTGAAAATTTAATAAAATTTGTTTAAAAAAAAAGCAAAATAAGATCATATAATAAAAAAAAAAATTTATAAATAAAAAACGTATCTTACCTCCTCCTCTGGACTATTTATGGCACTGCAATTTTGATAACTTTTGAAAATATTATCATTTGAATCTTCCATTTTTGCTTTAAAAAATATTTAGATAATTCATTTATATAATTATTAATTATTTAAGAGTTTTATCAAATGTAATAGTTAAAAACATACGTAGAACAAGTAAATCTGCAGAACAAGATGCCTCTCCGTATATATTAGAAGCGATGCATGTGAGTAAAGCAGTGTCTATTAACTGAGCTTCAGGAATCAAAACTGAATGCAAATTATCATCTGACAACAACGTTATATTAGAAGTATTTTTGCTTATTTCTACATCACCAAACAACCATTTTACTTTGTAAGGAGCATTACAACTAATTTCTACATCAAAGCGAGCAAAGTTTCCTTGAATAACTTGTTGTGAAGTCAGCGGAATAAGAAATAAAGGAGCATTCTTAGATTGAACAGTATCTATTATATTTTCTTTAAACTGTCCATTTTGGGTAAATGTAGTGTTTTCTTCTGTAACACTTTCCAGTTCTTCTTCTTCTTCATTTTCCTCATCCTCCTCTTCTATTTCTTCGTCAACTTCTTCTGTATCTTCCTCCTTATCGTCAATTCCTGATATATAAAGTAATTTACAAATAATATTTTTGAGTATATGTCTGTACACATATTTAAATGTATATATTTTTTTGTTAGTCACCTCCTCAAGGTCGAGAAGGCCACTACAGATGAGGAGCTTACCTAATAGTGGTTAGAACCCTCGCTCAATATATAACTCCCAAATACGAACCTTGACAAACAAGTTGAGCGCGGTATTTCCAGGGACATGGTGGGGATTGAATTCAAAACCTCTTGCTTATAAAGCGAGCACTTTACCACTACAATACTACTGCATATATACATAAACATATATATATATATATATATATATATATATATATATATATATATATATATATATATATATATATATATATATATATATATATATATATATATATATACATATATATATATATATATATATATATATATATATATGCACATATATGTTTTGTATGTCAGTGTGAGTGTACTTGTGCGTATTTGTATACATATGTATTTAACTTTTCACCAACTTAATAAGTTAGTGAACTAATTCAAAAACATGTATATACTGGACAGCATCACTTTATTTTGTCCAACACTTTATTTTATCTAAAAAGTAATAACTCTCTATATATACTTTGATGATATTGATGACAGAAAAAAATGATGACATCGATGACAAAAAAAAAAGATTATATTGATGACAGAAAAAATGATGATTTCGATGATGAGTTTTTTAATGCAAAATAATAAAACCTTTTTTTTGTTTTTATTTCTTTTAAATTTTTAATATAATTAATTTATAATAATTTAAATCACTTTTTTTTTTTACAAACACACTTATATAGCAAATATATAGCAAAGAAATCACAGTATATAGCAAAGAAATCATACTTAAAGCCACTATCACCAATGTAAAAAAGCATGCAGAGCTGAAAATTTGTATGAAGTTCTGACAACCAAAATTTTAGATTAAAAAATCCTAAATTAGGAAATCATAAAAAATCAAAATTTTTAACTGAATGAATCAACAGAAAAAGTATGCTGAATGGCTCTTAAACTGAATTTTGCAGCATTTACTGAAATTAAATATTATTAAAAAAATTAAATTCATGTTCCATTGGTTGTTAAATTTATGCAGAGACATCAAAATACACATTTTTGCACAGTTAAAACATAAAACAAGTGACATTAAGACTTTCTGATTTCAAATTCTAAACTAAAGTTAAATCTTTTATTTAATCATTTAAGTATCAAGCTTCTCAGCACTTGTTTATCCAGTTTTGTGTTTGAGAGTTATAGTGATAATAGGCCTGGGGAAATTATTAGTCAATATTAGCCTCAAAGTTGAGGGTTAGGGAATATTATTCCTTTTAAAATTTATTTTTGATATAAAGCAATTTATATATAAAAGTAATTTTATATGTAAATTGCTTTTAAATTGAGTTTAACTAGAATTTGTAAAATTTATGTCTGCATGCTATAAAAACTATTATTTAGTTTTCCAGTATTTACAAAAAAAAAAAAAAGCACTATAGTAAAAATAAAGTTTTTTTAGAAAGAAAATATTTATTTTATATTTTAATTTATAAACAGAACACATATTGAAAACAGTTTTTTTAATTAAAATTATGTCCTTTATAAATATTATTTCATAAATAAACAAATATTAATTTATTTAAAAAATAATAAAACTTTTATTTCATATTGTTTGTTGTGCTCTCTCATTTTTCGCTTTTGAAATTAACAGCATGATTATTATATTTCTAACAAGTTTTAAAATCTTTATTTATTTTACTATTAAAAACAGTTCTTACTGTCATTTTACTTTAGGAAAACTTAAAGAAAAGAAAGTTTAGTATTTGCATATTTTTGAAGAAATCTTTGCACTTACTGCAAAACAAATTAAAAATTTGCAGTTAATAAATTTAATTCTTTATACAATCGCAACATATTTAGAAACACATGAAATATGGATATGCGGAAGCTTCAGTAACTGAGAGTTCAAGCATTTACAAAGTAAGTCAACTAAAGATTTTTTTTGTTCCAAAACAAATGTGATTAAAAGTATGAAAAATTAAAAAAAAAAAGATTCAAGAATTTACTTTCAAAAATCAACTCACAAACCATCAACATCTTCAACAAAAAATCATACCTTCAACACCTTTAATAAAAAATCATACATTTAACATCTTTAATAAAAAATCATACCTTTAACAAGCAACTCACAAACAGATTCAGATATTCCAAAGTCATTAATTGCAGTAACCTTAACTTCCCCTTCTTCAGCATGTGTCAAAGAGTTAATAATAAGACTATAAATTCCATCACTTTCTACCAATTGAATTCTTTTTGAATGTGATACAACTTGACCATTAATAAACCATTTGACAATATTAGCATCAAATATTTCTGTTTCAATAACAACCTCTTCACCAATCTGTTTAGAACAATCTCTTAATTGTTTTATAATTGGAGGCTTTTCTAAATCAATATTATTAGGTTCTTGATTTATGCTATCAATGTATACTATAGTTTGACTCTCAACAGCGCTAAATTCGTTAGACACCACACATTTGTAGTTACCTTCATCTTCAAGCAAAGTTGCTGGTATTAATAATGTGTGAATTTCTCCATTGGAAGATAAGTGAATATCTTCATTAGCAATAAGCTTCATATTGTTGTAGTACCAGAATGAAGATAAAGGTTTTGATAAAGGTTTGCCATTATATTCTGTCTCAATTTCTAGTTTTAAGGGATCTCCTTCATTAATGATATACTGATTTTCAAGCTGTTTTATCAAATGAATTTCATGATCATCAACTTGATCTTCATCACTTTCTTCTACTGAATCGTCATCCGAAGCTGAAAAATTGGTTACAAAAATTATAATGCTCCTAAAAAATCATTCCATAGAAAAAATACACTAAAAAATATCTACATTAAATAAACATTTAGAAAGAATACTTATAAAAACAGAGAGCTTTGCATATTAATATATAATACTTACAATATATAGAAAGTGCTACATCAATCATGGTCTCTCCAAAATCATTGCGTATGTGACACTCATATAATCCTTCATCACTTTCAACCAAATTCTTTATTTGTAAAAAAAAAGATTTTCCCTTATCCCATATTTTGATTCTACCTGATGAAAACAAAAAGTTGCCATCTTTCTTCCAAGAAACAATATTATCACCTCTGTCTTTCAAAGTCATATGAAATTCAGCAACATCACCAACCTTTAGTTCCAAATCTTCTGGTTTTTTTACAACTTCTGGTTTTGAATGGTGAGGGGAATCACGTGGTGTAGCAGGCATGACAATTACATCAATACCTACAAATAAAGCATATTAATATATTTTACTTTTTTATACGTTGTTTTATTTTATATAATTAATAAATTAATATATATACATTAAATATATATATATATATATATATATATATATATATATATATATAAACATATATATATATATATATATATATATATATATATATATATATATATATATATATATATATATATATATATATATATATCTGATATTATGCAAATTGTACTGAAATAAAAAACTGTGTGAAAGAGTATTTTTTATAATTAAACAACATCTATTCAGCAAGCATAAAAGTTAACCATAAAGTTTTTGTGCATAAATGGTGTCTGCTCATCAAGCACACTAATAGACTAATTATTTATAAATAAGTAAAATAAATAAATAGACTAAATATTTTCAATTTTTTTATACTTATCTTTTTATTCCTTTAATTTATTATTTATTACTTATACCTTTTTTGTTTGTTTCTTTTTATTTTTATTAAGAATTGCCTCACTTATTCAATTCATGTTAATATGTTTCACTTTCACTTTGCAATAACAAACATAGTTACTAATGTTACATAGTTACTGTATTCAAAAGGCTTTAAACAGTTATAACTGATTAAGTCTCTAATATAATATAATTGAATAACTCTTTATTTTTATTTATGTTAACCTTATTAAAAATAGTTACCAGAACTTTTAAACTGATGTCTCAATACTTCTCTATTTAAACCTTGGTGTATTTCTTTAATTGCAAGAAACTTCATACCAGAAGAATCATTTAGGTTGATCTGAGCTACTTCATCATCTTCATCAAAAAACTCTTCTCTATAAAATATTATAATAAAAAAAAAAATAGCTTATTTTCATTTTTTAACTATTCTTTTTATGGATTTTTATTCTTAAAACTAAAGTTTGCCATAATCTCTGAAAATCACATTTATCAACCAAACCATTTAGTAAACTAAAATAATGCATTTTTTTATCAACAAAAAAATTATATCTTGAAACTGAAAAAAAAAAAAAAAAAAATCAGTGAAAATTGGCCTTAAAAATTAGAAAATAATTATTTTAGTCACCAATAAAAACAAAAACTTCTAGTGCAATCAGGCTTTAAAAATTATTGAACAAGTAATTCTCAAATTGTAAAAAAGGAACTTTTGCTTTATTTCTCACCAAAGCATCAGCATAATAAATCCTATTGAAATTATGATAATTATGATAAAAAAACTGAAATTAGAAATTTTGCATTTGACTGCAAGCCACACTAGCATTAAATAGTTTTGTATGTGTTTTGTAGAATAAATTAATTATATATACAAAGCTTGGAATTAGGGACAGCATTCAGCAATGCTGACCTAACAGCCAACCTAAAAGTGTTTGAGGTTGGTAAAAAATTGTTGACCTTATTTTATGTTTTATGGTAACCTCTTTGTGTCCAATTCTTTTGCCGACCTAATGCCTACCTCTAACAGTTTGAGGTCAGCAATTTATTGCCGACCTCATTTTTCCTAATTCCGAGGCTTATATATATATATATATATATATATATATATATATATATATATATATATATATATATATATATATATATATATATATATATATATATATATATATATACATATATATATATATATACATATATATATATATATATATATATATATATATATATATATATATATATATATATATATATATATATATATATATATATATATATATATATATATATATATATATATATATATATATATTCTACAGAAAGATGACTTAATATTTATGAAAAGTAAATCAGTACGAATTAGTTAAAATCTAATTTATACTTTTATTTATTATTGATCAACTTGTAAAGGATTTGTAAGTCAACTTGTAAGTCCAGTTATCAACTTGTAAGTCCAGTTATCAACTTGTAAGTCCAGTTATCAACTTGTAAGTCCAGTTATCAACTCTGAAAGAAGAATTAAATGTAAAGTAAAAGATGTGGTTATTGGCTGTTAAAAATAATAACGACGATGCAGGCACAAAAATTATAAATCATTTAAAAACATAATAAACTTTTTGATTTGTTTATGTACAATTGAAATAGAACAGAAAAGCTCATGTTGGATGCAAAAAAAAAATTCTTTTCTCGAGTTGAACTTTGTTAGATATTTAAGATAAAATTTTGGAACCCAAGTTGGAAGCTTTTCTCCCAATGGAATCTTTGTTGTTTGCAATATTGAAAAATTCAGCATTGGCAAGTTTAAGACATCATACAAGTTTGAGAGAAACTACAGAAATAGCAACTGATGCTCTTATTGATGGTAAAATTATTACAGAGAGAAACACTTGTTTTATTATTGACCATGAAAAAGTTTAGCAAGCTCAAGAAAAATTTGGAACAGAATTTTCTGAGAATTCTGAAATAAAACTAAACAATAATGGTTTGAGTTGCATTATCTTTGATGATAAAAAAGATTTTTTATGATTTCCTAGGTCTAATAAAAGACGAACATTATACGGTGTGCAGTGAACCTAGTGGAAATTAACTACTCCATTTCATTCCTGAAGAACAGGATTAAAAAAAACTTGCAGAAATCATTGTTTCATCTTTACACCTTTCCGTGATTTTCTTTATGATATCCCATCGGATAACATAACAAAGAAAACGTCTTGATGAAAATTGTTTTTTTTTAATGTAACTTGATTCAGGCAAGCATTGAATCTTTTATTCCTTCCAGACAATTCCAATTCAAGCCTCACTCTTTTCCATGGTTTTCCTTTCAAAGGGCTGCAATATCCTATCAAAACCATTACTTTCATAAAATCAAAAAAATTGTCAAAAAAACTCTTCAGAAAACAGACACCTGTTTACTATTGCTAGAAATCATTGTAAAAAGGTTTTGTCAAATGCAAAAACCTGTTATTCTCAGGTCAAAAAATCTCATATAAAAAAATAAAGAAAGACTTCAGAGACTTCTAGAGAATCTATAATAAGCAAAAACTTGTTATTCTACCTCATTGTTCAGATTTTGTTAACTCATCTAAAGATAAATCTGAATCATTTCTTAAAATGATTCAGATTTATCTTTAGATGAGTTAACAAAATCTAGAGATGAAATTTCATCAATTTCATCTCTAGATCCACTATGATATTACTACCTGAAATACCCAACTAACAGGTTGATTCATTGTTTGACATTTGTATCACTCCAGCTTCTGTATCTTAAGTTATTTCTTGTTTAAAAATTCTCTAAAAAAGAGTTTAGAAACTCTTCTACAGCTTGTGGTGTGGACAGCATACCTGCTATAATTTTGCAAATATGTTCCCTGGAGCTGTTGTCTATACATTCAAAACCATTTAACAACTGCTTATCAGAGTCTTGTTTCCCAGCCTGTTGGAAACCGGCATCTGTTATCCTTATTTTCAAAAACTCTGGAGAGCAATCTGACTCGTCTAACTTCTGTCCCATTAGTCTTCTTCCTATCATAAGCAATATCTTTGAGACTTTAATTAACAAACACTTAATCTCTCATCTTGAACCTAATAACTTACTTTCTGATCATCAATATGGATTTAGAATAACAAGGGGAAAACCAGTAATGTCCAAAAGGGACACTCATTCCAGGATTCAATGCAGCATGTATAGTTTACATTTCTAAAAGATATTTTTACACTAATTTATCATACTAATTTACTAATATGCTAATTTACAAACCTAAGATACATATATGATACCGGAAATATTTTTAAAAAAATTAAAAAAATTATTTTTTTAATTTTTTTTTTGTTATTCACCTACTCAAGGTCGAGAAGGCCACTACAGATGAGGAGGCTACTTAATAGTGGTTATATACATATATATATATATATATATATATATATATATATATATATATATATATATATATATATATATATATATATATATATATATATATATATATATATATATATATATATATATATATATATATATATATATAATGTTTTTTTTAAGTCTGGAAAAAATTTGAAAAATAAAATTTTTTAGGCCAAATATTTTTTTTTTTGCAAAAAAACTCCTATATTTGGCAATATTTCCGCTAAATTTATCCAGGACCAGGGGTACCATTGTCCAATTTTTTTCCTAGAATAGCCCCTGTATATAACATACAACTTTAGGAATTGAATCTTTCATTTTAATAGTTGTATACTATACATTTATATGAATTTTATCTGAATATTATTTTAATTAAATGATAATTTCTTTAAAATTTTTATAAAAAAGTTAAGTTTTGAATATTAAGTTTTACTTTTCATTTGGAGAGTTGCAAGCGATTTCAACATTATTGGCAAAAATTTCATTTTCCACCACGACATCCTTTTCACTTTCTGAATATGCAGGAATAACTTTGGCTTGAACTAAAAATTTATAAACAAATTTAATTTTAAAAATAAGTACTAAAAAAAGTTAAAGAAAGGTCATAATCAAGAATTGAACAATAGCAAGGGTAAGAATAAAGCTTTTTCAAGCAGTAATTAATGTTGTTAAAAAATAAATAATTATAAAACCTTTTGGTTTACATTCTTTAACTTTTGAATCTTTTGTTTCGATGACTTCTATTTCAAAATCTTTTTTAATTTTAAAAGGAGGCAGTTTTGATGGTTGAACTTTGCTATTAGAAATAACAAAAGAAGTTTGAATTTAAACTTAAAATATAAAACTTAAGATGTAGCTTAACATAACAACAACAGTTTGATTTTAAAATATCTTATTTGCTTTAACAGTTGCATATTTAACTTTTTTGTTAAAAAGTTCAAATAAAAAAAAAACATGACTCCAAAACAGGAATCCGGAAAAAGAAGCGTGTATGCGAAATAAATGTGAAAGAGTAAATACATCATTTTTTTTTAGTGGTTGTATTAATATATTTTTCATTGTGTTTGGATTTTGTTGGCAAAATGTAATGATTTCAAAAAAAGATTTTAGTTTTCCCATTTAACTTAAAATAAGTTTTAAAAATGACGAATAAAGAAGACGTTAAAAAAAACATTTCACAAAAATTTTATAAAAAATCTGAATTTAGCTACAATTCAATAGCAAAAAAAGTTTCAAATACATTTCTACATCGTTAGTCATGTTGCTTAACATTTTACCAGAACAAAATCAATCAAACACAAATCATGTAATGGAGGAAAGGAGGTTTTTGAAGATATAAAACTATTTAGAAAACTTTTTGAATAATCAAAGCCTCACAATAAGAGTACACACAAAAATTTGTTGTAAAATTTTTTGTTGTTTTATTATTTTTGTTGTAAAAGTTTGTTATAAAAATTTGTTTTGTTGTAAAAGTTTGATATAAATGTTTTTCAAGCTTTCAAATCACAAATAGTGTTTAACTGTTCTGAAATTCAAAAAAAAAAAAAGAACCCACTGAAGAAAGTTGTATGACAACAATATTTTAAAAAAATTCTGAATTATTGAAGATGATGAAACTTATATGAAGTATGATCATCAGCAATTTTCTAGTGCTGTCTATTATAATTACAAATATAGAGGAAAAGCAGATAAAAAATTTAAATAGACAAAAAATGATAAGTTTGCTAAAAAAGCTTTGATTTGGCAAGCTATTTGCAGGTATGGCAAATAATCAGCACTCACTATATTTCTGAATCCACACTTTTTAATAAAACATATGTTAAAGGGTGTAAACAAAAACATCTTTATCTCCTTCTAAATCACATTATAGTAGACGTGTGTTCTGGTCTGATTTATCATCAAGTCATTATAGCAAACTGACATGGCAGATGGTATAAAAAAAAAGACCTGAAAGTTGTCTAAAATAGCAAATCCTCTAAACTGCCCAGTATTAAAAATTATTGCTAAGTACTGGATAATTATTATACAAAAAATAAAAATAAATTAAAAAAAAATGCAGAAACATTAACAATTTTGAAAAAAGAAAGATTTAAAAATGCCATTTAAAAAACATCAAATAGTTTTGATTGTTGTTCTGTGCGCAAGCTTATGGGTACCACCAAAACAAAAGTTTGAAATTTTATTAAATACCTACAGAAATAAATTTAATTTTTTTAAAATTTTTTATCTTCTTACATTAATGTATTAAAATTAATAATTAATTCTCAATAAAAGTCAATGAGTACCTTTTTTTAGTTGTTTTTCTACTTTTATATTTCTTATTAAGAAAACGAGTGAGACTCTCTAAAGCAATAAGTTATCGAAAGATGTTCTGCTATATTACATGTACCTTAAAAAGATGTTCTGCTATATTACATGTACCTTAAAAAGATTCAAATAGAACTTTTTCAAACTTTTGTGTCCTGCACAACACTGACTGCTTTGTGCTATCAAAATTTTGTATTGTGTTATTGAATCTATTTGGATTCCCTCTAATTACAATGGATAATATAAGGTAAAATTTTAAAATTCTTTGTTTATGTTTAAAAAAACACTAAATTTATAAACTTTGATTCAATTTACCAATTACATTTACACAGTAGAAGAATATATTTATGTTGTTTTATTACGCTCTTTCCATTGTGTGTATAATATTTATTTAAAATGAATTGTTAAAAATGAAAACTTTTTTAAAATAGAAATTCACTCCAATACTTTATTTACAATGTATCAGGTAAATATTCAGAGTACTGTGGATTATTACAAAATGTTAAAGAATAGTCTTAACAATGATCCATCAAATGCTAAGTTGAGAGATGTTTTTTATGAGATCTTGTTATGCTTTTGGATTAGTAGAAGTCCTTAAAAACTGATTGAAAAGATCAGAAAAGATAAGAGAACTTCTGCAGCCAAAAAATAAGGTATTACATTCATCTTGAATCAGCTGGCAGAACATAATAGAATGATTGAAACAATTAATCAAAGGTTCATCAAATACTGTTAAAATTTCACAGGTGAGAAAAAATTGCAACATCACAGACTTACTAAATTAATCAGGTTAAATGGACAGGCTTAATATTCCCCTATCTCACTTCAAGTACAGGAGAAGAGTAGAAAACTTCTTGACTAATTTGAAATTACTTACAGTTTCACAATGTGTTTTATACTACTAATTTTAACACTGATAAACTAAAAAAAATTATGCATTAAACTAGCTACAGAGGTTGACAGGTTAATAGGAGTAGATGCTATAAGTATGCAGACACCATATTCATACACCATGATAGAAACAATGTTCACTGCTGAAACATTAAAAAATCCAAGTTTGTGTGGGTGACATACACAATAAACAAATAACCATAAATCTAACTGAAACTGTGAAAAAATCATAATTTTTTATGGCTGTTTTAACTGTTGTTTTTTATCTAAAAAGATTTTTTATTAATTTTTATGTAAACTTAATAAATATGAAAATAACAGATTGTTTAGGTAAATTTTGTTTTCAGTTTATCTTTCAAAAGTAAGTAAACCTCTGATATCTTGTATTAAAAAGTGTATCCATTGAAATATTTATAGATGGAAGTGTATATATATATATATATATATATATATATATATATATATATATATATATATATATATATATATATATATATATATATATATATATATATATATATATATATATATAAATTAGTAGAATATCACAACAATTAACAAAATTTTTTTTTTTATTTGAAATGAATGAAATGAAAAAAATTTTTCTAAAAAATCAAATGAAAAAAAATTTTTGTTAAGTGATTTTCTACTAATTTATAATTGCTCTGTTCTTTTAAGAACATTGAGCACTCTATTTTGTAGAATACATTTTAAAATTGTTTAAATATATATATATATATATATATATATATATATATATATATATATATATATATATATATATATATATATATATATATATATATATATATATATATATATTAAGGTGATTTTACAACTTTTTTTAAAAATGTCTGGTGGCACTCCCTAAACGTTATCTATATAATAAAACAATACTATACTTAAAATTTTTTTAAATTAAAATATAAAATTAAAATTGTTTAAATATATATATATATATATATTTAAACAATTTTAAAATGTATTCTACAAAATAGAGTGCTCAATGTTCTTAAAAGAACAGAGCAATTATAAATTAGTAGAAAATCACTTTACAAAAATTTTTTTTCATTTGATTTTTTAGAAAATTTTTTTTCATTTCATTTATTTCAATCGACCCTTGAACATTATAAGGATCCCTAATAATATCAAAAAAAAAAGTTTTTTAAAAGTATGTTATGTTTGATCTCAAATGAAGCATAATTATATAAAAAATATTTATAATTTTATTAATAAATTATTGTTTTAGATTTTAGTGACCAAAAAATGACATTTAACTAAAAACAAAAAAAGGGAACTCAACAAGATTTTTTCTTTATAATTTTTTTTTCTCTACATTTAAAAAAAAAAGATGATCTAGTTTGAATTAGAGAGATTGTACCATACCCTATACATTATGCAATCATCAGACATTAGCTTTATGAAATCATCAGACATTACAAACAACAATAGTGGCAAACAACAAAAATTATATACAAAAATACAATACAATGTTAGTTTAGATGACATTTAAGTTGCAGATAACAATTTTTTTTTTGTGGTGGCATTTTGCTTATTCAATAAATTCAAAGATGATCGTAATGATGTTTTTTTAAACAAAGGTTACACAACTTTCCTCCACGTTTAAATGGCTCTGCTCTATCAATAATCTTCCACGTAAGAATCGAATTTGAAAAACCCTTTTTTTTATTTCCCAGATATATTTAGAAAGTTTTGTGGTATTAGATTTACAACTATTTTAGCAAGCCATTATAAAAAAAAAAAAAAATAACTGAAATTTTAAAATATTAAAAACTTTTCTTTTATTAGACTCAACCCTAACCCTTAACTAAACCCAATAGACAGTAGAAATATATTTATTCAGTCCTTTTTACTCCCTAGTAAAGCAAGTGTTTAAATAATAACCATTCATTACCCATACCCTAAATTTAATTATATGTACAATGTAAATAAATGAATTACCTTTCCTCATTTTTAGTGCTTATCACATTGCCTTCAGTATCATTATCTAAAAAAAATTCAGTATTATTATCTAAAAAACATATTATTGTATAAAGCCAATTGTACACTTGATAAAACAAAATAATTAAATTAAAAGTTTTTAATTTAAATATCATCATACGACCCACGAATTCAAGTTTCTACCTTTAACTTCTAAAGAAGCAAAACTTTCAACTTTCAGATTTTCTTCATCATGCTTTCTAAATACAATCTTATATACACCATTGTCAGAAGAGCTAACATTTAAGATTGATAGAGTAAATTGTTTATAATCATCTTCAGTACTTTGTGTAACTCTTTGATTTAGTTTCAAAAGTTTATCATTCATGTACCATGCAGCAGGCAAAAAGTTTTCAGTTAAACCTGCCACACGACAAACAAATTTAACTGTACTACCACTAGAAACCTTTTGATCACACAATGGATTAATAATTTCAGGGGTGATTTCATTAACACTTTCATCTGAAACTGATCTGAAACAATTTCATCACAAAAAATACATCAAAAATAGGTTCATACTTAAATTAAATAATTAAATCAAATAAAATCAAATAAAAATTAAAAGAAAAAATTAATTTTAGTAAAACCAATAATAATTAAAACATAGTTGAAAAAAATCAAAATTAAAGTTAATAAATGTGACATCAATTATTTAACTTTACAATAAATTATAATTTATTATAAACCCTAATACAATTATTACAATACTAATTTATTACAACACTAATAAAATATTATAACTCTAATATAATACTAACAAACTATAACTTATTATAAAAAACTACAAAAAGTCTGAATTTTGTTTTAATTTTAAATTAAAACAAAAACAAATTTACAAAAAGGTTTTTCTGTAAACTTTTTTGTAATTTTATATTTTTCTATAAAACAAAGAACAATTAAAACATACTCGTTTGACATCTTTGACTCAATATCTGAATTTTCTTCTGAGCCGCTATCTGAATTTTCTTCTGAGCCACTACCTGAATCTTCTTCTGAGCTACTTTCATCTGTGGTATCCAACCCTGCAAACAAAAAAGTAAAAAATAAAAGACTCACAATTAGCACATACAAATACTACATATAAATGTATCAAAAATTATATATAAAAAATTCCTTTGTTTAAAACATTAACTTATTACTTGATGCTGCAAATAAAACTTCACAAAAAATGTTTCAAACTGAAATAGAACCATAAAGTCATAGAACTAATGAAGGTTCAAATTTAATGTTTACAGAATATATTAATACCATGCATTTTAAAAATATATTAAAACATTTAAAAAAAAAAATAAGAAATTTACAACTATACAAATATAGAAACAAGTATACAAATATAGAAGTTGAAATATGCTTGGAATAACATTCTCGCACAATAATTTTTAACAAAAAACAAACTTTCTCTATTCCTTTTAGAAAAATGTTTATGTAAAATAAATATTTATATGTAACAGAGATAAAAACAGCTTTCAAAAGTAAAAAAGGTAAAAAAAAACAGGTAACCAAGGCAAAAATTGACAAATAGTTCATATTACCAAGCACAAAAAGCTCAGCTGATGTTTTATCTTCTCCTTCTCTATTAAAAACTATACATTGGTATAAACCACTATCTTTCACTGCTGCTTCACGTATAATCAAAGTGCTACTATCATCATCTTCTTCAATAAAATAATGATCATCTTCATCAATACAAATATCATTCTTATACCAATTAAATTCCATGGAATCTCCTGCAAAACAAAAATATTTTTAGTTTACTTTTTTTTTTTTGTTTAGCTATTAGAAGTGTATATAACTTGGTACTGACACATATTTGTTATCTTACCTTTAGCATCAACATCAAATCTTACAGCGCTCATCTCAAATGCTTCAATATCTTTTAGTTTTGTAGTGAACATTGGTGATTTGCTCTTTTTTATATTTTCACAATCATCTAATGTTTGTTTAACATGAAGATCAGGTTGTTTAGACAATTTGGTTGGTTGACTGGTTGATGATTGTGGTTTAGACAATTTGGTTGGTTGACTGGTTGATGATTGTGGTTTAGGTTTGATAGCAGGGGACAGTGGCTGAGTCAATTTCACTAAAATTGGTTTTAAAAAAAAGGTTTTAAACATCTTACATAACTGAACAGATTACATACTCAATATAAAATTGGTTAGATTAACATAAAAAAAGTAGCCGCATTGTCTAACTTTTAAAAATTATAACAATGCTACATATTTAAAGTAAGTGATGCTTACTATATAAAAATTTTTACATAAAAAAAAATGTTTATTATAATATATACCTGCAGGCTCAACATGAACTTCTATCTCTTTATCCAGAAATTTGTCTTCAAGAACTACTTCAAACAAATAAATACCAGAATCTTCCTCTTGAACATTAGTAATCTGTAGAGAGTGAAGAGAACCAACGTGAGATATCTTAATGTTATCTGACTCCATAATCTCGATGTCACATTTAAAAAAATTTGCATCTTTTATTTTTATTTTGCTATTGACCTTAAAATCCAATAACAATGTCTCTCCAGTTTTAATTCTTATTATTTCAGGTAAGTTACACATAATCATAGGTAAAGAGTTTTCTTCTACAGTTAGTATACAACTTGATTTAGAAGTTCCATTAATGTTAATTGCATGGCATTCATAAACACCAGCATCTTCATGACTTACATGAGTTATAGAGAGAGAATAATTATTGTCTTCATTCTTAATTTGCAAGTTCTTATCTTCTTCAATTTCAAGATTATTTAAAAACCATTTGACTTTATCACAGTAGAGAACCTGAACAGAAAACACAACCAGATCTAATGCAAACACTTTTTGAGATTTTAGTGCTTGAACAAATATAGGAAGAGAATTGAGGAAAACATCAGTTAACACAGCAGTTGAACCTGCATTGTTGCAAGCAACTACTTTGTAACACCCAATGTTTTTTTCTTCAAACTTGGAAATAGTCAATATATGAGAAGATTTAACACAAGATATTTTAACATTATTAGACATCTTTAACAGAATATCATTGAAGTACCAATCAACTTTAGGTGAAGGAAATCCATTGACCTCAGCCTCAAGAACCAACTTTTCTCCATTATTTACTTGAATAGTTTTATCAAACTTTGGAAAAATATCAGGCTTGACGTCAAGTCTTTTTGCTATAAAAAATATATTTTTTTGCTACATCTACAAATGTTTTCAAATAATGTTAGTAGTGAAAACATCAAATAAAAATGTTTGAAACAGTATGAAACAAAAAAGTTTTTATAAAGTTGTCTTGATAATATTGTTATAAAAAAATAATTATAAAGCAAAATTTAATTTATCTCAGAAGGATAAATAATTCATTTGACTTATAGTTAATTATTAAAATTAGTATAAGTTAAAAACATTAGTACAAATATAAAACCTGAAATCTTGACATTAAATTCTATTTCACAGCTGCCATGTTTATTAGTAACTAAGCACTTATATATTCCAGCATCGAAAAGTTTTGAATCTTTTAAGACTAATTTGGAATTATTTTCTAAAAATTTAATGCAAGGCTGTTTACTATGATTGCCATTTAGCAATTTGCGATCTTTGTACCATTCAATTTTCAAAGACGTTCTATCTTCTGTCATAATTTGCACTGATAAATTTATGTCTTCACCAACAAGAATAGCTTGGTTGATGTCACACTTCGCAACAATAACAGGTTTTGAACATGTTTCTTTTGATTGAACAGAATGTGGCTCAATATTTTTTTTAATAATATTATAATTTTCAGAACTTTTATTAATGCCAATCAATTGATGTGTATCATCTTGATGGGTACCATCTTGTTCAACCTTTTTTGTTCTATGCTCATCAAAATTTGTCTGGCCTGAAAATTTAGAATCATTGAATGACTTCAATGAATGGGTAGTTTCAGAATCTTCAACATAAACTTTACAAGAGCAAGAAATTTCATCTTCACCTCTTCCTACAAAAACTTCATAAACTCCTTGATTTTCAAAACTAACATTAGAAATTTGTAGATAATGGATTGCCCCATTTTGAAAAAATTTTGTGTTATCATTTTCATATAATATTCTTTTTTTAAACTCCCAAATTACATCTGTTTCTTCAGTTATATTTAATTCAATTTCCAAATGAAGAGTATCACCAGTGTTTAGTTTAGCAAAAGTAGGAAGTGGTTGAGTTATCAAGACAAGTTCATTAGTTGTTAGTTCTAGAACATTAGGGTTAAACTTTGTTAATCAAATTATAGAAAATCAAGAAAAATTGTAACACAATGGTATTTTTTTAATAATAAATATTAGTTTCGTCAATGTTATGAATATAGGTGGTATATACTTTTTATTTATTTATTTTATTTCTTTATAACTTATTTCTCACAATGTTATTTTAAAAACATAAAAACTGTTCACCTTATTTGTTGTTTTAAAAACATAAAAACTATTAACCTTGTTTGTTATTTTAAAAATAAAAAAAACTATTCACCTTGTTTGTTCACCTCTACATTGAAGCTAACTCTCTTTGTTTGGTTCAACCAAAAAACTTCAAATATATATTCTCCAGCATCATTCATTGACGCATTTAAAACATCAACTTTATATACATAGCCATCTTGTGAAAACCTAACCTTGTTAGATTTTCGCAATATTTTATTGTTGTGATGCCAAACAACTTTTTCTGCATTACTTACTTTGGCTGATAAACATAAGTCACTTTTTTCATTTACTAACATTTTTGTGTTTGACAATGGTTCAACAATTAACTTCACTTCTAGAAAAATGCAGAGAAAACCAAAGGAAATTGTTAAAAGAGTTTTTAGAACAATTATTAAAAAAAAAAAACAAAAACATAATGTATATATTTTATATTTTTAAATTTACAATACCTTAAAAATTTTCAAGCATAAATAAAAACATTTGGTAAATTTTGAAATTTATTTTATAAAACCTTAAACAAAATAAACAATTTAAAAGTTTTCCATCTTTATTTGAGAAAAATGAAAGATATTAGATATGATAAAAAATATAAAAAGCTTTAAATATACATTTGAACAAGAGGTTGGCAACCTGTTTTAAGTGGAGAGCCATTTTCGTAAAGAAAGTAAAGAAATAAGTAATTAAAAGCAAAAAATTTAGATAAAAATAAGAAAACAATTTGTGAGATTCCTGTGAATTTATTCACAGATTTGTTTTACATCAGGTTTCTAAATAGAGGTTTTAGTTATAGACATCTTTTATGGCTAATCTGATGTTATTTTGAATGATGCCCTGTTGCTAAAGTTTAGCTCACAATAATATTTTGATTCAAAAACTGTCAAGAAAATGCCACCAGCAAAAGTCGATAGTTACATCTCATGAAGACTAATCAATGTATCAAATATAATTTGGTATTTTTTTTAAGAATTCGAAAGTTCTTTTCATTTATGACTAAAAACTTTTCTTTGATTTTTCCCAAGTTTTCTAATTCTGCTTGCAAAGTTTTATTTATTTCAAAGCTGTTGAAGTTCAATAATTTGGAACAGTGTAAAATTCATTCTGTTGGTATTTACAGTAAATGGATGTATCAAAAATGAGAAAGCAAATTTTACATTTTTGACCTCTGTAAAATGATTGCCAAAAGAATTCTTTTTTTTTTAATGGTTAAAACTTTACAATGTTGATCTCTTTATATTCAGATCATCATGGTAAATTTGTCATTCCAATATCTTATTGAGATTGTTAAAACAACTTTTTTTTAACCAGGTGTTCAGGTATTTTAAATGACAAAAAAATGTTTTAAAATCAATGCTGTAACCAAAACATTTAAAAACACCCCCTAATTTACAAACAGATTAATTTAATACACCCCCTAGATTACAAACAGGTATTTTTATACAACAATATCTTTCATTAACTTATCAAAAATTAAACAAAGTTTGCAAAGATTGAATGTTTTTGAGACAATTTTAATTGACTATTTTTATTTTCAAGTCTTTTACATCTTAAACCTTGACAAAAAATGTTTGGAAAAATACAATGTTGTTTAAAATGATTGCCACAACAGGGTTTAACATAACAATAATAATTTCTTTTTCTAACAATACAGTTTTCACAATGATTGTATTTTATGTTTAAGAATATTCAAAAACTTTTTTGACATTTTTGCAAATTTTATCCATACACTTTTATTCACACACTTTTGCAGAACTAAGTGTTTGAGCTTTATAATTAATTACTTTATTTAAATATAATTCTATAAAATTAATTCATTATTGCTTTAAGAAGAAGTTTTTGAAAAAATTTCAATAATCAAATTTAACTTTCAATTTATTTTTATAAAATTAAAATGTATATAACTCTGAAATGATGAAGATCCACACAATTTGGATAAAAAAGCTGCATGTGACTTGTAAGCCACAGGTTGCCAACCCCTGATTTAAACCATCAATTAAAAAAATAAAAATATTGTATTCAAATACAATAATACAATTTTTTCCAATAAAATTTTATCATCAAATAATGTTATTAACATATATATATAACTATTTTTACTTAAATAGTTTTATTTAAATATATGATTATTAAAAACCAGCGTTTATATTGTGTTGCTTGCAGCCTTGTTAGGAGTGAATCAGAAAAAAAAAAAGGTCTTTTTGAACATGAATTTAACTAAGTTATATTATCAAATTTAGCATTTGTATGCACCAGTAATATTAATGGAATTGAAAAGATCTTTGTGTTATATACTAATACACTATAACCTGGTGTTACACTATAACCCAAAGGTCTGTTATAAGTTAAATCTGTCATAACATTTATTTGTAAATTTACTTACATCCACTTCTGGATGTAAAGCTTACGGTGATTTATGGTTACTCTTCTTAAGGTGTATTTGAAAACATCTTTAAGATTATTGAATCCTTTCTTTCTAATCGTAGTATAAAAGTTGTACTTGATGGACAGCACTCTTATTCTTATTCTGTAACCTCAGGGGTTCCTTAGGTTAAATCCTTGGCCCTATATTCTTTTTAATTTGCATTAACGATCTTCCAGATATTCTCACATCTAAAGTGGCATTGTTTGTTGATGATACTACCATTTATTCTTGTCATGATAAGAAGCCAACTCCCTCTGATTGCTTGCAGGGGGCATCTGAGCTTGAAAAGGATCTCACTTCTGCTACAGCATGGGGCTCACAGTGGCTGGTGAACTTTAATTCAGATAAAACTCAATTTTTTTCAGCCAATCGTTATCGCAATAATTTAGACCTTCCTATATTTATGAACGGTAATGTACTCGATGAGTCTCCTACCCTTCATCTTCTAGGATTAACTCTCACTTCTGATTTTTTTTGGAAACCTTATATCAAATCCCTTGCAAAATTAGCATCTGCTAAAGTTGCATCTCTTTATCGAGCTCAACACTTTCTTACTCTGGATTCTATTCTCTATCTCTATAAATCTCAAATCCGACCTTGTATGGAATACTGTTGCCATATCTGGAGCGGATCTTCTAATGATGCCCTTTCTCTTTTAGACAAGGTGCAAAAACGCATTGTAAACATAGTTGGACCTGCTCTTGTAGCCAACCTTCAACCTCTGTCACATCGTCGTAATGTTGCTTCTCTTTCTCTTTTCTACAAATACTATAATGGGCACTGCTCTAAAGAGCTAGCATCTCTTGTGCCATCTACTAAAATTCATTCTCGTGTTACTCGTCATTCAATTAAGTCTCATCCTTTTTCTGTTACTGTTCCTAAGTGCTCCAAAAACTCTTATTCGTCTAGTTTTTTTCCTCGAACATCAGTTCTTTGGAATTCACTTCCTTCATCTTGCTTTCCTAATTCATGTAATTTGCAATCTTTTAAGTCATCTGTCAATCGTTATCTTGCTCTACAATCTTCATCTTTTCTCTTCCAGTAACTTCCAACACTAATTAGTGGTTGCTTGCAGCCTTGTTGGAAGCGAAGATAATAAAAAAAAAAAAAAAAGCTTCTGGACAAACTTTCTTCTGAACAAACTTTCCACTTCTGGAACAACCAGATCCAGATGGAACAACTAGTTCAATTTGTTAGCATGAAATACATGAAGAAACAAGAAACAAGAAGAATAAAAATACATGCATCAAAGATATATTTGATTGCAGCCATATAAACAATAAATGTTGTCATTATACAAAACTAGCAAAGGATTATATAAAGCAGATTAATGTAACAAATAAATTGGGTTTTTATAATTACATTTATCATGTTCTCAATTGTTTGTGTTCTCAATTAAATTTTAAACTTTCTTATTTACAACTTTTATGTTCTTAGTTACATCTTATGTTTCTGAGGTGTAATACTTTAATAGATATATTTTTTTATGGAAAGTTGTTCTGAAAACTAAAATGTACTGTTTCATAAAACTTAAAAGTATATGGTAAAGGTTTTTTTTGTCTATTTGTCTATCAGTGAATCTGTGAATAGGACAAAATGTGCAATGTTGATAATTAACTTTTTTTGGTAAATTCAAACACCTTTATCTTTTTTCTTTATAACAAAAAAAAAAAAAAGTATTTAAGTAAAAAAAAAAAAAAAAAAAAAAAATATTTGACATCTCTAAATATTATTTGCTTTCTTAATATTTTTTATTATTACATTTTCACATATCGTTATAACTTAAAATTGTTGCATCATCAAGTCTGTGTATTTTTTATGTTTTTTTAAAGACTTTTAATATCACTAAAATCAAAGGAATACTATTTAAAAATGAAGTTGAAAAAATGTAAACAAACATTTTTTCTAAATCATTATTTAAGAGTAGTGGCAAAGTTTAACATAAAGATTTTTTTCTAAATCTAAGAGAAGAAAGAATAGTTCAAACATTTTGAAAATTTTCTTTTAACACAAAATGTTATTAAACTTACTTAAGTACGTGTAAAAACATAGATGCAAGTATTTTTTAATTCTTTTAAAATTTAATTGCATACCCCAAAAAAACAACAACCAAATAATCTAAAAATAGTGTTTCAGTAATCTAAAATTAGTGTTTCAGTGTTTCAGTCAAAAAAACAGTTTTTCAGTTTTTCAGTTTTTTTTTTTTTAAAATTAAACATTTAAATAGTTAAATATTTTTTTATTTTCTAAACTTGGAAGAAGATTTTATCCTTTCAAAAGGACAACATTTGCTAAATTATCTCAAAACATTTTTTAGTTTTGAGATAATTTAGCAAATGTCGAACTGTTAAGCAATTTCTTGTACATTTCTCATATGTCGAACTGTTAAGCAATTTCTTGTATATTAAAATATGAATACTAGTAAATATAATATAAACATTGAATAATATTGAATAATTATACATTAAATATAATACACATAATACACTAAAATATAAATATTGAATACTAGAAAATATAAATATAACTAACCTTTCTTCACCACAGTAAGAACAGCTTGGCAGATATCTTCGCCAGCAGTATTCTTAGCTACACATGAAACTATGCCACTGTCAACAACTAAGCAGTTGTCAATAACAAACACATACTGTCCATTACCATCATCAAACAGTTGAAACCTGTCACTTTCTTTAACAGCTTGCCCATTAAGATTCCACTCTACAGAGGGCTTAGGAAAACCTTCAACAATAATACTAAACACTACTTCACTGTTTTCCTCGACTTTAAGATCAGACAAGGGAGTTAAAAAATTTGGCTTCTGCAGCGGTTGTTTGACAATAAGTGAAAAAATGACTTCAATGCAACCAGATTCATTTTCAATACTACAAATATAATCAGCATCATCTTTTTGGCTAACAGAATCGAAATTAAGACAGTGCATTCCATCATTATTTGATATTGTTATGCTTTCAGTCAAAGATAAGTCTGCATCATCTTTTAGCCATTTGACTTGAGGTTCAGGATAACCAAGAGTTTTTACAAATATACTTACTTTATCTCCTGCAGTGGCAATAATTTCTTCTTCAGAACGCTCAAGAACAATTGGTGCTTTACTTTCTGGAGCTAAACAATAATAATGGAGATAAACAATAATAATAATAGAGATCAACTATAATAATGGACTTTAAATGCTACAAATATTAAAATAAGTATTTATATATAAAATATTATATGTATTTTCTATAAAAAAAATTTTTAAACTCATGTAAATTTTTATTTTAAAAAAATCTTTTTTTTTAAACATTTACACAAATGAGATTTACCTATAACCAACACATTAAACTCTTTTGTTGTTCGCCCAGATGGTCCTGTAACCTGACATTTATAAATACCTTGGTCACTCTCTTGTGCACAAAAAATAATTAAAAAGTGATCAACACCATTACTTCCAACTTCATACTTTTTTGTGCTGCGAAAAATTGGTTTTACTCCTTTGGACCATTCAACTTTGTAATCTTTTTTATCACCAGGTATTTCTACTTCCAATTTTATGTTTGCATTCAAAACAACATTAACCTCTGGCTCTGATTTACTAATTACTTTAGGAGGTCCTTGTTTAACAACAAGTTCTGAAATGCACGATGCTGTACCAACACTATTTGTTGCAATGCATTTGATCTTTCCACTATTAGATAATTTAACAGAATCAAACAAAAGTTTAAACTTTGAATCATCCTCAATAACAATATGAACAGTTTCATCCTCAACAATATCCTTGTTGTTCAAAACCCACTTAACATCAGCTAAAGGTGTTGATTCAACTGTAACAACAAATTCAATTTTGTCTCCTTCCATTGCATTAACCTTTGTTTGCATTTTTTTTTTAAACATTGGTGAAACAGGTTTTCTTTCTACTAGAACCTTGCAAGAAGTTTGGCTTTTTCCAAACTTATTTTTTATTTCACAGGTGTAGGTAGCAGAATGATTAACAGTTGCGTTTCTGATACTAAGTGAACAAATTCCATCTTTAGATAACATCTTTATTAATGGACTTTCTTTTATAACTTCAAAATCTTTTTTCCAAATGACAACATTTGTATCATCCTGGCGCAGTTTTGTTGAAAGAAGAATGATGTCACCATCAAAAATATGAACATCTTCTAATCCTTGAATAATTTGTGGTGCAGATTCGTCAGCTAAATTATGCAAAATATTTTCATTAACTTTATCTAAATTATCACAAGGGTAATTTTTTAATTTGTTATGAACATTGTTTGTATTTTCTTCTCTTTTAAATTTATTTTCAAGGCTTTTGTGATTTTCTGAAATGCTATTGTATTGGTTTTTATCAGAATTAGTTTTAACATCTGAAGTATTGTTATCAATATTAATTTTGTTTTCAGTGTTTTGTTTAGTTTTAAGTGAGTTTGACAAATTTAACTGAGAATCTAAAAGTTCTTTTTTCACAATAATAGAACACTCCTTGTTAGTATGTTGAGAGATATCATTAGCAACATGAGGAGTTTCTTTATTTACATTATCAATGGAACATTCCCTATTACTAAGGTGGGGCAAATTACTGGAAACACACAGGGCTTCTTTGCTCACAATAATAGAACACTCCTTATTAGCTAATTGGGATGTACTCTTAGCTACATGTGAACACAAAGAACTTTCCTCATTACTATGATGGGATGTATTACTGGCAAAACATGGGATTTTTGGAATTTCAACAGAAGAATTATATTTTTGAATATTTTTAGTTAAACAATTGTTTAAGATGTTGCGCGCTGTTAACTTATCAACATTACCTGTTGGTAATTTAGCAACAAAATTACTAGTTTGTCTAATGTCCTGTGTAGGCTTATTAATGCTATGGTCAAGTTTATCATAGTCAAGCTTACTATGTAAACTACTATGTGTTGCTGCTCTCAATGTTTCCTTGGTGACTGAATTATTTGTTCGAATATTTAATGAGTTTGATGATGGATACTTAGGCTGTTGGAATGCGGTTGAAGAAAACTTTGAAAAAGTTTCGTTAAAATTCAAATTTGGGTTTGACTTTCTAATAGACATATCATTTTTATAGACAGGAAATCTTTCTATATTATTTAATTCTTTGGGGGCTGTACATACAGTGGAGTTCCAAGATGTTGTACTTTGTGATAAATTGGGACGCCAATATCCAGAATGATTAAACACTTTTTCAGATGGTTGTTTTGTACCTAAGTCAGATTTTGATAGCAATCTGTTTTGTGATTCAGAAAATGAAATATTAGCTGCTGCAGATTTCTTAAAATAATCTGCAAAATGGTTGCCTCCATTAACAGGATTAATACAACAAACTTTATCTTTGTTAACAGTATCACTACTACTAAAAACCTTATCTCCATTAACAAGATTATCTCCAAATATAACTTCATTGATAGAACTATCTCTTACATTAGGACTACTTCCATAAAAACTACTTCCTTGTATTTTATTAAATGATTTCTTGTTCATTTTTATTTATAACTTCAATATTTCAAACTCATAAGTTTTTAAAATTTTAATAACATATGTATATACACACATGGACATGCACACACACATAAGGTATACACATGGACACACACACACACATAAGCTTTTACTAAAAATTAATCATAAGCTTTTATATAATAATACATAAGCTTTATTTTTATTAATCGTCGACATACAGTTAAAAAAATTTTGTTTATATAGTTGAAAAATAATATTTAAAAAAAAAAATAAAAACATTTATATAATAAAAATAAATTTAAAAAAAAAACTAATATACTGAAAGTTTTTACTTCCAAAGTTTCAATTTGACAAACAATAAACAAAAAAATTTTGTACTTAAAAAATTCTTAACAAATTATAAAAAATACAAAAATTTAATTTCAGACACATTAATATAAAGTCAATATTGATCTCGTAACAAAAACAATACCGACTAACAGTAATAGCACCGCCAAATGTAAAATAATTTTTTTGAAATTTAAAACTTTTAGTTCAAGGTTTTAAGCAATCAAATAGATTATGTCAAACAATCAAATAGATTATGTCAAACTGAATCAATAACATTGTTTTACTAAGTCTCGCGCACACTATTTATTTTCTCTCAAAGCTACAGACTAGTTTTCATGTTAATTATAACAAACATTTGTTAGCTAGAGGTTAATTAAGACAAACAAAAAACAAAGCAATTTTTAAAATTTCTCATCAAAAAAAAAACAAACCTTTTTGTATCATATTAAAAAATTTAAGTAAAAAATAAACTTATTAAATAAGAAATGAAATTATTTCATATTTACAACAATTGATACTACTCATTCTTTTAAAAAATTTAATTAATATAACTACAAAATAAATAATATACAACTACATTTAAACAAAAATATATATTTAAATAATTTAATAAACCAAAGTGATAATATTTATATAAAGTACTATTTTTATTGTAAATTTTATATTATTATACAACTATTATATATTCAATTAAAATTATTTATTTAAACATAACTTCATACTAAAAAATTTCTTTGTATCATATATTAACTTTTCAAAATAAATAGAAAATATTTATTTTTCATTAAGACTAAAAAATCAAAACTTTATATAAAAAATTATAAACCTTGTATAAGAAAATTACAAACATAAAAAATTATAAACCTTATATAAAAAAAATTATAAACCTTATATAAAAAATTTTAAACTTTATATAAGTATCTATAAAAGTTAAAAAAGTAGATATTTGTTTCATTTGAACAAACAATAAATTTTAATGAGAACCACAGAAGTTTAATAAACATGCTAAATCAATAACCTTCTTTAAATTAAGTATTGAGAAACAATGTCAACAATAGTTGGTCTGTAACATCAACAATAGCTGATCTGTTTATAGTTATCATGCTATATTTGGAAAAGCTTTACAGAAACAATGCCTATATTTGCTAGAAAATTTCCTGAATAGTAGAAAGTTTTTGTTGGCTTAAAAAATAGTAGAAAATTTTTGTTGGCTTAAAAAAAGCTGCAAAAACTTATAAAAAACTTTAAATAAAAATTGAAGTTTTTACAAAACATAAAATCTGAAAAATAAAAGTTGATAAATTTTGTTCTTAAATAATAAAGAATATACATACAAAGATATATAAATATATATATACATATATATATATATATATATATATATATATATATATATATATATATATATATATATATATATATATATATATATATATATATATATATATATATATATATATATATATATATATATATATATATATATATCAAAATACAGATGTTCATCAGTTAAACATAACTATAGGTTCATACAGACACAAATTAACATGTACAAATACATATAGGTATGCTCCTAAAGACTAAAAACTAATACTAGAAACAATACTGCAAATAAATACTTTAAATATTTTTAATTTAAATATTTTTTCTGTTGCAGAAATAAATTATAATCACTACTATAACAGGCTTCTGACTAGTTGAGAGTTCTGACTAGTTCAAAGAGTCTGATTACTTGAGAAAGTTCTAAAATTAAGAATACAAAGACTATTATATATAGAACTTATTATATCTTATTATAACTACCTGAATATGTGATAAGTGATTTAGTGATTTTGAGTGGCCTTCCTTGTGATTATTTCAGAGGTAAAATATGCATTTATTGCATCCATAAAACCTTTTTTGCTACTTTAATGCTATAAAAAACACCAGGCTAAGGAACTATTTGGTTGAAATATTTTAACTCTCAACTTTCATCTTATAATACATAACTATTTATTATCAACATAAATGTCGTAGAAAATCTATAAAGATAATAAAATACAAAAAATTGAAGTATAGGTCAATAAAATTTAAAGAACAACATTAGCAAATGTAGAGTTACCTAAGTTTATACTCTTTTAGGTGAATTATAAACTTAGGGTTACTCCTTTAGGTGAAGTATAAACTATTATAAAGTTAGATAACTATTCTTTATTTTATCTGCTTTAGTTTAAAAAAGTCTCAAACAGCTATGTAAAACCGTTGTACCCTAAAACTGATTTTGTCATATAGTTGCATATCAAAAAATTAATCTGTGTTGACAAATTTGAAAAAAAAAAACTTAATGCATTTATGTCATTAAGTAACCATATTTTGTAAAACTTTGAGTCTTTAAAAGATATGATCATGTAAAATTTACAAACCCTAAGAAATGAGGGGTTTCTAAACATTACATGATCATACATTTTGAATGTCAAAAAATATATATGTAGATATATATATATACATATATATATATATATATATATATATATATATATATATATATATATATACATACATACATATATATATATATATATATATATATATATATATATATATATATATATATATATATATATATATATATATATATATATATATATATATATATATATATATATATATATATATATACATATCATGTGCTGAACTTCCAATTTTTTTTTGTTTAAAAAATAGTTAAAATCAAATAGTTTGAACAATAATGTTAAAAGTTAATGTTTAGTCTATTTTAAAAATTATTATAAAAAAAATGTTACTGTTAAATAGAAAGAGCATTGATGGGAGTATTATTAGGTTCTTGCTAGCTCTAGTAATAAATAGTTCTTTATTTAGGTTTTTTATACAAATGATGATAGAATAACAGTTGCTTATCAAAGCATTAAGCATTAGGTGAAAACAACCATCTGTAGGGTTTCATTCATTGAAAACAACATTTTGTTGGGTTTCAAATAATTGACTAAAAGCTTGAGTTTATGGCAGACATCATACATTTATAAGATGATTATAAATAAATATTAAATAAAATTAAATAATTATTTATTATTTATAAATAATAAATAATTATTTTTACTTTTAAGCATTTTCTTCATGATAATTTTTTAAAATTTGACATCTTCACGGAAAACTGTCCAAATTAATTCGAAATGCCCACCTTAATTTGTTAAGGCTAGCATTTTTGAATAAAAATGTCAGCCTAAACATGTTATCTATAAAATATGTCCCAATGAAAAGCATTTTTACATGTGTATTCTAAATGTTTAGCATATTTAATGAAGTGTACCTCTAATGTAGTGAATTTATGTAATATTTATGCATTTTTATACCATATAGTATTTATGCATTTTTTTAATTAAGAATGTCAATCATAATTAAAATAAAATACAAAAAATGTACAACTATGGAGTAATCCTACCTTTTACAGTCAGTTCAAAGCAAACCTCTGTCTGCCCATATGAATTCCTGGTTTGACAAGTGTAAACACCAGAATCTTTTGCTAAAAGATTTTCTATTAATAAAGTGTAACATGACGCATCTTGTAAAACTTTAACTTTGTTTGACTTGTGTATTTCTACGCCATCTTTGTACCATGTAACATTTGCTTCAACTTTATTCTCATTACTTACATTAAATTCTATAAAATCACCCTCATTTTTAACAATTAATTTTTCATTGTTCAAGATTTTAATAATTGGACATGCATTAATAACATCAACAATACAAAGTTCTGCAGTAGAACTGCAGCTACCTGCACTATTTTCAATATATAATTCATATTCACCTGCATCGTAAACATTTGCATTGTTAATTATCAAATAATAACTATTTTTATCATTGTCAATACAATACTTTTCATTTGACTCGATAAGGTGGCCATTAAAATACCATTCAGTAACTAGAGGAGAGGAGCCCTGTACAACAGCAGTAAACCTAATCATGTCACCACTTTCAACTTCCATGTCTTTTAAGTTACTGACAAACTTTGGTTTTATATCACAATCAAGAACTTCTATAAAACAGGTAGAAGAAACAGATTCATTTATTTTGTTTGATAATACGCACATATACTCTCCGGCGTCATCTTGAAGCAAGGAGCCAATTTTTAATTTATAAAATGGTGGTTCTGAGACAATGAATAAATCAGCCTCTTCTACAATCTTGTTTTCATTAATATACCAATTTGCTTGAAGAGGCTCTTTTGTGTTAGTTTCTACACTAAGTACACAAGGTTCACCTTCAACAAACTCGCCATCTACTAAACCTGCTAACAATTCAAGTTTTTTGGGCATTTCTTTCATAACTTCTTTTTTTTCTTGAGTTTCTGATTTTGAATCACCTATAACTTGACTTGTGTCCAGATTCTTATCAATCTGACTGGTAGTTTTCTTCTTTGGTTTAGCAGCCGGTTTAGGAGCTGTAGAAACAGCAGGATTTGAAACAACAGATGTTTCAGTTAGTTTTTCAAAACCAGTATGTTTTAATTTATTTGAAATTGTATTACCTGCTTTTTCAGCTAAAAAAATTTCAGATTCAACAGTCAAAACATTTTGTGACTCTACCATGATATCATCTACAACAGCCTTAGCATGAACTATAGTCTTTTTAACATTATTGGTATCCATTGAAGAGTCCTGTTTGGGTATAGGCTTTGACAAAGGTTTAGGCAATGCTTTGGGTGGTTTCTTTGCTATAGGTGGCAAAAAGGTAGCAGCAGTAGGAGAAGTAGGAGAAGTGGAGGTAAATTGTAGTATAGGTGATATGGGTGGTGTTAATGGTGTTGTTGGTGGTATTGTTGGCGTGATAATTTCTAAGATATATATATATATTTACATGCATATTCATAAAATAAAAAATAAAAAAAATTTAAAAAAAAAAGAAGTATTTCCACATAAAACTAAAAAAATTCACTAACTTTAAAATAATAGTATTTTTTTCTATAAACGTTTTCATCTTCAAATGAAAAAATATAAAAAATCTATCTTTCCTTGTTAAATAAATATTTACATTAAACAGAATAAAAAGAGATATTGTTAAAATATCTTTTTAAGAAAATTTAGTTCCTAACGCATTTTTATTTTTAATTCTACAGCTTTAAAATACAAGTTGTAATATGTGTAAAGGGCACCCTTTTTTTTTTCTTTTTTTTCTTGTATTTCACCTCCCCAAGGCCAAGAAGGCCACTACAGATGAGGAGGCTACTTGTGGTTATAACCCTCTCCCAACTCTATAACTCAAAACACAAACCTTGACAAACAAGGCCACTGCAGGGAGAAACAAATTGAGCGCGGTACTACCAGGGACATGGTGAGAATCGAACTCAGAATCTCTCACTTATGAAGCGAGCGCTCTACCACTACACCACTACCATATCTCACATATTATTAAAGTTGCGATCCTTTACACATATGAAAATCAAAAAACTATTAGCTATATCTCTAGCAAAATTATTAGCTATATCTCTAGCTATGTTATGAAATAAAACTTGTCCATTTTAGCAACAAATATTTCAAGATTTATGCACAAATTTTACTGTACATTTTAAAACAATCATTTAAAATACTTTACAAGTAAAAAATTTTACTTTACTGACTTGAATTGAATGTTTCAGTTAAAAATTTAAATAAATTTTTTTTGATGTAGTGGTCTTACAATATGTATATTTAATAATAAATATCTGAAATATATTTTTTCATATTTTTTTTTTATATAAAAAATGTCAACAAGTTACTAAAATTTAGCCTAATTCATCATTTGTTGCATTTAATCTAAAATTAAAGAAAGTTTTTATTAATTCAATTAATGTCATAAGGTTAAACATTTCATTGGTGTTTATATTCTTTTTACAGAACAAAACTATTTCAAAAGTTAAAAAAGTTTTAGTAAAAAATTCTACGGCAATATTCTACAGCAATAAAATTTTTTGTTAATTATGACAAAATATGCAGTAGCAAAAAATACAATAAAAATGGTTTAACTGTTTGTTTATATCTGGATTTTTTCATTCAAAGCACAAACTTTCCTAAATCTTAAGCTTAAATTTATTGGAGGCCTGGAATCCAATGTAATAGGTACATCTTTCTTTGAAATACTTTAAAGAGGTCCTTTATGTTGGAGTGAAACCCAAGTTTAGTACTATTAATTTTAATTTTTGTACAGAGTCCAATGATATTCTTAACCAATGCTTAACCAATGATATGCTTAAAAAATGATATGCTTAACCAATCATTTAAAACTTATAATACTAGACTTGGGTTTCACTAGGACATTAAGGACCTCTTTGAAGTAATTTAAAGAAACATGTACCTGTATTTTAATTTTTTTAACACATATTTTAATATTTAACTATAACTGAAGATGACGCTAGATGTGTTAGTCAAAACATGTATTGTTTTTTAATTAATAAAATGGTTTTACTAATTAAAAATTTGTCTTGTTCATAAAAATATTTACATTTTTGGTACTTAAAAGAAATTTTGAATATAATTAGGTCATAATTAGGCTGACATGTGCAATTTTGAAGTAAATTTTTGTTTTCATTTGCTATTTAAAAAAAAGACAAAAAAATATTTAGATGAATTCTCAATGAAGTAATTAAAATAAAGACAGCAAAAAAAACATTTTTTTAATGACTTGTATGTAAAACCTCACTCCACACATCTTCACACCGGTTGAATATTGTTCAAAAGCAGATTACAACAGTCAAAATTGCTTTACAAAAAAAAAATTGTGACTTTTCTTAATTCAGTTCATAAAATATTCATCAGAAGATCTTTTCTAATAAGAAGATCTCTAAAATCTTTTTTATATATGCGGTATATTTTATATTGTACGGTAGTGGTGTAGTGGTAAGAGTGCTTGCTTTGTAAGCGAGAGGTTCGGAGTTTGACTCTCACCATGTCCCTGGAAGAACCGCGCTCAACTTAACTTCACCGCGCAGCGGCTTTGCTTGTCAAGGTTCGTGTTTCGGAGTTAAAGAGTTGAGAGAGAGTTGTACAACGATTAACAAAAAAAGAAAAAAAAAAAAAATGAGTAGCCTCCTTGACTGTAGTGGCCCCCTCTGGCCTTGAGGAGTGAATAATTAAAATATATATATATATATATATATATATATATATATATATATATATATATATATATATATATATATATATATATATATATATATATATATAATTATTACACAATAGCTTGAAGAGTTGCAGTAGTTTAAAATGCAAAGGATTTTTAGTGCAAAAAATGTAGGAAATTAAAAAGAAGTGTAAAAAAGATCCAAACTATGTTAGTATTGTGTTCATAGCTATGTTAATGAGCTCATCAAAAATTTGATCTTTAGAGTCATCAAGAGCATGATCTGGCCATTTTCGAAAAAAACATCTGCTACTAAAAATCAAAGGTATTTCTTTAATGATTAAAGAAAACTTTGCATTACATATGTACAGTGTCATACGGTATGTGCTAATAAAACATTGGCTTTAAAAATAGAAAAACATTTTTTTTTTTTTTTTTTAACATCTTCGCTTCCAACAAGGCTGCAAGCAACCACTAATTAGTGTTGGAAGTTACTGGAAGAGAAAAGATGAAGATTGTAGAGCAAGATAACAATTGACAGATGACTTAAAAGATTGCAAATTATATGAATCAGGAAAGCAAGATGAAGGAAGCGAATTCCAAAGAACTGATGTTCGAGGAAAAAAACTAGATGAATAAGAGTTTTTGGAGCACTTAGGAACAGTAACAGAAAAAGGATGAGACTTAATTGAATGACGAGTAACACGAGAATGAATTTTAGTAGATGGCACAAGAGACGCTAGCTCTTTAGAGCAGTGCCCATTATAGTATTTGTAGAAAAGATAAAGAGAAGCAACATTACAACAATGTGACAGAGATTGAAGGTTGGCTGCAAGAGCAGGTCCAACTATGTTTACAATGCGTTTTTGCACCTTGTCTAAAAGAGAAAGGGCATCATTAAAAGATCCGCCCCAGATATGGCAACAGTATTCCATACAAGGCTGGATTTGAGATTTATAGAGGTAGAGAATAGAATCCAGAGTAAGAATGTGACAAGCTCGATAAAGAGAAGCAACTTTAGCAGATGCTAATTTTGCAATGGATTTGATATATGGTTTCCAAGAAAGATCAGAAGTAAGATTTAATCCTAGAAGATGAAGGGTAAAAGACTCATCGAGTACATTATCGTTAATAAATATAGGAAGTTCTAAATTATTGCAGTAACGATTGGCTGAAAAAAATTGAGTTTTATTTGAATTAAAGTTCACCAGCCACTGTGAGCCCCATGCTGTAGCAGAAGTGAGATCCTTTTCAAGCTCAGATGCCCCCTGCAAGCAATCAGAGGGAGTTGGCTTCTTATTGTGACAAGAATAAATGGTAGCATCATCAGCAAACAATGCCACCTTAGATGTAAAAAAATCTGGAAGATCGTTAATGTAAATTAAAAAGAGTATAGGGCCAAGGATTGAACCTTGAGGAACCCCTAAGGTTACAGAATAAGAAGAAGAGTGCTGTCCATCAAGGACAACTTTTATACTACGATTGGAAAGGAAGGATTCAATAATCTTAAAGATGTTTCCAGATACACCGTAAGAAGAAAACTTATGGAGAAGACTAGCATGCTAAACTTTATCAAACGCTTTAGAAATATCAAGAGTGATGGCCTTAACCTCTCCACCTTTATATAATGTGCGATAAAACCTATTGGTTATTACTGTTAGCAAATCAGCCGTAGAACGAGAAGATCGAAATCCATATTGACGATCAGAAAGTAGGTTATGAGATTCGAGATGAGAGATAAGTGTTTGTTAATTGGGGATTCAAAAACCTTGCTTATGATAGGAAGAAGACTAATGGGATGGTAGTTAGACAAATCAGATCGCTCTCCAGAATTTTTAAAAATAGGGATAACAGATGCTGATTTCCAGCAGGCTGGAAAACAAGACTCTGATAAGCACTTGTTAAATAGTTTTGAAAGGATAGACGACTCCGGAAAACACTTCTGCAAGACTATAACGAGTATGTTATCTAGGTCACGAGCTGTAGGAGAGTCTAAGCAGGAAATCACTTTAGATACAGAAGCTGGAGTGATACGGATGTCAAACAATGGATTAACCTGTTTGACGGCTATATCAGGTAGAACGCAACTAGTGGAATCAAGAGATGATATTGATGAAAAGTTTTTGACAAACAGTTCAGCTTTGTCTTTAGGTGAGGTGACAAAGTCTGAACCATACAAAAGAGGTGGAATTACAGACTTGCCCTTATTATTGATAATGTTAAAGATTCTCCAGAAGTCACGAGAGCCTAACTTTTGTGATGAAATACAAGATTTCATGATCTGAGAACAGCAGGCTTTGGCATTAGACAAAACCTTTTTACAATGGTTCCTAGCAGTAATAAACAGACGTCTGTTTTCTGGAGAATTGTTTTGCTGATAGATATGGAAGTAATGGTTTCGATTGGCAATTGCAGCAGCACAATGTGAAGAAAACCATGCTTTTATCATCCTTAACTGGAAACAATGTATTAAAAATACATCTGCGCCAGCCTAATAAATGGAGAAGGGGTGCAAGGCTGGTCAACAGATAGAATCTGTTTACCCCTTAAGTCTTTGCCTAGGAGGCCCTCTACAAGACAGCAGCCGGTCGCATTTAACATCTGCCCAAGATGAGTATCAGAAATCACATAAAGCATTTAAATATGTAATGTAAGTTGAACAAATACGCATAATATATAAATAAATTATTTTGTTTATAATGTTTTTACATTTTATTTTTAAATTTTGTTGATTTAAGTAAAAATATTTTGTATTTCTAGTAAGTTTTCATAACTGTTAAAAATATCTATGAAGATCTAACTTAAATGGTCAACGAGTTGATACACAAGGTGCACAAAATAATGTTTTGAGAATAGAAAGTGATATTCAAGGTGCTTAAAATAATGTTGGTTTTTAGAGAAAGTGTTTTTAGAGAAAGATAAAATAACAGTGAATAGAAGAAAAAGTTGGGTAAAATAACGTTTTGAGAGTATAACTTTTTATATTTTTAATACAATTGGCTCAGCTAGTGGATTAAAAGAGGAATCAAGAGCCAAAGTAACTTGTGACTTGAATATTTCACTTCAAATCTCCATTACTAACAGCAAAGATGTACAAAAAAAGATTAAATAAAAGTTGTACACCAAGTGCATTCAGAATATTATGATGTGTGACAGTGAAACATTAAAGCTGATAATCACTGTTTTAAAAGAACAAAATCAGATGGGGCTTTGACTCTAAAATATAAATAAATTAAGGAAAGTTTATAAATAAAAGAAAAGTGATTGTATTTAATAAAATGTATCAGGGAAAAGTGGAAGATGGTTTGGACACGCATAGCATAAATGAATGGATTAGATTGAAATCAGTCAACTCAAAAGCAAACTTAATGTTTGTCATCAATAATATTTTTATTAACAGCTACTTTTTACCTTCTGTTTTTAAATCCAACTCCATGTTTTCTTCATTCTTTGACATTCTAAAAAACATAATTACTGAATTTAGGAATTTGCAGCACTTAAAAACCTCAAGTCAAAGTTAAAAACATTTTACATTTTTTCTATCACAGATTTCTGTAGAACACTCTGTTGCTCTTTATTCTCAAACGTTGTAGAATCCAATGGAGCACTCTTTTTTTCTATACTTTCTACAATAGGTTTTTCTATTAAAAGAGAAAAAAAGTGTTTATATGCAATATATACAATGTGCATGTTTAAAACATGAAAATGTTTATAAAAAAAGTTAAATGAAAGCTCACCATCAACCAGTAGTTCACATGATGTTTCACAGCCACCATATTCATTGGATGCAATGCAAGCAAAGTCTGCTTCATCATATAATTTAACATCTCTAATTTCTAAAATTGCCCAGCCACCTTCACTGTAAGCACAATATCGTGGTGAATCAATCAGCTCTATAATTGAATATTCAATAATAATAACAATTAATTACTCAAACCAAATGATTAATTTTATAAATTTCAAAAAAAAAAGGCGACATTTAAAGAAAAAAGCAATTTTTTGTTTTAATCTATAAAAAAATGTATAATATCTCATAACTATATTTTGTATATATTTTTCAATATTTTTACTAAGAAATAATGCTTTTATATGTTTACTAAAAAGTTGTAGGTTTTACAGTAGGTTACTATAGTTTATAATAATTTCAATTTTTATTATCTTTAATTTCAACATAACTAAGACAATTTAAAAGAATAATAAAAAACCTATTTCATCTTTAAACCATGTAAATTCAAGAGGTTGCTGCCCACTAAATTCAGCCTTTAACTGAACAAAATCTCCTTCAAACACAGTATCATCTTCTAATTCTGTTATAACGCATGGTTTTCGTGTAAAATTGTTTTCTGAATAAAAAAAACATCAAAATAATTATTAATCAAATTTTTCAAACAATAAAAAATCAATAATAAATTAAATTTATACTAACCTGGATATTTTTCAGGCTCAGCAAGTAAACTAAAGAACAAAAAAAGCTTAAAAATTGTAATACAGAATGACTGCCTAATCTAACATACAATATCTAAAGCTATTTTGAAATATTCACAAAATATTCAAAAATTCCATTCAAAAATTTCCCTCTATATGGTTAGAATAGTGTTAAATGTATGAAGTTCTCATCATTACAAATGTTGTAGTTAGAAAGAAAATTTTAAATGGTTTTAAAAACTATATAATAAAAGAAAAATAATTCTGGTTAAGCCTATCTGTTAAAATTACATCTCTTAAAAAGTTTTTAGTATTGCTATAAATGATACATCAACAATAGTTAACAAACTTTAATTAATTCCGATGCTATTCGCACGGCCGTCGTGTTCCCATTCTAAAAAGGCTATTCGCACAGCTGCAAAACCAAATAATGCAATCAATTTTTTAGTCACTTCCTGATGATAGATTTTCTTCAAACTTTGCATACATACTCTTGCTTGATGACAATACAATATTCAATAATTAGCTTTGTAATAAATTTTAATTAAATTTATTTTTTATATGAAAAGAAGATATTAAAATTTATTAATAAGTATACTAATTGTTGGAATACTTAAAGGCGCATTTAGCTTAATTGGTAAAGTCGTCGACTATGTAAACTGATGGTTGGAGGTTTGAATCTTGCCTCTTCCTGCTTTTATCACTCGAATGTTAATAAAATAAAATAGTATTATCAGAAAAACCTTATTGAAAAAATTGTGTTTTTAAAACATAAAAGTACTGGGTTTTAAAAATTAGTTTTTAATTTTACTAGTTCTTTTCGTGTTTTTTTTTAGAATGGCAAAGAATTTATTGTAATTACAAAAAATGTTATTTTTTTTCAGATCTCCCTTTTCAGCTTTTAATTTGTTTTGTTGTACCTATTAATTAATTCTAAAGTTATGGTGCAGTCATATTTCAAATTTTGCTAATTTGACCATGCAAACACCTTTTCTCAACTGTTTATATGGCAGCTGTGCCAATAATCTTTTTTAGAAGTTGTACATGGCGGCCGTGCCAATAGACACTGATTGATGACTTATTGGCGTTTCATTTTGTCATTTATCAAAAACATTTTACAGAAAAACATTTATTTTCAATTAGCTCAACCTTTATATGGTTTGAAAAACACTATATATGGTTTGAAAAAGTTTTATAACTAGTGATGGTTTTCCTACTACGGCAAACATGCTTGAAAAAAGATCTCAATTTGGAATTTTTTTTAAATAAAACTTTTTTTTTTTAAATTTGGAACTTATTTAAAATTAGAAATAATAATTGCTAAGTATCTTTTTTTTTCAAATCTAAATTACATGTGGCAATTAAGCATCACCATAAATTTTTTATTATAAAATTATAAAAGGTTTAAAAAAAGTTTTTTTTTTAAAAGTTTATGAAACATTAGAATAAGATTTAATTTTTTTTTTGCTTCTTAATAATGTATATCAATGATCTGACTACAGAAATGTCTAGAAAAGGAAATTAGCTCTAATATTGAAAGTAATAAAAAATATCTGTTTAAATATTGTCAATTTAGAAAAAGGTTTTTATAAATTGCAAATATTTAAACAGAATTTTACTATAAATTTTATAAAGACACTTCTAAGTACCTGTAGATAGTTATATAATTTCTTTATGCATTTAGTAGTATTTTGTTATGATAAAGTATATATAAGATGATAAATGAAAGTACAAAAAGTGAATCTTTAATGACATATTACAGACTATTTTTTGGAAGGCTAAAAGAACTCTTGTCACAATATCTAACTAATAAAGCTTGCTTGTTTTCTAAGGATTTTTTTAACTATAACTTTTTAAAATTGCCAGGCGTTCCAGAAGATTTGATGAGGTTCATATTTTAGAAATTCACATATCGTAACACCAGTAAACACACTTTCTTTTATTTTTGATTCAATCAGTATTGGGAATTTTTCTTAAAGGTACTGGAAAGTCAAACCATTTTGGTTCATTGCCTTAAAAAAATTTTTTACTAATCCTAAATTTATATGTAAAGGTGGTATCAAGGTGGTATTTTTGGGTTCTATTAATGACATGTGCTGCACAATTGATTTTACAAGATGCTACTAAAATATTCTGCTAGTGGTTCAGAAGATCCCACAAAAAAATATTTTAAATAGAAAAAAAAAAGAAATTCTAATCCATAAGTTGATTGGCATATATGGAATGGACTGTCAAATATCCCAATACACTGATGAGGTATGATAAGATATTTAACAGTGCATTCTGACAACTTCGACATTCTATGCTGTAAGAATGGCGCCATTCATAAATAGGGGTCGGTGACATAATTTAGTATAACTAAGATATAACTAATATTTACTAAATAAGACTGTTTCCAATAAAACCTAATCTATTGTAAAAATTCAGAAAAAAAAATATGAAAAAAAAAAACATTTTTTTTTTCACATTCTTATTCAGCACAGCAAAATTAGTTACAACTGATTGATTTCTTTGCTGATACATTTTTGTTGTTGACCAGTGCTATAGGTGTTATAATCCAAATACCTACAGCTAGTCCATAAGAAAAGCTAATAATGTGAATTAAATAGTGTGTAATGCTGTGTCTTGCATTGAGTGTAATTTTATTGGCAATTATTAACATAAAATAGTTATTATAAAAAAGATGATAGGTTAAGGCAATGTAGACCTACCATGAACCAACTTTTTTTTTAAAAAGAAGCAAAAACAAAATAATTCTTTTACAAAGAATGGTAAAAAACCTTTTTTTTTTTAACTTGACTTACTAATCAGAGCATGAAATGGTTAAAAATTACTATTTCAAAAAGACTACTTTAATTTTTTTAAACAATTTTTTGTGTGCAACTTTTTGGAAGAAATAAATGTTTATACAATTTAAAAATAATATAAAAAAAAAAAATAATATAAAAAACAATACCACTTTTTAATAACTTTAATAAAATTTGTTCTTTAATTAAACAATAATTAAAAGCAATTTGTAAAAACGTTTTGCGTAACTTTTGCATAACTTTAATAAAATATTTCAAAAGAGTTAAAGTTATTTATTTCAAACTAAATTAAAAACATAATTTTTGCTTCAAGTTTTTTGAGTTTTATTTTAGTGCTTAAATTTTTTTTTTTGTAAAGATTTTTTTTTTCTTAATTTTCTTCCTAGTTTAAGTTTAGCTAAGCATTTCTTTTTTCAATGCATTTCTAAAATCTAGAAAGTTGTGCTTAAGTTGTCAAAAAAAACATAGCGCTGAATCACACGCCATTCCTGTCCAAACCTGATATGTAAAATATTTTTTCAATTTTCAACTTATTTTGATGCCATTTTAATAAACTATAATTTGAATTTCTATTTTTTTTATATATTTTTTGGTTGCTTCTATTATTATTTGATTAAAGTATTTTTTATTTTATGTTAGTAATTTATGCTCATAACCTCATGTTGATAAGTACTCTTTTTTTTTTTTTTTTTTTTTTTTTTTTAACATCTTCACTTCCAACAAGGCTGCAAGCAACCACTATAAGAGTTGGAAGTTACTGGAAGAGAAAAGACTAAATCTGTAGAGCAAGATAACGATTGACTGATGACTTAAAAGATTGCAAATTATATGAATCAGGAAAGCAAGATGAAGGAAGCGAATTCCAAAGAACTGATGTTCGAGGAAAAAAACTAGAAGAATAAGAGTTTTTGAAGCACTTAGGAACAGTCACAGAAAAAGGATGAGACTTAATTGAATGGCGAGTAACACGAGAATGAATTTTAGTAGATGGCACAAGGGACGCTAGCTCTTTAGAGCAGTGCCTATTATAGTATTTGTAGAAAAGAGAAAGAGAAGCAACATTACGACGATGTGACAAAGGTTGGAGATTGGCTGCCAGAGCAGGTCCAACTATGTTTACAATTCGTTTTTGCACCTTGTCTAAAAGAGAAAGAGCATCATTAGAAGATCCGCCCCAGATGTGGCAACAGTATTCCATACAGGGACGGATTTGAGATTTATAGAGATAGAGAATAGAATCTGGAGTAAGAAAGTGTCGAGCTCGATAAAGAGATGCAACCTTAGCAGATGCTAATTTTGCAATGGATTTGATATACGGTTTAAAAGAAAGATCAGAAGTAAGGGTTAATCCTAGAAGATGAATGGTAGATGACTCATCTAGTACATTACCATTCATAAATATAGGAAGATCTAAATTATTACGATAACGATTGGCCGAATAAAATTGAGTTTTATCTGAATTAAAGTTCACCAGCCACTGTGAGCCCCATGCTGTAGCAGAAGTGAGATCCTTTTCAAGCTCAGATACCCCCTCCAAGCAATCAGAGAGTGTAGGCTTCTTATCACGACAAGAGTAAATGGTAGTGTCGTCGGCGAATAATGCCACCTTAGATGTGAGAATATCTGGAAGATCGTTAATGTAAATTAAAAAGAGTATAGGGCCAAGGATTGAACCTTGAGGAACCCCTGAAGTTACAGGATGTGAAGAAGAGTGTTGTCCATCGAGGACAACTTTTATACTACGATTGGAAAGAAAGGACTCAATAATCTTAAAGACGTTACCAGCTACACCATAAGAAGAAAGCTTATGGAGAAGACCAGCATGCCAAACTTTATCAAAAGCTTTAGAAATGTCAAGTGCGATAGCCTTAACCTCTCCACCTCTATCTAAACTATCTACTCTTCATATAATGTAGGGTTCTTATCAAAAAAGTCTTTATATTCATCCATTAGAAGACTCATCTTTAGCACAAACTAGTTCATTCTCCTATTTATCCTTATTTATGTGAGTGTGGCCACACTGCCACATAAGAAAAAGGGTTTTCTTTAATTTCAGAAAAACTTATACAAATAATATCAGTTGAATAAATATTTCAATAAAGGCATCTTTAGAACTAATCTTCACATGTGTGACCTTTTTTATTGGAACTCATACATTGCATAAACATATAAGTATAAGAATTTTAACAAACAAAAGAAAATGAACATGCAGATCATTGGATAAATGAATGGGTTAACAGTTAGTAAAACCAATTCTATCGAATTAATAATTAGAATTAGAAGTAATTCTATAGAATCAATAATTAGAATTAGAAGTAATTCTATCGAATTAATAATTAGAATTAGAAGTAATTCTATAGAATTAATAATTAGAATTAGAAGTAATTCTATAGAATTAATAATTAGAATTAGAAGTAATTCTATAGAATTTTTTGAAGTATTACTGAGTGATTTTTTGACTGGTGTTTTTCAACTGTAAAAACAGCTTCTTTATCACATCACTTAATTTAAATTCATTATCTAAAATAATCATTGAGAATTAGACCAAACTATTGTTTCAATATTTTATTTAAAGGAACATCCATATTTTAAAGCAGACAAAATGGTGAACACAAAGTAAACATAAACATTTCACAAAAAAAAGTCAAAAAAACTTTGAAATCTTTTGATTTACAATTTATTTTTGTGTTGAGATATAACAATTTTTTTACTATTTTTTTTTTTTTACACTTTTAAAATAAGTTAGTTGCGAATTCTTGGATTCTTAGGAAGTACTGACTTTGGTGATGGTAAAAAAGAAAAAGACAAATACTATATGCACATACTGATTGGTATATTATAAAATTATTATATAATCAATAATAACCTTGATGAAATAATAACCTTTTTCTAACAACCTTGCTTTTCATGTCTCTTTTCATGTCCTCTCAAAGACTACTGTCTTTGCAGAAATGAAAATATAGTTAATTAAATAATCTAGAGAACTGATTTCTAGAGAAACTAAAACTTTAATAAACTTTATAAAACTTTAACTAAACTTTATAAATCTTTATCTTTTAGAGACTCTAAAGATATAGAAAAATGCTGTATTTAAAGTCAATCAACTCACATTTAAGTGTTTTACATAAATAATTTTAAAAATTTTATCATATAAATTTGATACTTTATCAAACTCAAAATTAACGCAATTTTCACTTGGCATTTCCAGAAAAGTGATGCTAATTCAACTTTTATACTCAATTTGATGCGCAATGCCGAAAATGCATTTTTAGTATATCCTCTGATTCGCCATTATCAAACTTAAATAGAATACATTTTCTATTACATTTTAACAACTTCATTAGAGATACTAATTAATTAGTATTGTTAGAATTACAATAAAAATAACGCTTGATATACAATAAAAGAAAATTATGCTCTATTACAATAAAAGGATTTTTAACAAAAATGTTTTCAACAAAAATGAAGACAATGAACTGTCAGGTTTTATAAAACAAACTGTTGTTATTTGCAAATACTCACAAATAACTCAAAAAGGCCTAGCAATATATCAATTAATAAAACCGTTGGTGTGTATGGTGTAAGAGCGGTTGTACTAAAGTACTGTTCTGACAGCTTCTTGATACCGTTAAGCATAATTTTTCAGAAACTGCTAGATTGTGGGTGTTGCCATGAAGTATAGTAAAAAGCTAATGTAATACAAGAGTTCAAAAAAGGAAGTAGACTGGACCTAGGAAACTACTGGCTTATATATAACATCAATTGCATGAAAAGTTTCATATGAAAAGCATGAAAAAAAAATTGTTTTAACCAACAGTTATAAAAGCTTAAAAATTAAATAAAAATCAAAAACTTACAATGGAAAATTAATAGAAATTCAGGGTGGAAAAATCAAAACTTAAAGCAACAAAACTACTTGTTGAAAAAACATGCAAAAAATAAAATTAAGACATCTAGGTTGGAATTTGCATCACAGCTAATACAAAAGTCTAAAGATAATCCAAAATTATTATATATAAATGTATCAAATCAAAATAAAACAAAACATTTATTATAACAAAGTTAAACTTTTGACTGAAGTTCAAAAAGTTTACCTTCATTAGAATAGAAACAGTTTTTGTTAAAGATTGTAATAAAAACTTTCCAAAACAAATATAATTTTTAATGTTATAGAAATCAGTAAAGCAGTAATACAGGAAAGATTAACTTAACATTAATATGGTACTTAACCCATTCAAAAACCCATGCAAAAGTGTAGGTGTGGATGGTGCAAATGAAATGATCTTTAAAAATGTGCTGAAATCATAACTAAGCCATTATGTATTACCTTTAAGAAATTATTAGGCAGTGGTGAGTTACCAAATATATGAAAACAAACAAATATTACTCGTCTTTTAAGGGTCGTAGACTACATGCAAAAAACTACAGACCACGTGTTAACATCCATCTGCTGCAAAATATTTGCAAAATTTTTGCATTCTGCAAAGCTTTTATAAAAGTAAAAATTTTATACATTTAAATTCAAACAATCTTTTAAACAAAAATTAACACAGCTTTATGAAAGGAAAATTATGGGTAAAAAATCTAATGGAATCAATAGATTTAATAAAAAATAGCACATGGAAAAAGTCATCTAATGATAATATTTTTACAGATATTGCAAAAGCGAATTGCAAAAGATATTGCAAAAATATTAACTCTGTTCCCGCATATGCTATGAGTTTCCTTAGACAACTAAGGAAACTCATAGTATATGCGATATTTGCGGAAACTTGCTAAAATGGATTGAAAACTTTTTGAACAACAGGAAACAAAGAGTGGTTAAGGATCAATATAAATCTTTTTGGCTGTTTGAGATTAGTGGAGTGCCACAAAGCAGTTAGGACCATTATTATTCATATTTTTTTCTTTATGCAAAAACAAAGCAAATTACATGCTGATGGTACTAAAACTGTATTAATCCAAATTTGGCAGAAGCACAGAAAAGACAAGATAGACAAATTGAAAAAAAAAGTTAACCAGATAGACTTTGTCTCATGGAGCGAACCCCATGTTCTTCGTGTTGATGTTTCAAATCCAATAAAAACTAGAAGACATCACCTAAAATTGACAAAAAAGGATGCATAAAATTGCTAGTAAAGACATCAGTTTTTAATAAACTGAGTTTAATTCATTGGGACACATTGCCATCAGACGTTGTATGCGCTATATCTGTTAACAGTTTCAAAGCTCAATGCAGAATTTTCAAATAATCAGTATAAATACCAAGATTATAATTAAATGAAAATACAAAAGTGCAACTTTATACATATGATACCTATATTTTTGCATAATTTTTTTATAATGATTTTATAAACCTGTTGCAGCATTTTAATACTAAAAACTCTTGGTATAATGCATCATACCATCAACATTATTATGCATCATACCTTTACATCATTATGCATCATACTTTTACATTATTAAATATGCTAATAGTAAAAATTTTATAAAAATTTATCAGGCCAGGAAGTAGTAGCAGTGGTGGCTGTATGTTTTATAAAAACTAATGTAAACTCTTTTACATTAATTTTTCGCAATGATTTTTAGCAAAAAACTATGTAAAAAGTACACACATATATAAATATAATACATAAGTACACATGAAAAAATTTATGATACTGAAAATAGATTGAAAACAAAACTTACCTTTGAACAGACATTTTCTCTTTATCATACTCATTATTTGCACAATTTTTTACATTGACTTCGGATTTTAAATTGATTTCAGAAATTCTTTCAAAAGTATCTGCTTGATCAGAAAAAAATTGATCAGAAACATCATTTGATTGAACAGACACTTTCTTTAATTGAGCAGACACTTCTTTTGATTGAACAGAAACTTCTTTTGATTGAACAGAATCTTCTTTTGATTGAACAGAAATTTCTTTTAGTTGAACAGAAACTTCGTTTGGTTGATCAGAAACTTCTTTTGATCGAACAGAAACTTCTTTTGGTTGAACAGAAACTTGGTTTGGTTGATCAGAAACTTCTTTTGATTGGAAAGAAACTTCTTTTGGTTGAACAGAAACTTCTGTTGGTTGAACAGAAACTTCTGTTGGTTGAACAGAAACTTCTGTTGGTTGAACAGAAACTTCTGTTGGTTGAACAGAAACATCTTTTGGTTGAAGAGACACTTCCTTTAATTGAAGAGGCAATTCTTTGGATTCAAGAGACACTTCCTTTGATTGAAGAGACACTTCTTTTGGTTGAACAGACACTTCCTTTGATTGATCAGAAACTTCTTTTGGTTGAACAGACATTTCTTTCGATTGAAGAGACACTTCCTTTAATTGAAGAGGCAATTCTTTGGATTCACGAGACACTTCTTTGGATTTAGCCATAAGTCCTTTTCCTTCAAAATTTTCTTTTGATTTAACAGAATCTTCTAAATTTGTTTTACCATCAATACTTAACACAAATTCTGCTTCACATTTTCCAGCATCATTAGTAGCAACAACCTTATACTCTCCCACATGATCAAACGTAACTTTTTTTATATCTAAAGTTGTCAAACCACAAATATTTTTTATTAAAAAATTACTGTTTGTCTTGATAACAATATTGTTGAAATACCAACTAACAATTGGTTCAGGTGTTCCAATAACATTGCATGTAAATTTTGCACTTGACCCAAGTTTTACATTTTTTCCTTGCGGCTTCTTTGAAAATGAAGGTGCTACAGCATTTTTAATTAATCCAGGTTTCTTAAGTCTGTTTAATACTGAAGGTACTTGCTTTTTTTCAAAGCCAATAGATTCTAATTTAGCAGCTTGTTCACAAATATTTTTAGAAGAAACCTTTTTCTCTTTGTGAAATTGATTCTCAAATATTAAGTCAATTGAATTTTCAGTTGTAGATAATACCTCAAATCCTTCACATACAATTACTTGCTTATTGTTTGATAGACTCTCATTAATGCTATCAACAATCAAATCTTCTTTCTCAATTTTTAATGTAAACAAATGCTCATACTCCCCACTTTCATTAGCAGCAATACAAGCATAGTTTCCTTCATCTTCTGCAGAGCAATTAAATATTTCCAAAGATGAATACCCATTTTCCACAATTATATCATATTTATTATTAGGATCTAAAAGCAACTCACCTTTAGCCCATTCTATAACTGGAGTGGGAATTCCTGTGAAGTTAACTTCAAAAAAAATGTTACTTCCAATTCTCACACTAAAGTTATCGTTCCCATCAATGGGTTGAATAAAAGGTTTTTCAGCTATTTCAATGACTTTCACAAAACAAAAGGATGACACTTCACCAGCTGAATTAACTGCTTTGCATTCAAATGTTCCTTTATCTTCCACTTGTGCTTCTTCAATTATAACTGTCCATTCATCTTCACAATTACTTATATATATTCCATCAATGTTTTGTAAGAGACGCTTGTCTTTATAAAAATTAACTTTTGGGTTAGGAACTCCATGTACAGCTACAGACAATATAATATCCTCACCTACTGTAATTTCTACATCCTGAAGTTGCTTTTCAAACACAGGTGCAGATGTAAATGGAACTACATCAACAACAACTTCTGCAGAAACTTTTCCACCTTCATTAAAAGCAGTACATGAGTAAACACCAGTATTTTCTGGAACACAACTACATATTTTCATCAACAACTGTCCAGAATTTTCTTCAAAATTTAAACCTTGTTCTTCTTTCAAATCTACACCATTAAACTTCCAAGTAACAAAAGGCTTTGGTGTTCCTGCGACTTCAACACATAACACCAACTGGTCATTTTCTTTAACAGATACTGATTTTGGAAAATTAATGAAAGTTGGCGGAACAATTTTTTTAGATACATTTAATGTTGCTGTGGATGATCTTTCTCCTGCTTTATTGCTCGCTACTGCTTTGTACTTTCCTTGATCTGAAAGCTGAACTTTGGAAAATATAAGAGAAAATTCATTATCATTTTGAATTATTTTTAAATTTTCGGTTTCAGTGACTTTATTTTGCATCTTAAACCAAGTACATATAGGTAATGGTTTGCCTGATACAACACACTGCAAACATGCTGTTTCACCTTCACATATACTTAAGTCTTGAATTCCCAACAAAAATATTGGGGGTTCTGTAAGTTCTAACACATTAAGCTGACAAACTGATGTGACTTTTCCAGCTTCATTTGTAGCTTCACAAACAAGGTCTCCAGTAAAAGCTTTTGTTATTGATTTTATGAACAAACCAGATTTTTTATTTGGATGAAAAGAAAATGTGACCAGAGCACTTTCTTCAAGCAATACACCATTTAAAAACCACTGAAGTTTTGGCTCAGGCTTGCCAGAAACCTTTACTGGTACATCAAGGTCATTACCTTCAATAATACTTACATCACGAAGTTTTGATATAAATGAAGGGGGGACATGTACTTCTTTAACCAAAACCGTCCAATTGTTGCTACATGCGCCAACACAATTGCTTACTTCAAGCCTGTACTGACCAGAATCAGATATGCGAGTATTGATTAGTTTATAGTTAAAAGCAAGGTCTTTTTCTTTTGTTGCATTCTGAATAGGTTTTCCATCTTTAAACCATTTTCCTGTAAGAGGAACTGTCCCTGTGCACAAAGATGTTAGTAGAATTTGCTGTCCCTCATACACAACAACATCATTGGATACACTTTCAAATGCGGGAGGGAATAAAGGCACTTGTACTGTTAAATTAGCAGAATGAGAAATTTCACCTAACAAATTTTGAAGTATACATTTATATATACCTGAATTTTGGACAGTTGCATCTGGAATCACTAAAGAACATTCTAATACATTAGTATCTAACAAGTTTACAAAAACATTATCTTTTAGGATAATGTTATTTTTATACCAGTTTACAGAAGGCAATGGTTTTCCAGTTACCTTAGTAACTATTGTGTATGTATCTCCTGCTATTATTGTTTTGTCAGTAAAAGGTTCAACAAATAATGGTGCTACTGGTTTCTCCTTAACTACAACATTGCAAGTAGATTCAGACTTTCCTGCAACATTCTCAGCAATAATTTTGTATATTCCGCCAGAATTAATTTCTACACTTTTACAAGTGAGTGAGTAACTATCTCCATTATTTTGAGTAGTAAACAGATTTGTTTCCTCAATTAGCGTATTGTTTTTAAACCACAAAACAGTTGGATCAGGATAAGCTTGAATCACAAATTGTAGAAGAAGAATATCTCCTTCAGTTAATTCTATTTCTTTAACTTCATTTAAGATATTAGGAGATTTTTCAAGTCTTTTAACATCTACAGTAAAATGAAAAACAGTTTCACCATGCTGATTCTTTGCTTTAACTAAATAATTACCATCATGAGATAAATCGGCTACAGGCCTGCACAAAAAGCTCACTAAACCATCACAAGATTCTATAAAGCTTATTCTTTGTTCATTTTTCAAACACTCTAAAGAAGGTAGTGGGTATCCATAGACATTACACTCAACATTAAGTTTATTTCCTTCTAAAACAACTACTCTCTCAGCCATTTCTAAACGAGGAGAAGAAGGTTGAGGTACAACTGTTACAACAGCTTGGCAGGTATCTTCTCTTAGTTTATTGTGTATTTTACAAGTATAGACACCAGCATGATCAAGATTGGATTGGTTAATTTTTAAAATTATTTTATTTTCTTCAATTGACATGGTTGTGTTATCACTTTCAGAAAGCTTGATATCATTCTTATAAAAAGATACTCGAGGAGGGGGATTCCCATCTACAGATACTTCAAGTTGTATGCAATCACCAACAACTGCAAAAATATCTTTAAGTTTTTGACAAAACACTGCTGGTTTAAAAGCTTCTTCAACAGTCAATATTGCTGAAACCTGAACATTTCCTACCTCATTAAAAGCCATAAATTTATACTCTCCCATATCTTCCAGAGAACAGTTTTTTAAGCAAAAGCAAAAAATCTCCCCATCAAATGATAAACCGTTTAAAACTCCTTCAGAACTAAGTTTATTAAAATCATCAAATGTTGTTTCAGAGATAACCTTATTTTGAAAAGAAACATTTACTGTAGGACTTGGTTTCCCACTAACACTAAACTTAAAATTTACATCTTCACCTTGTGTAACATTAATACTTTCAGGAATAATGTTAAATTCTGGCATTGTTTTTTTTAATTGCAATAATAAAATTCCTTTACTCCATATCTCACCTGCTGCATTTTCAGCTTTAACAGCATATTCTCCTTCGTCATTTAATGACAAATTTAAAATTTTCAAACAATAAGAATCTCCAACAACATCAATAAAAAAATGTTCATTACTTATAACTCTAACACCATTCTGATAGAAAGATACATCAGGTATTGGATTGCCTGTTGCGGAGACTAAAAGCTCTAAATCATCTCCTTCTATAGCTTGATAAGAAGCTTTTAAGCAGGTTAAAAAAGTAGGTTTACTAAATGGAGAAGAAACAACATCTGCTATTTTATCATTTTCATCTAAAGTATCTGAAGAATCAACAGTCAGAACAGCAGTACACGATTGGGAATTCTTTTCATTGAGTATTTCACACCGATATTTGCCACTGTCCTGATGGGTACACTTAAGAACTATACATACACATCGCTCCACTTCATCAATAATCTTATACTTTTCTGACTGATCTATATATTCATTGTCTTTGTACCAATCCACTTCCACAACATCTCCTTTAAAAGTAACCTCAAAAACAGCATCCAATCCTTTTGCTACAGTCATATCAGATAGTTTTTTTACAAAGTGAACATTTTCATTGATTTGTAAACAAACTGAAAAAGAAGCTGAGCCTTCACTGTTAGTGGCAGTTACTTTGTAAATTCCTTCATCAGATTTTAAAAGGTCTGGTATTTTTAAAGTTCCTTCACCATTAGCAGTATTATAAGTTGTTAATATTCCTTGCGGCAGAAGTTTATCATCCTTTGAAACTTCTATTATTGGAATCGGCTTACCAATCAGAATAAAATCCATTACAAATGTATCATGAACAGAAAGTTCCATTTCAGGAGTAGGTTTCTTTTTAAACAATGGCAAAACAAGGGCTTCTTTTATTTCAAGTTTGCAATCAGTGCTAATACTTCCAACTTTATTGTTTGCAACACATGTATAAGTACCCGCATCTAACAAACTCACATCTGTAATTTTTAAAGATTCGGTCTGACCGTCCGTTAACATTGAAATATTAAATTTTGACTCTAACACATTGTTGTTTTTGAGCCAAGATAGTTTGGGTTTTGGAATTCCATCTACACTTACTTTGAACTCAACAGTATCTTTGCAAAAAACTGTCATATCAGATAAGAAATTTTTAAAAACTGGTGGAGACGTCATCTCTTCAACAGTCACTTTAGCTTTAGAAACAGTTTCTCCAGCTGTGTTTTTTGCAATAACCTTATATATACCATTGTCATCAAGTGAACATTGAGGAATGGTTAAAAAGTACTGAAAATTCTCAGAAGAAAGTAAATTGCCTTCTATTACTTTGTCATTTTTGAACCAACAAACAGTTGGTTTAGGTTTTCCCTTTACCTCAACACATAACAACAATTTCTCTTTTTCAACAATTATTACATCTTTCAATTTTTGCATAAAAGCTGGTCTTAAATTTATCTCTTCAATATCACACATAATTGTACAGCTCACAAAACCAGCCTTATTAGTAAGCTTGCATGTATATGTTCCAGAATCTGATAAGCTAACACTTTTCACAGACAAAGATGATTTACCAGGTTCATTATTTATCTCAGCATTGCCAGAAATTTTCTCCCCATTAAGCAACCATTCAACAAGAGGCTCAGGCTTACCACTGAAACTTACATGCATGACCATTGGACGACTTTCTATTGTTTTTATGTTCTTAGGAACATAAATAAATACTGGAGATTTAGTTTCTTCTACAACTTCAACTTTACATAAAGTTTCTGATGTACCTGCAATATTTGACGAAATTGCTTTGTAAATGCCACTATTCTCAAGCTTGCAGCTTTTAATTTCTAGTATATTCAAATCTTTTTCTGTTCTCATTTTAATGGAATTTGAAGATTTTAGAGGTTGGTCATTAAAATACCATTCAATAAAGGGTCTTGGTTTTCCGCTTGATGAGACTTTCAACTTTAGATCTTTCGATTCAATAAATGTACTATCGGCTAAGCCAATTGAAAATTGTGGAGCAATAACTGTTTCTTGAACTTTAACTGTTCCTGTGCAAGTTGCAGTTCCTTGATTGTTTCGTGCAATGCATTTATACATTTTTCCATCTTTAAAATTACAATCAATTATTTGTAATGAATAACAACCAGTTTCTTTATTGGCTGTTATACTGACACGATCATTTGCCTGCAAAACACGATTATCTTGATAAAATAATATATCTGGTGGCGGCTGACCACTAACTTCAACATTTAATTTTATTGAATCCCCTTCAGTGACAACTTGGTCTTGAAGTTTTAATCTCCATTCAGGTTTAGTTAATTGCGGAGCAACATCAACTTTTATGTCACACTTGGCAAATCCGTTTATATTTTTTATTTCACAAATATAATGACCAGAATGTTGAATATTAGCATTAAAAACTTTTAATGAACATATACGTTCTTTTGATTCTAGAAGATAATCTTCTCCACTTTTGATCTCATTACCATCTTTAAACCAAGATATGGATGGCTCAGGATAACAATCATTAAATGCTAGTAACAAAATTAATGGTTTACCGGCCAAAAATTTACAATCTTTTTGAGTGTCTACAAAACTAGGTATTTGTTTATTATCTGTAAACAAGAGATCTTCTGGCATATTTGGCTCACAATTCAAAGATTCTTCACAAACAAGATGGTCTACATCACTGATGAATTCCTTAATAACTTCTTTTATATCCTCTGTAACTAATTTGTCAATAACGTTTGAATTTTCTTCTTGTTCTGGTTCATTTTCATCATCTGAAGAAAACTCACTTTCTTTATTTGGTTTATCTTTTGTTGAAGTATCTTTAGTTAAAGATCTTCTTTTCTTAGGTTTAATTAAAGATGGTCGTCGAGCAGGCAAATCATCTGAGCTCGATGAACTTGAATTATCATTCATTTCTTCTTTTGTATCAGATTTCCAACGATTTCTTTCTGCAATTATTGTCTTTTCAACAACTTCTAACTCCGATATATCATCAACTAAAAGTTCTATTATGCATGAATCTTCACCTGCTACATTGGTTGCTACAAACTTATAAATAGATTCATCTTGAACAGTTGATTTTGGAATAAGCATTGTGTACACACCATCTAAATAACTTGTTTTGAATCTTGTTGGTAGTTGAAAGATTTTATCTGCCTTGAAAACATCTATTTTAGGTTGAGGGTTACCTGTAACACTAAAGTAAAATTGAACTTCCTCTCCTGTAGTTACGTGAAGATCAGAGCAAACATTTGAGATATTTGGCTTTTCAACATCCCCTATAATTTTAACTGTATCCTCAGGAAGATCTTCAATTAGACATTCACAAGAAATACTTGTTTCTCCATGTTTATTTTTTGCAACACATTCATACTCTCCGCTGTCAGTTTTTAAAGAATTTTTTATTTGCAAAAAACACTTACCTGTTACAGATTTTGAAACAATTTTGAGATGACTGCTGTTATATAAACGTTTGTCTTGTTTGTACCAAGATATCTCAGGAAATGGGTCACCAGTCACAATAGCTTCTAAATAAAGTTGGTCACCTACTTTAATTTGACAATCGTGAAAACTTTGTAAAAATTTTGGTGCATTTGAAGATTTTATGGATATAAATTTTGGCTCTTTAAAGCTTTTGGAATAAGCTAAGCTACTAACTTTTTTTTCAGTGAGCTCTTTGAAACTTGTTGAATGTCCAATATGCTGTTTTTGTTGAGTTACATTAACCTCTATGTCTGAGTGGATCGTTAACAAAGTGTTTGAAGCAGTACATTTGAAGAAAGTGTCGCTGAGATTCACTTTCAATATTGTAAAAGAAGAATAACAAGTATTGTTTTCATCAATATTTTCTATTAGATAGTTCTTACTATTTGTAATTAATTTATCATCTTTATACCAGGTTATATTCGGTGTCGGAACACCACTTGCTTTCATAGAAACTACTAATCTCTCTCCTTCGCACACAGAATACTTTTTTTCACATTCAAAAAATTCAGGAGCCATTTCACACACCTGTACAGTAAGATTTCCATGAGTAATATCTTCACCTTCACTATTAGTAGCAATAGCCCAATATTCACCTGCATCATCCAATTGAATATACTTCCATAATAGGGTATGATTAAATTGATCATGAAGAATTTGAAGTCGAGACGTAGGTTCAATAACAGCTCCATTTTTGTAAAACAGTACTTCTGGATTTGGCTGGCCTGTAGAAATAACATTTAGTTGTAAGTTTTTCTTATTAACACCAACAATAACATCAGATAAAGGTTTGATAAATTTTGGAGAACTATTTCCTTTGTTTACAGCCACATTACATTCACACAAACTTTGACCCATGTTATTTTGGGCAAGACATTTGTAAACACCACTATCATCTTCAGTTACACCTTCAATTATCAAAGAAAATGTATTTCCATCTTGTTGGTGTTTAATTTTGTCATTTTCAGAGATAGGATCACCTGATTTGAACCATTGAACAACTGGCAAAGGTGTACCTGTAATGATTACATCTAATTTCACAATATCGCCTGTTACTGCTTTTATATCACAAAGTGGTTGTGGAAATCCAGGCATGTTCTCCTCAGTATCAAGATTAATGTTCATAACACAAGCTGACTCACCAGCATCATTAAATGCAGCACATTTATACATACCAACATGAGCCATACTGCAGTGAGCAATTTTTAAAAAATATGCATTATCTTCTTGTATAAACCTATAGTCTCTTTCTTCAGTAATTGATCTATTATTTTTGTACCACTCAACAGTGGGTGTAGGTTTCCCTTTGATAATAGCATGTAACTGACAAGATTCACCTGGTACAACTTCTATGTCTTTAGAATGCTCAATAAATTTTGGAGCATAGATACTTTCATGCACTTTTATATGTCCAGAATAACTGGATTCTCCAATAAAATTACTAAGTTTACAAGTATATAATCCTGAATCAGTAACATTTGATATAGGAATAATCATTTTATACTTATCCATAATATTTTCAAACTTGTAGTTGTTATCATTTTTATATATTTCTTCATGATTATGAAACCACTGTGCATTAGGTAAAGGATTACCAACAGCTCTCACTTGAAGCGTGACAACATCACCTTCATTGACATCTTTATCTCCAAATCCATGAATTATTTCTGGTGGCCCTTCTTTTTCATGCAGTAAAATGTCAACTGGAACAATGCTACCTCTATGAGTATTTTCATTGCATACCTTTAACAATGTGGAACACTTTGCCTCACCAAAAGAACTTGTAATAACACACTCATAGACACCAGCATCATCTTCAGTAACTTCTGGTAAAACCATTTTACACTTTGAATCAGTTATTTCCATTTCAACGCCGTAGTCCTTTGTTAAATGAATATGATCATGGTACCAGTTAATTCGGACTTGTGAATCACAGGAAAAATGCACTATGAATTCAGCATCTGTATTTTCATTAACATCTAACACTTCTCTAAATGAAATTATTATAGGAACACTGCTTTTTACATGATCTTGAACAACAAGTGAACAGATACATTCATTACTGCCTGCAGAATTAGATATTAAACATTTAACTACCCCTTGATGCTTGGTTGTTACATTAAAAATATTGAGGGTATGAGTATCATTGGATGAGGAAATAACTATATTTTCTTCAGTTACAAGTTGCTTGTTATTTAAAAACCATGAAACAATTGGGTCTCCTTTAACACAAACTGAAAATAAACATGTTGAATTTACAGAAATAACAGCATCTTTCAAAGTACTTAAAAAAATTGGTGGACTGGAGACAATTGGAGAACATTCAACAACATCATTTGGTAACTTGAATGTAAGCTTTTGACCAACAACAACAGAACTAAGATAAAATAAAAAAAAGTATAAAAAAAATCAGTACTATTATATTAACTTAAATCTCTGACCAATCATTATTCATCTTTGAAAATTCATTAATTTATTCAATACATAAAAAATTTCAGAAACCTTGGTGAAGGGATTGAAGCTGATTTGATACAATCTTCCGAGTCAAAGTCACTTAAACCACTCATTGAAGATTCATCAGCTAAATTAAAGAATAACATTGTTGAAATTTAAACTGATCACTGATTATCAATGATTTATACTTATTATTCATTGATTTTTGAAAAACTAAAACTAAAAAATCTTTTTTCAAGGTGAAAATTAGATAACAACTTGCCTCAGTCTTCTGTCTGACAAATAAATGGAAAAACATGTGCGTAGAATAATTCAGTGAATAATACAATCATTACTTTAAGATAATTAAACTTTTTTTTTTGAAGAAATGATGAAGCAAAACAATGGTTTTAAGAATGCACTCTGGGTAATTAACTATTATTGACTGGAATGCTAAACTTATACGGGTTTGTGCACTGATGCTAAATGCCCTGGTTGCACTAACATCAACAGTTATTGTAAAAATATTAATAGATTCTACAAAACAGTAAAGTGATGGTAGTGTGTTCACAACTAAAAAAAATTGTAAACTAAGTTGCTTTCAGAGGGAATGCAGCTTGATCAGATTAATTAAAAAAGCATCAATATTAAATAAATTTGAAGCTGTCCAAATAAGATAAAGAAGATCACTTGCATCACAAGAATAAATGAAATTAGACCCACTACACCAAACCTAAACCAAAAAGATCAGCTGAGTGGACTGCACACGTATCTCAATACAGATTTCATAACTAGTTAAAGTTATAAAATCTATACTTTAAACACATATTTATTTTAAGAAAGGTTTTAAGAAAGGTAAAAATACGGATACAGAATACTACATGCATCAGGTTAACTGAGTGTAAAAATTTTAAAAAATTTATACCAAAAAGTTTCGTTAAGCCTTATGTCACATGGCATTGAATTGATAAGTAAAGGAAGTCACTAGAAAATGATTAAATTAAATGAATTAAATGAATTATGCTTTGAACTCCTCAACCATCACACTCTCCAGATCCCTCAGAAACTATTGGTAATTAATTCTCACAGTCATTAATAAGCCATTAACATTATTCTCACAGTGTTGGAATGAAAATTGAACTCTTGAAAAAGAGTTATTAATATTCATTTTCATGATATTAATATATTTCTAAACAAAAAGCGTTTCTAAGTTTAGGTCAGAGACTTATTGAGCATGTATTTATTTTAAAACAAAAAACAATTTCATAAGCATAAAGTAAAATGTTACATTGAACAATGATTTCCGCTTGACAGCTGGCAGATCCAAGTGCATTCATGACCTTTACAGTATATATACCTTCATCGTCTATTAGAGCTGGGGATATCTTCAATATAACAATGTCATCTTTTTGAGAAACTGAATGATTAATATCATTACGAACAGGAAGCCCATCCAAATACCATTTCACTTCTGGTTTAGGATATCCATCAATTTTAACAGATAGTATAGCAGTGCTTCCTTCCACTACAGAGCATGGTGCTAGAGGAGTCACAACTTTTGCAGGTTTCGCTAAAATAAAAAGAAGGCAAAAATAAAATCAATAAAAATAAAAATTTGAATAAAATTTTATAAATCTCAATTTAATTATATTTTTTTTCTTAAGTATAAAACTATAGGTTAACCTCTTTCAGATATAAGATCTTTATCAGCATCTTCTTTTTTTTGTAAAGAAAAAGTTGGTACCCAACCTCTATTCACCTCTGTTCCAAGCTTGCTAATTGCTGCAACGTAACTTCTTTCCCCTTTTTGTTCTAACACAAAGACCTCAGAACCTAAATGTAAACTTAATTCATCTTTTTTTTTTGCTGTATAACCTTGTGCAATGATATACTTGTTTTTTAAACTTTTTAACTCAGAATCTTTATTTTCAGAAACAATATACTCTTGTGGAGAACTTTCAATATAACCTTCATCTACACAATCAATTAAATTTTGTTCTTCCCCAGATTTGTATAGTGTAGCATTTACTGCTGAAATTTTATTGTTTTCTTCGTTTTTTATCAGTTCAATACTTGATTCTACCTTAAAGTCAGTTTTTGGTTCTTGATATTCATGGGATATAACTTGGCATTCAATTTGTGATTCTTGACATTCAAATTGTGGTTTTTCGATTTTCATCATTGGAGAACTATGCGTTATTTCTTCAGAACTGTGTGTTATTTCTGCAGAACTGTGTGTTATTTCTGCAGAACTGTGAGTTATTTCTTCAGATAAATGTTGATTAGATAATGCACCATTTTTTAATGTAGAGGTTAGCTGATCATTTTCTAAATTACAATAATTAGTAGCAGAATTTGCAGTATCTACACATTTATTCTGTCCTACAGGAACAAGCATCATCATTTTTGACGGCTCATCATTTTTCACAAGCTCAATTTCTTTTTCACATTTAAAGTTTTGTCCATTTGTTCCTTGTTCATTTTCTGCTCGTTTCTGCTCAACTTCTTCTATTAATGATTTGTTGGTTTTTTCAAACTTCTCAAAACCTTTTATGTCAACTTTCACAAAATTTTGAATATCTTTTAACAGCTGCACAACAATCTAAACATTTAAATGCAGAACATTTTTATCACCTAATCATTTGATGTCAATTATTTGACAACAAAAAATTTTATCTAAATATATTTTAATTTTCTATATTCAACTATTTTATCTAATTTGGATATAATATGTGTGACAACAGAAAAATAAGATTTAAAGGCACCTCTATCAAGGTATAAGGTAAAACAAAAAGGAAAAACGTTTTAAAAAGTATTTGTATTGGTTTTTATCTATAAATTAGATATTTTTAATTAAATCATTCTTTCTGATTTTATCATCTAGGCCTAGTATAAATAAACTCTGTATGAGCTCAATATCAACATTTTTAAGGCTATTCTAAGTTTATTATTGCTATTCTAGATTTATTATTATTCTAGATTCTAAAGCGTAATTTTTTAGGATTTCTGCATGCTAATTATTCTTGTTTAAGTAGATTTCTTGATTTACAGCTAGTCCACTTGGCACAAAATAAGGCTGAGAAATGCCATTTTTAGAAGAAGCAATTCAAAGAAAAATTTTAAAAATTTTGTTTTGTTTACAAATTAATTGCAGATGGAGTAGATTTTACATTGCTACTATAAAATATATCATTTCTATTGATACTGTACAGATTTAATGTGAAATAAGACTCATCATCAATGATCAATTTACAATATTAGGATTTCTGACACAATCGACTGTACTTAGTTCTAGGAACTGCTTTTTGCTGTTCAGAACGTATTGGAATTATCATTTTTTTTCTTGATTTAAATTTTGTCTTTTTTTCAATGTTTTACTAATGTGCTGCTGAGTACAGTTGAACTTATTAGCTACCTGGTGTTGAGAAACTCTGTTTTTATAGTCAAACATAAGTTTGAGCATTTTAATGTTTGTCTTGGTCATTTTATTAGTCTTTCCTCCATTTCCTTAAACTTTTTGGTTATCAGATTTACTCTCAGCAGGTTCAATTATCTTGCAGATAGTACTTTTAGGTATATTCTTAGTTTTAAAGTGGTTATACGTGAATTAAAATTCATACACAGGTTTCTGATCTGTTCTTGTTTTGAATTTTTTTTTTTTTTTATTCATTTTTCTATTTAAAAAAAAAGAAAAAAGAAAACAAAAAAAATATTTATAATCTTTAATAAAAATACTTCCTAAAACATTTTGCCTTTTTGTTCTACATTATACTTTAAAGGAGTTTTTTATTTATTTATTTTTTTTTTTTAATTATCTTCGCTTCCAACAAGGTTGCAAGCAACCACTTATTAGTGTTGGAAGTAACTGGAAGAGAAAAGATGAAGATTGTAGAGCAAGATAACGATTGACAGACGACTTAAAATATTGCAAATTATATGAATCAGGAAAGCAAGATGAAGGTAGCGAATTCCAAAGAACTGATGTTCGAGGAAAAAAACTAGACGAATAAGAGTTTTTGGAGCACTTAGGAACAGTAACAGAAAAAGGATGAGACGAGTAACACGAGAATGAATTTTAGTAGATGGCACAAGAGACGCTAGCTCTTTAGAGAAGTGCCCATTATAGTATTTGTAGAAAAGAGAAAGGGAAGCAACATTACGACGATGTGACAGAGGTTGAAGGTTGGCTGCAAGAGCAGATCCAACTATGTTTACAATGCGTTTTTGCACCTTGTCTAAAAGAGAAAGGGCATCATTAGAAGATCCGCCCCAGATATGGCAACAGTATTCCATACAAGGCCGGATTTGAGATTTATAGAGATAGAGAATAGAATCCAGAATAAGAAAGTGACGAGCTCAATAAAGAGAAGCAACTTTAGCAGATGCTAATTTTGCAACAGATTTGATATAAGGTTTCCAAGAAAGATCAAAAGTAAGAGTTAATCCTAGAAGATGAAGGGTAGGAGACTCATCGAGTACATTACCGTTCATAAATATAGGAAGGTCTAAATTATTGCGATAACGATTGGCCGAAAAAAATTGAGTTTTATCTGAATTAAAGTTCACCAGCCACTGTGAGCCCCATGCTGTAGCAGAAGTGAGATCCTTTTCAAGCTCAGATGCCCCCTGCAAGCAATCAGAGGGAGTTGGCTTCTTATCGTGACAAGAATAAATGGTAGTATCATCAGCGAACAATGCCACCTTAGATGTAAGAATATCTGGAAGATCGTTAATGTAAATTAAAAAGAGTATAGGGCCAAGGATTGAACCTTGGGGAACCCCTGAGGTTACAGAATAAGAAGAAGAGTGCTGTCCATCAAGGACAACTTTTATACTACGATTGGAAAGGAAGGATTCAATAATCTTAAAGATGTTTCCAGATACACCATAAGAAGAAAGCTTATGGAGGAGACCAGCATGCCAAACTTTATCAAACGCTTTAGAAATGTCAAGAGCAATGGCCTTAACCTCTTCACCTTTATCTAATGTGCAATAAAACCTATTGGTTATTACTGATAGCAAATCAGCCGTAGAACGAGAAGATCGAAATCCATACTGATGATCAGAAAGTAGGTTATGAGATTCGAGATGAGAGATTAAGTGTTTGTTAATTAAAGATTCAAAAGCCTTGCTTATGATAGGAAGAAGACTAATGGGACGGTAGTTAGATGAATCAGATTGCTCTCCAGAATTTTTAAAAATAGGGATAACAGATGCTGATTTCCAGCAGGCTGGAAAACAAGACTCTGATAAGCACTTGTTTAATAGTTTTGAAAGGATAGACGACAGCTCCGGAGAACACTTCTGCAAGACTATAACAGGTATGTTGTCCGGGCCGCAAGCTGTAGAAGAGTTAAGCAGGAAATCACTTTAGATACAGAAGCTGAAGTGATACGAATGTCGAGCAATGGATCAACCTGTTTGACGGGTATATCAGGTAGAACGCAACTAGTGGCATCAAGAGATGATATTGATGAAAAGTTCTTGGCAAACAATTCAGCTTTGTCTTTAGGTGAGGTGACAAAGTCTGAACCATACAAAAGAGGTGGAATTACAGACTTGCCCTTATTATTGATACTATTAAAGATTCTCCAGAAGTCACGAGAGCCTAATTTTTGTGATGAAATTTGAAATTTCATGATCTGAGAATAGCGGGTTTTGGTGTTAGACAAAACCTTTTTACAATGGTTCCTAGCAGTAATAAAGAGACGTCTGTTTTCTGGAGAATTGTTTTGCTGATATATATGGAAGTAATGGTTTCGATTGGCAATTGCAGCAGCACAATGTGAAGAAAACCATGGAGAAGAGTGAGGCTTGACCTGGAATCATCAAGAGGGAATAAAGGGTTCCATGCCAGCCTGAATCCACGAAGTTATGTAAGAAGCACACTTGTCAACAGGGAGAAGAAAGATTTCTACCCAGGGGCCATCACGAAGAAAGTCACGAAAAGAGTCCCAGTCAGCTTTAAGGTAGTTGTAAGATGTACGATGATAGGGGGATTCTAATGGTGAAGAAGAATGAGATAATAGTTTTAGAGAGACCAAACCATGATCAGTTGTGTGTCTTTAAATCTAGTTGCATTTTTCAGTTATTACCTGTTAAATTAACGGGTAACAATTGAAAAAAGCAACTAGATTTAAATGATAAATAAATGAAATAATTAACAGCGTAAATTATTTCACTTATCTATCTTCAGTTTAAACAAATCATTCATTGCCACAAACACATTTCAAATTGCAAAAAAAAGTTAAATTTTGTTAAAAAAAAATCAAAAAACTAAATATATATGATATATATGTTGTACATATATAACATGACAACAAATCATTTGGAAAAATTGTAAGATTAAGACATCATCATTATCCTGCTGTCATGATCAGTGGGTATGACTGTCTTAACATTACAGCTAGACTGAGTGATGAAGTTTTAAAGTAGCTTTAAAAAGTAGTTTTAAAGTAGCTATAGAAAATAATCATGTAGTAGTAGAGCATTTGCTCCAAAATTGACCATGTCTCAAAACTGCAATCAACTGGTTTCTCCGAAATGTCATTGGTGATCGCAGTGGATTCCTGAAGAGGGGGATCACCATTTATCCACTACCTAATTCTAATTGGTTATTATGGCACCAACATTTTTTTACCTCTTACACCCATGAATTTTTGTGCTTTGTGGGCTTTTTATTATGAATTTGTTACATTAACGACATTTATATACTTTTATGTTACACAGGTGATTATTAGTTCTCAATTTATTATCTAGAGTTTAGTACATATATAGTACCACATTTAGTAGACATTTGTATGGTGCGATTATTTTAGTTATGGATACCATTAATAAACCAGCAATTTTTGTTGACTTGTGTACTCGTGGATCATTGTTTTGTTGTTTGCTGGAGATGACTGGAGTGTGAGTTTTAGTTTCTCTCTTTCTGAGTTTCTAACTTTTACTCCTCCTACTAAATAGTCTTTACATTAATTTATGTTTTTTTTTTTTTTTTAAAAACCTAAATGACCTCATCTTCAATCTGTTTTTATTTTCAAATCTCCCAGGTCTACGTAACTGGACGGCTCCGTTGGTCACTTTTTGCGATCATAGTGTCGCATAAACAAATAATCATGTAGTAGTAGTAGAGCATTTGCTTCAAAATTAGCCATGTCTCAAAACTGCATGTCTCAAAACACATATTTGTCATGTGGAGGCATGTATTCATGTATAAATATATGTCTATATTTATGTATATATGTCAATATGTATAAACATATGTCTGTATTTATATATTTATGTATAGAAGGGTGATTTATTTTACAAATTACAAAGTAAAAAAATAAACTTGAGTTTATTTTCCTATTCTATGAAACTTAAAAAGTAAAAAAAAAAAATTTCAGATTCATAAGTGTTTTGGGAAGTGCTACATGTAAATTTGAAAAAAAATTTTCTACCATTTTTTTCCCTTTTTTTATCCTGTATAGTAAGTTTTAAAAATCTCAAAAACTTAAGATAAAATAGTTGTCTTGATTCATAGTTTTAAAACTGTTTAGTTACAGCACGAGTATTTTGGTTTGTATTTTTATCACATTGTAATCTTTCATTAATTTTTTAAATTGTTTAGTTACAGCACGAATATTTTGGTTTGTATTTTATCACATTGTAATCTTTGATTTAATTTTTATAGTTTACATATGCGTACAAAATGTTGAAAAGTCAAAAAGACAAAAAAGAAAGAAGTCACCAATAGTCATGGCCTAGGTCTACTTAACCTGCTTAAGATTAAGTAGACCTTAGGGCATTATTGTATATTGAATTTATTATGATGTTAAAAAAAAGACTAGCCTTTAAGCAACCTACAAACCAATTACCATCTAATATCAGTGTTCCTTGGTATTACTTGTAACTGAGCTGGAGATAAAAGATTTAAATCAAACTTTATATGTTCTCGTGCACAAGGGAATGTTATCTACGAAGGAAAGGAGGAATTTTTTTTTTTTAATTCTAATTCACTCCCAACAAAGCTGCAAGCAACCACTCTTAAGTTGGGAGCTACTAGGAAAAAATAAAGAGAGTTATAGAGCAAGGAAACGGTTGACAGAAGACTTGAAAAGTTGTAGTTTGTATGAGTCAGGAAAGCATGAAGATAGAATAAATTTTTAGAGCATGCAGGGGCAGTTACACTAAATAAATGAGACTTAGTTACAGTAAATAAATGAGACTACAGTAAATAAATGAGGCTGAATGACAAGAATGAATTTTATTTGATCAGCCAAATAAATGACTTTTTTATTTGGCTGATCAAATAAAATTCATTCTCGTCATTTAGCATATATTATGATATTAAAAAAAATGATTTATACATTATGATATCAAAGTAATTGTTTTATGTTACAAGTTTTACAGTACAAAAAAGATTTGTAGATAGATAGTGTTTCTAACAATTTTTATCTAGAACTAATAGCAATATAATCTATAATTTGAGCTTAAAATAAAAAGGAAAAATATAAACAATTTTTTTTATTAGTAAATGTGTAACTTAAGTTAAACAGAGAATATGTTAAAAGGAAATGTTACAGACTTTTTATCAGGGAAAGGAGGCCAGATCAGAACCATTATACTGGATTAATGATGCTTGTTGATATTAGTTATACATTTTAATGGCATAATTATAAAGCATATTGAGAAGGACAGTAGACAAAAAACTACTATAGACAATCGCTTTCTGTAACTAACTCTTTTTCTAGGATGATTACCAACTGAGAGTGGTAAGAGAAGCAGTATGAATATAAGTACTATAAATCTCCAAGATTTGAAATTACTGACTTTACTTTAGTATACTGTTCTGACACCACAATAAGTAATAATGTATAGAAATCTATTATTACAACTATTATAGCAAGTTTACTAAATAAACCATTTCTTTGGTTAAAACAATTCAAATAGAATGGGACTATGATGCCAGAAATTCATTTCAGAAAAGTATGAAAAATTTATTTATCTTCAAAGGTTGTTGTATTATTGTTAGGTGATCCTGATCTGAAAGCAGAACCTATGTTTTTTAACTGAAAAGCTCTTTTAATTTATAAATCCTGAGTTATGTCTCTGCTGCTATCGCCTCCAGCGATAGTAGATTGGAAGACTTAATTATGAAGGAAACTTTTTTCATACTTACAGGTTACACTGATTCTGTTCAAGAATGGTATTCTTCAAGTGATTTCTTATCATTAAATTCATACAAGTATTTTATACAGCTAGCTTGGTGTGAGTAGTGTGTTAATGTGACCAATGACTGCATAGAAAGAAATATTAATTAATAAACTTTGTTGGCAGTTCCCACAATGGCCATGTCTCAAAACTGCAATCAACTGGTTTCTTTATGCAGAGGCCATATTTGTCATGTGGAGGCATGAAAAATATTAATTATAAAGAAAGGATCCAAGAAAGAATATTCTTTTGGTAGTCAGGAAACTACATGAAGCACTTGCCAGGAAAACATGAAGATGAGATAGAGAGAGTTCCAAAGCAAAAAAAAAAAAAAATGTATGTATGTATATATATATATATATATATATATATATATATATATATATATTATATATATATATATATATTTATATTTATATATCTATATATATATATATATATATATATATATATATATATATATATATATATATATATATATATATATATATATATATATATACATACATATATATATATATATATATATATATATATATATATATATATATATATATATATATATATATATATATATATATATATATATATATATATATATATATATATATATATATATGTATGTATACATATATATGATGATTATTTTATTAATTTTATTTGTTAAATTATGATTATTAAAGATTTCGAGAACACTTGTTCTTGAAATCTTTTTTGTACTGTAAAACATGTAACACAAAACAATTGCTTTGATATCATAATGTATAAGTCATTTTTTTTAACATCATAATATATAAGTCATTTATTTGGCTGATGAAATAAAATTCATTCTCGTCATTCAGCTAAGTCTCATTTATTTGCTGTAACTGTTCCTGCATGCTCTAAAAATTTTTATTTGTCTACTTTTTTTTCCCACACTTTAACCCTTTGAAACTCTCTCCTATCATCATGCTTTCCTGACTCATACAAAATACAATATACATATATATATATATATATATATATATATATATATATATATATATATATATATATATATATATATATATATATATATATATATATATATATATATATATATGTATATATATATTAATGGAATCAAGAAATATGATTAATGAAAAGTTCTTATTAAACAATTCAGCTTTGTCTTTAGATGAGGTAACAAAATCTGAGGCATACAAGAGAGGAGGATTTTCCCTTTTTATAGACACTGTTAAAGATTCTCCAGAAGTCTCTGGAGCCTAATTTTTGAGTTGAATTAGAAGTATTAGTCGAAGCTTGCCTTTGCAATTTTTTCTTGGTTTTTGGAGTCTTTATAATATTCACAACAATCTGCAGACTCGATAATTTATTTCATTTAAAGTAGTTTAATGTTTTTTAACTATTATTGTTGTTTATTTATAGTTACATTACATTTTATTTTATATTTTTATTGTTGTTTATTTATAGTTACATTACGTATTGTTGTTAATTCTAGCTTATTTAAGTAGCCACAGTTGAGTGTACATACATCACCTGATTTAATAAGGCAAAAATAATTAATAAAAAGTAAAACAAAAAAGTTCTTATCAACATAGGAATTGTACATTATTAACAATTTTTCTATTTTTACCCATAACCATTGCAATTTTGTCACTTTGAAAACATTAAATAGATTAAAAAAAATAATGCAAATTTTACAAAATTAATTTGAATTAATATATTCTTATATGGACAAACAATATATTTTTCCTTAAAATGTGAAAGTTTGCTCACTTTTTAAAATAAAAATCTAGATAAAGATTTATGCTTTCAATGGTTAAAAACCAACTGAAATCTCAAAACCAAATACATTATTTTATTTTTAATTGAATCACATTTTTTTGGGATTTGGTAAAAAGTTATATAAATAAACATGATTTGCTGACTGTGGTGGATAAAATGCTATATCTTTAAAAAAAATTCCACAATGACATCATATAGTGAAACTGTTATGAATTAAAGGTGTATGAAAGAAATTTTCTGCTGATTGTGGCATATATTATAAACAAATTTGATAAGTGATTTCTTATTAATTTTATATTGCTCACTTTTTTTGCTTACTTTATCTAAGAACGCAATTTCCTAATATATTTTGTGCACTTAATTTCTTAAAATAATTTAGTTCTTAAAAATTCCTAAAATGTACACTTTTATGGTCAAAGCAAGTATTATACCTATAACCTTTCAATTTTAAGTCTGCTTCTAGTGCAGGAAAAATTGTATATGACAAGCACATACAAATATATGTACATGCAACATACTGCCATATAAATTTGCTGTTTTTATGTTGAAAAAAAAAGTTTCACCTGAGCTTTGGAAGAATCACTATTAGTGTGTTGCATTTGGCAGACCAGATCTTCAAAAATAGAGCACACACACTTTAAATGTTCTTGTGGAGCCTGCAAATGCTCTTTTATTTGGCTTCTATGAACGCTACAATCCTTAAAAAAAATAGTTTATATGTACTTTTAATGAAACAAAAAAATACAGTAAATATATTAATGTTCAACAAAAACTATTAAAGAATATTTTACAGAAACATTACCAGTCAGCCATGTTTGGTAAAAATTTGAATTTTTCTCATTAAAAAAAAAACATTTTAAAAATAAAATATTTAAAAAAAAAACAAAGAGCTCATGTACACTAAAAGCATGAACAAAGATTTTATGCACAACTTAAAATATCAGGTGTTTTTGTAAAGTTTGTACATATGCACTCTTCATATGGTAATTCTGGAAAAATTTTTAAAATGATAGAAACAATTATTTCAAATTGTACTTTTAAGTTCATTCTTGATGGACAATACTTTCCTTCATTTCTAGTTATGTCTAAGGTACCACAAAGTTCCATCCTTGGTCCCTGTTGTTTCTTATCTACATTATTATTTTTTTATCTACATTAAAATCAGTGTAACCAATAAAGACAGCCAGTTTTAAATGCGATCACTTCGGTAAAAGCTTAAAGCCAGGAGTGGCTGGAGAACTTGAACCTAAACAAAAAGTCAGTTATTTATTACTAACCATTATCTCATTAACGTTGTGTATTTTACCTTTGATTGATGTCAACATTCTAACATTGATTGATGTCAACCTCTACATAAAATTTTATCAAAAAAACTGATTGGATCAATTATAAAGTTAGCATCTTCTTTCCTCCCTTAATCATGATTTTCTTGGCATTTTTCTTTTTTTTTAATTCCATTCTCTACATCTATAAATCTCTAACCCATCTTTGTATGAAATACTGTTGTCATATCTGGTTCTTTAAAGCTTTTTATATACATATTATCATGGCTGGTTCTTTAAAGCTTTTTATATACAATTTACATACAAGTCGAAATACAATTAAGTCTAAATACAACTTGCATAAACTAAAAACATGTTATGAAAGTAGTTTAACTTACTGCAGCTTCCAAGCTGTCTCATAATCATAAGGTTCTATCATTTTTTCTTTTCTACAATTACTCTTATTTTAATTTAATTTCACCATTAGGATTTAGACAAATTTACGTTATATAGTTTAGCGTAAAAAGCAAATTTTATTAGATTAAACTTAATAATGCAAAAAATGTTAAAAAACTTACAGGAAAATACGAAATATTTGACAATGACTTTTCAACATCAGATTCTGTTTTAAGAAAATGAGAATACAACTTTATAAATTTTCCGGCCTAGAATGAAAAGATTTTTAAAAATAGATTATCATGACAAAACTTAGGAACAGATTTTTCAGTTTATTTACTAGTACAATTTTATGATCAAACAATAAACCAAACCAAATCTATTTTTAAATATAATGTATTTTATTTATACAAATTAATGCAAGCTTTGATATTACACAACAAAAGTAAAACTTTATTTTTATTTTTTTTTATTATTTAGAAATATTTTAAAAACATAAAACCTTTAAAACTCACATGTTGAAAATAAGTGTCAATGATATCATCCAAACAAGTTGATGACTGAATACTTGGTCCAAAAATGCTTTTAAAAATGAAATATGCAACAATAAAAAATCCATGTAAGTGGTAATAATGGTATATAATGATTTTTTATAATACTGATAAAGATAAATGGTAATAATAATATATAATGATTTTTCATAATATTAAAAAAGATAGAGAAAAAAAAAGGATTGAAAACAGCTGTTAAAAAATTTACCTTGTTTGAAAGTTATGCAATTCTTTGATGTTACGAAATATAGCACTTTTGTTTTTTTGCAGTTTTAAAGGTGCCACCGATATTTTATCAAAATAATTCTAAAAACATTTATCAAATTATTATTCAAATTTTTTTAATAATTTTTCAATTGCAATTTCATTTTTTGAAAACTCAAGTCAACAATCTCATTTCAATTCACAATTTCTTTTTTCTTACTTTCTGTAATAAATATAACAATAAATACTTTACTTTTATTAAGCAATTTAGAATGTCGTTGTAGTTAGAATCTTCTTTTAAAAATTTGTTAACAAAATCAACATAACTGACATCTAACAGTGGTTTAACCAAATTATTACAATTTATGACTTCTCCTAATGGCTTTTCAGTGTAACATGGTTGACTGTTATTCTTTGGCAAAGAATCGTTTGAATCACAAGCTAAATTTTCAAGACCAACATCAGTTTTTATATTGTTAACAACATCAATTGCTTCATTTTCATGTAATTCATGAGGTTTCTCAACTTCATTATGAATTGTTGGTTGCTCAAAGTAAACTTCATTTTGAAGTTTATTTTCAGAATGATCTATATGTTCATCATGAACTATATGCTTATAACTAACTTCCTCAAAGGTTTTATAATCAGCTGAGATTTTATTAGAATCTTCTTCATTTTCTACCACATTATTATCTTCAATATCTGAAAACACACCATCTAAACTAAGAGTTAACTCTACCATAGAAGATGGGCGATCATCATTAATTTGAGCTCCGCCTAACATAAGTAAGGAACCACTTGCCTTGAAATTAGGAATCTAAATTATAAACATCGTTTTACTATGAGTGTTTGCATGTGTATGTGTATGTGTTTGTGTTTGTGTGTGTTTGTGTTTGTGTGTGTGTGTGTGTGTGTGTGTGTCTGTGTGTGTGTGTGTGTGTTTATTTGTATACATATATATATAATTAAATGAATAAAAACAATTTTTTTTGAAATTGAACTTCAAGTTTCACACAAGTCAGTAATCAAAACTCAAAGTTTTAACCTGTTGAAAATCACCAGCTGTCAAATAGTATTCAATTGTTTTAATGCAAACTGGCATGAAACTTGGTGTTCCATAAAAAAATGTTTTATCCATTTTATGAATAAAACACTTTTTATTTATGAATAAATTTACTGTTCCATCATTTAACTACATTATTGCAAATGAGTATGTAATGGACATGAGTATGTAATGCAATATTATTGCACATGAGTATAATTATTAATAAGTATTGTAATACAATAACTTAGTATGCATATATATACACATATAAGTATTAAAAAGTTTCAAATCTTACATGTCTGACAGATATAACTTTATTGTTGGCATCTTTGGCAAAGATTTCAAACTGTCTTAATGAGCTAGTTTGTAAATTCTCAGACTCTTGGAACATAATTTCTGGTTGATCAAAATTGTATTTTCTAGAGAAAAAAAAACTATATCAACTCTATCTTAAGTGCAATTGATAATTGCACCAAGCATGTTATAAAAAGCGGAAAACCAAAATGTTTTAAATCCAATTGATAATTGCACCAAGCATTTTATAAACAGTGGAAAAACTAAAATATAAAGTACAACACTCCAACAAAATAAAAATGCTTTTAATAATATCTGATAAATATTAAAAAATAATTAAATATTAAATTAAATACTAAATTAAATATAATATTATTAAATATATACTATTAAATATATAAATTTAATATAATAGTATTATATATAATTTAATACTTAATTCAGATACTAAATTAAATAATTAACTTTAATTACTAAAATTAGAATTAATCAAGTGCAAAAAGAATTTAAAAATGATGCTTAAAACATTTGTGGGTTTTAATCTGATTTTTAAATGAATCATTTTGATAATAATGCTTAATTTTTAACATTTAACAAAAAAAAAATCTATTTAAAAAATAATAATAATAAATTTAAAACTTAAATAAAACTTGTTAGAATACCCTCAATTTAACTTTAGTAATTAAATTCAATTTGATACACAAATTATTATGTTTAGAAATAAGAAAAACATAGGTAAACAAAAAAAATATTTTAAAAACGTTTTTAACAGAAAAAATAATATTTACTTATCATAAAAAAGTGTTTACTTAATTTCCATGTATATTTGATTTCAAAGTAAAAGATCAAAGCAAAATTAAAACCAAGTAAATAAACAAAGGATTTTTTTATTTTCAAATGTGTAAAAGACAGATCAAAAAAGTGTGAATTGTACAAACTTTTGAAAGATATTTAACTTTAAAAAAAAAAACTATAATTTAAAATAATTAATATTAATGATGTTATTATTATAAATATTTTAGTTATATTTAAATTGTATAAATATAAATATTTATATTATTATAATTATAATACAATTAAACTAAAACTTTATTATAATCAAGAATATCCAAGTATTTAAGTATCAAGTACCCAAATAATAAGTACCCAAGTAACAAGTATCCAAGCTAACATAATAACAAGTAGTCAAAACACCACAATATCAAGCAATTATAGTGAAAAAAATATACAATAGTATTTATCCATTTATCAAAAGCAATAAATTTAGGAATTAAATTTTTTTTTATAGATTTATTCATTTAATTTTGAAAAAAAACTTCAAAATTTTGACCTTTTGAAAAACAAAAAAATTATATGCTAAATTCGAGTGCATATACTTGCTAAATTTGAATGCAACAGAAGTGAAAATAAATTTGAATGAAAAGTGAAAACACATCAAAAAGATGTAAAACCTGCAGAATGCTTTCTAACTTAAATTTAAAGCAAATTATATACCACCCAACCTTTTTGGTAACCAAAACTTACAAAATAAGTAAAATATATAATATTTTTTTATAAAAAGGTCAATTTGGAAGCCACAGAAATTCAAACATCACCTAATTATTAACATTAGGGCTACTAGCAGGTTTATTATCAACATTAGGGCTATTAGCAGGCTTATTATCAACATTTTAATTTAACAGTTTTTTTTGATAAGCATAAAATCTAAAAAAATGATAAGCATAGCGTTGTATGGGTGCATTATGCTTAATTAATCAGTTTTTGAAGAGATATTTTAAAGCTTTTTCAAGCTTTTCAAGTTTTTCAGTCAATGCTTTTTCAAACATGCAATCTTTTAGAATGTCTTTTTTCTTTTTTTGTATAAATGTTTTTTATTTAAATTTGTCTATTTCTAATTTGTAAAATTTTTGTAAATTTTTTATAAATTTTTTTATTAAGAAAAACTAACTGCATTTACTTTTTTCAGAGATATTTTCCTTAATATGCTAAATATGCTTTTAAGTTGTTAACAATTTTTTTACATCATGTGGTATAAATTAATGGAAACTTCTTGTATCAGGGAAGGCCATTGCATTATTGAATCAAGAAGTCAAGATGTAAAAAGATATAAAAATATCTTCACCCTTTAAAAAATGGACCCTGATCCTAACTCTAACCCTAACCCTGACCCTAAAATGGGTGCTAAATATGTTATCTTTAAAAAAGTTGAACATTTTTTAGGCGTTCATAAAAGTTGATTGGATAAGGCTAGAAAAAGATCAAATGACTAAATTTGTCAGTAATATCAAAAATGAAGGAAAAAAATATTGATTTGATTATTTAAGAAATTGGTAAAATGACTTTAGTCACTTTTTCTTTTGAATAGATTTAAAAATATATATATATTGAATATATAAACACAAAATGAGGTTGCAAATGCTTTTTGGGTATTTAAAGTAATGGTAGAGCACTGGTTTTGTAAGCAGAAAGTTAAATAGTCCAATCACATCCCTTAGAATATCATAATCAACTTGTTTTTCTGGAAAGCCAGCTTTTCAAGTGTCAAATTCAAAGTGTTTTTTAAGGTGAAGTGGAGCTATAAAGTTGAGGTTAAAACAACAATCAATAAAATTCAAAAATAAATTTAAAAAAATAAGCATCTTTATTTAAAATGAGTATCTTATAAAATTATCAAATGTCATATAAAATGAATAAAATTTTCTTTCTGATTAAAATGCTTCATTTGCCTCATATAAAGAAGTATATATATATGAAGTGAATATAGTAAAAAAAAAGGTAACTTTCAGATATGAAACAAACTTCAAAATTAGGTATATATATGCTTATATCAAATAAGGATACTTTGCAAATATTACAGTACTTAGAGCCTGGAAATAAAAAAAAACCTAAAGCTTGAGCCCTTCCAACTCAAAAAGGGCGATGACCCTAAAGCCCTTCCATCTCAGTAGGGCAATAATCCTAAAGCTTAAGCCCTTCTAACTCAAAAAGGGTGATGACCCTAAAGCCCTTCCATCTCAAATAGGGTGATGACCCTAAAGCACTTTATGGTTTTACAAATAATCTTTTAAAAACTCTTAATCTACCAAACACTCCTAATGTATATAAGGAAAACAAAAAAATAAAATACTAACTTGGTTGTCTCACTTTCTTTTATGGTCTATTACCTTTATCCCTAGCAGACTATATGTGGCATGCAATCACCATTTGATTTAGTTCTCAGTACTAGTTTTTTATTAAAAGAGGAAAAGTCTCCTTAAATAAAAATTGAAATCTAACTATCAAAGAAAAAATTTCAAACCAAGTTTAAAAAAACAACTGCCTTTAACAAATTAAAACATCATAGCACCTATTTATGGCAACATTTACAACACTTATACAAATATTTACAATGCTTACATTAGAAATCAGAACATCAATTTCAGAAATCATAACACCCATATCAAAAATATTATTTATTAGTTAAACAAGTATTGAACTGAATTTACTGTTGTTGTTTTGCTTATTTTGTATGACTTGAGACACAGTAAAAAACTTTTTAGAAAGTAATTTAATTTTAAAAAGGCTAAAGAAACACAGATTTTCAACATTTTAAAATTTAACTTAAAAAACCTTTCTAACTTTCTCTCTAAGAAGTTCTTACTCAGAAAAAAAGAGGATTTTATTGATTATTAATTGATTTTGAACCAACTTATTTTCCTTAAAATATATATTTTAAATCTTTTTCACTTTTTTGTGCTTCTCTGGCAAAAGCTTGGCGCAAATAGAAATTGAATTTGTATTTAATAAAAAATGAAAAACATTTTTAGTCTAAATAAAAA